ACACAGGACCAGATATGGCCAAGTGGTGGATTTATGTGTACATTTTCAGTCATTTTGGCTGAGCACGGCAGCCTCGTCCTCATTATAGCTTGTACCAAATTTGCTCGCCAATGTCTTGCAGGCGTCATGCACCAGTTGCTTTCCAGTGCTATGAATACTATTGTGATTTGTATCAGCTTTTGTCTCACAAAGAGTTCGGTGGCTAAGAACATACCCAGCTAATATAAGCACCGAGTGCGTAGCGCCATTGTAAACCTTGCACTCAACAGTAACTCCCGCTTCCCTTAGTGACTCTGAATATTTTATAGCCTCAGGAGCAAGAAGATCGCATGCAGCTATGCCTATGAAGCTGCTTGGACTCTGCGCCAACAGGCTTGTTGGGGCGAAGCAAGGTGATGCATCCCAGTTACTACGTTCTGTGTCACCTTTAAAGTACTGCTGACGATACCACTCCATTCTTCCTGGGGTCAAGAATGGTGAGTGTCGTGAAGTAGACCAAGTTGTCGAAATTGTTGCTGTGTTATCAATAACTGGACAAATGAGTAGCTGAAAGCAGGGTTGTGAGACAAGGTCCCCGTCCAGAGCAGCTTTTAGACCAACTACTGCGGCAAGACCACCTCCTCTGTTCTCGTTAGTAGTGTATATCACGGTATCTCGGTGTGAAATGACCTACGCCGACAGTCCCCCGATTGCCAGACGAGACGGGTTGATCGACAATTGCTTGCTAATATCTTGCGTCATCACCCAGCGAAGCCCAGCGAAGGCATCGTTGGCGGCAGTAGGATAGCCATGTTCGGGCGCATGCCTATAGTTGATCGATACGACAACACATTGCACATCTTGTACGAGATCTTAGCAGGAGAAACCTGTTTTACTCGACGGGGGTAGACATACATTTGCAGACATGCCTAAGGAAACCGTTCTCGCTATTTAGACCTCCGTTAACCCAACCTCCACCATGGTACCAGACCAAGCAAGGCCACCCAGTACTTGGAGGGCTGCCAGCTGGGACAAACACTCTCAGCTGGAAATTGTCAACATTCTTATCGTAAACGTCGCCCACGTCGACCTCCTTTTGAGCTCCGAAGGCAAGTGCCGATGGCCTGGTTCTAGAAACAGGATCCCATGGCTTTGACTCTATAGGCTGCAGGTATTGTATAACTTCATCGTGTAATTTGACGTAATCTGGGTCAATTGCTTCTCTCATTGATGGGTGCAATGGTTGTGTTGGGTGAGGTGGTCGATCCATCATGTCCGAGAGTTTGGCTGTGATGATTCGTGTGATGTTTGGGACCTGGCGCACTAATCACAGAAAGATCTGGTAGAAATGCTATGTCCGAAGATAACAGGGACTTGAATCTTATAGACCTAGTTGACTTGGAAGATAAGGTAGCATTGACTAATCATTCCTAGCGTACGTGAAAGTCTAGCATAGTTTCCGGAACACACCTGCCGGACCCTGCCAAGTCTTATTCGCACAGATCTCCAGTCAAAGGTGTTGATATGATACGATATGCTGCAGTAGGATGATTTCTAAGTTATTTCTATTTTGTCTATACTATGTCTCCTTTACTGTTTGCCTTTTCCTGTATTGTCGCAGGTTCAGCTCCTTGGGGAATTCCATCAGACACAGACTCATCCCGGGATATTTGCATTGATTCTGCAACTTCAATTTGCTGATCTTCCTTCCTTACTAGTCCCTTGTCCTTGATGAAAATCATCAAAGCTAGGCATAAACCCATGGCTCCCACCCAGAGATAAAAGACAGATCTCGCGGCCTTCGCATATAAGTCATATACCATTATTTTCTGTGCTTCGGTGAGGCCGGTGGTGTTAGGGACATCAAAAATAGCTTCTTGTATCTGCATAGCGACATTTTCTGGGATGTCTTCGGGAATGTGGTTGACCAGGGTGTTAGAAAATATAGCTGACGCAATAGCTAGTCCAGCCGAACCCCCAAGAGCGCGAATAAAGTTCCTGGCGCTTATGACTACAGCACGATCCTGCTTTGGGCTGTGTGCCTGTGCTGCAACGAGCGCTGAGTAATGGTTAGCAACGGTGGCCAAACAAAGCTTCGCCCCAAAACTTACTTGGCTGAAAAACCAGACCAACACCTACGCCTTCAACGATGAGGATGACGATAATTGCTGCGAGCGGGAATGTTCGACTGAAGGAGCAGTGGAGGGCGGTACCAATAACCCAGCAAATATAACCAATCCAGATAACCTCTCCATATCTTTTCATCCTCGAGATGTACTGCCCTGACAGCGCAGAGGCGATTGCTTGCGGTATGACGATGGGTAGGACCAGGGCCGCTGAAGTCAGAACACTTTCGTGTCTCGCCGTCTGAAAGTATAGCGGCAAATAGTATAGAAGACTATAGAATACAATGCCAATCAAAAAGTTCTGTATGAGCATAGCCGCCAGAGCAGGGTTTTTGAAGAGCCGGACTGATATTTATCAGTCACTGTTGCACTATGGGGGTGAAGGAGACTCACAAGGAAACATTGGAAGCCTCGCAAGCTTCCACTCGTTGAGTCCAAATAAAAACAATAAGATAGAGCCAAGTGTCAACATAGAGATGACCAGTGGGCTAGAAGTCTTGAACTGAGTACCAATCCCTGAGATTGGAATGAGCAGAAGAATTGTCCCCGATGAGCTGAGAATGATGCCCAGATAATCAATTTTCGAGAGTTTTGTTTTCAGTGGTTCTGGAGGAATCGTCTGCGGAGGCAACAGAAAATATAAGGTCACTCCTACTAGAATAGCAAGAGGGGCAATGAAGTAGAAGGTTGCCCTCCATGTAACGCTCTGCGTGAAGCCAGCTGCAATGAATGGACCAATGGTGTTCCCTAAACCAACACATGATCCTAGGATACCTTGATACCTATATACATTAGCTTGGCACTTAAACATCAGCCTGAGGTAACTGACTTTCCACGCTGCTCCAACGTAGTAACGTCTGACACAATCATCATTGCCAAAGCCATTATTCCTCCATTGGCAAGACCTGAAATACCACGGAAAGCATACAGTTGAGGTCCTGTCTGGGCAAATGCGCAAAGAAGATCTCCTAAGGCAAGCAAGCCCAAGCAAGTAATCAGGATGACCTTACGGCCAACAATATCCGAAAGCCTGCCATAAAGAACCTGGAAAGCGGTATTGGCAATCAATGAAGATGTTCCGGCCCATACGATAGTAGAAGAGCTGTTTAGCTCCCGACCAATGGTTGGAAGGACTACACCTATCGATTGTTGGTCGATGTACGTGGTCAAAAGAGCCGAAGCAAGAGCAGCGAACACGACAATGAGACGTCCTCCTTCGAGAATGTTGGTCTGGTCGTGAATCACATGCTCTGACTTTGCCATCTCGACAATAGAGAGAAGGGGTCAGGTGATAACACTCGTGCTAGCTTTTTTCGTCGCGTCGTCCAGCGGTGACAGAATAGAAAAGGGAGTGGCTCGCGATAAGGCAAGGTATATGCCATGGCACACCGATCCGAGAACCGGGATTGACAGGGCCACCGAAGCCGGCCACCGGCATGTTGCCGGATTTCACGCAAATCACTAGTGTGGAGCTATGAACGCCAGACCCTGAGCGGGAATAAGAGGCCGAGATGGTACAGGCAGTAATCAGACTTTCAGAAGCAGTGTTCCGGTCAAGTAAGACAAAATGGAAGGCGTTTCATTGGATATCCATCCCCAGTACGAAGATCACCGGGCTGCCGGGTTCGGCTGCCGTATGGGCTGGGGTTCGCGGCCGGCACTGCTTCTTGTGGATGTCTGCGCAGCATACTGGAAACATGGCTCTCCACTGGATCTATCACACAACCCCGAAGGTGCCGCAAGTCCGGACGCGATGCGACGCCTGGTCGCTGCTGCGCGGGCCGGCGCCGTCCCAGTTGTCTGGGCCCAAGTGCGTTACAATCATCCTCGAATGCTGGACGGTGGGGTGCAGGCCAAGAAGACAAAAACGATCCTCGCGTGGCAGGATGGTGATGATCGTGGGCTAGATGCATTTATGCCGGGTCTAGAGCCGCATCCGGATGATCTCGTGGTCTTGAAGCGTAACCCTTCCGCTTTCTTCGGCACAACACTGTCAACCGACCTCCGGCTCCTGAATATCGACACCCTGGTCATATGTGGAGTCAGCACTAGTGGATGTGTCCGGGCTACAGCCGTAGATGCTTTGTGTCACGGCTTTCGGCCAATGGTAGGTCTCACGAGCGCCTGTGCTGTTATTTTGTGCATTCATTGCATTTTACTAATTGCAATGTTGTAACAGGTGGTCAGCGAAGCATGTGGAGATCGATCAATACTCATACAGCAGCAGAATTTGTTTGATATTGATTCATTCTTTGGAGATGTTGTCGATGAGGCCGAAGCAACGGCGAGGCTGGTTGTGGGATGGTCGTGATTCTACAAACCACATACTAGAGAGGTATGCTATTAGTGACTTAAAGTCCGAATAAGATCAAGTTTGGTGGACATTCCATCTTGTCTGTCAACTTTAGCGTTATCAGAATTGGCTCTTAGTGTCTCTGTAGTGGAGAATCGTAATCTTGAGTTGCTTAGTAAACAGAATCCTTTGGGAGGGTGATACCCTCGATAAAAAGCCTCCAGTTTAAGCCGGCCGCGTCCGGCAACTTTAGAGCTAAAATCACAGACTAGGCGCTTCAATCTGTTTAGCATATCTTTCCTTATCTTTGCCCACCTGTCAATCGTAATGGAGACTAATCTCGAACTGTCTATCTTGCATCTTCACGGCATGCTGCATTACAGGGTCTGGTCTCGGGCATGGGTATAAGCACCGGCTCATGGAACTCGGGCATGTCGGCGTTTCGTCGCATCAGCGCTTGTTGAACAAGAACAGAGCACGACCTCCTTACTGTCACCCGACAAAGGATCACTGATATCGACTTTTCTTCCTTGGTCGAGATGGCCACCACTGAGATTCAGAAGGACATGCGTGAGAGCTCCACGCAACAACAAGATGTTGAAATGGGTTCGACGCAAGAGATTAAAGTCTTACCAGAAGACACCACCGATGCTTTCCATGTACCTTCGGTTGGTGGATTTTTCTGGGAGAAATTGTCTGGTGCTGGCGTCGAGATGAGAGGAGCCGAGCCAGTTCCTGTTGAGAAGCGAACCGACACTCGCTATGTCAATGTCTTTACGGTTTTCGCAACTTCAATGACCAGTTTGCTGCCGTAAGTCTTTGCATACACTGCTTCTAAGTTATCAGAGCCGCAACTGATAATATGTTGATTAGAATTGGCATTGGGAGCGCAACAACTCTAGGTTTCGGCATGTCGTTGAGGGATGCGGCGCTGATGCTCATCTTCTTGCAATTCCTATTCGGAATACCCGCAGCCTATGTCATCACTCTTGCACCGTTGACCGGGATGCGCCAGATGATTCAGTCTCGTTATTGCTTCGGGTAAGCACGAGTCTCACCTACTATATTCATCTCATTAACTTACTGCACAGAAAATATTGCAACATGCTTACATCGGTCATTGTCACACTCACCGTCGGAGGTTTCGGTGTCACGGGTAGCATCAACGGAGCGCAATGCCTCGCCGCTGTCAAGCCTGGCACACTTCCAGTCGAGGGCGGCATTGCTATCATCATGATTATCAGCTTGGTTATTGGCTTTATGGGGTACCGTGTTCTCCATCTTTTCACCCGTTGGGCTTGGATCCCAACTTTAATCGCCATTATCATCCTAGTCGGCTCGGCAGGAGACCAGCTTTGGCAACAGACCCCTGCCCGCGATCAGTCTGCAAAGGGATATATGGCCATGGTGGCATTTTGTGCTGGTAATATGATTACTTGGGCAAATGTCGCTGGTGACTATGCCTGCTACATGCCACCAACAGCTCCACGCCTCCGAATCGGCCTATACTGTCTATTTGGGATTGCCCTCCCATTTTGCCTTCTGATGATTCTGGGTGCTGCAATAGGCGGAGCGGTGTTCAGTATTCCTGCGTGGACGGCTGCATATAAGCTTCATGGAATCGGTGGCGTCATTGGAACTATTCTGGTCACTCGACTAGGCGATTTCGGTCGCTTTATCCTGGTCATTCTTGGTGTTTCAGTGTTGGCTACGTGTGCCCGGGATGTCTACACCATTTCCTTCAATCTGCCTGCTCTTGCACCAATCTTGAAGAAGGTACCTCGTGTCATCCTTGCGGTCTTGGCCACTGCTGCGATCATTGGAGTTGCTATCCCCGCGTCGAAGTCGTTCGTTTCTGCCATCACAGGCTTTCTGAGCATTATCGGCTATTATGCCGGTGCGTCAGTGACTTGCTTCCTGACCGAGTTCATTGTTTTCCGCAAAGCAGACTATCGCAGCTTCGACCCTCTGATCTGGAACGATGGGAGGAAGCTACCTACAGGCCTCAGCGCCCTTGCATCGGTGTTGATTGCCTGGGCATTTATCATACCGTCGATGAATCACACCTGGTTTGTTGGGCCTATCGCGAAGAAAACGGGAGATTTGGGTTTTGAGTTTGCGGTGGTGGTAGCCTTATTGGCGTACATTCCCATCAGAAGTCTCGAGATCAAGATTAGGGGCCGGCTATGATTCTATGGACGAACCTGAGAAATTGCCATTGATAATAAGGGCTCTATTAGTTAGTTAGTTATTAATCAAATTTTATCAACTGTGGTTACGTTTACTGCTCATGGTAGCTATCGAGTGTCGTTCATGTGGCACCGTTCATAAAAAATTGACAAGTAGTGAGAACTATTATAATTCATGTTAGCTCTTCGTCGGATTCATGACATTAGAGGCGGCGTCCAAAAAGCAAGTCTCTCTACTTTGTTGGGTCAAGGGTTAGGGTTAAGGGTCCTCTCGATTAAGTGGTACCGAGATTGTGGCTTACCTGTGCATCCTGTGCCTCTGGACACAGTTTCTTGGGAAACGCCGCTAGCTTGGGTTAGGGGATTTCGCCTGGCTCGTCAGCCCCATCGACCTTCTGAAACACCTTCAATTCTAAGATGGGAGAAGGGCCACGTGTGCTCACCTGAGAAGAACGACGACATCATCCTTCTCAACGTCGCGCACCCAACGCACAGTATATCGCCCTCGGACCAGCTGAGGAGCAGCAGACCATACTCTAGGCATCCTTACGGCCCATCAGTCAAGCGTTATGCTTCGCTCGTGATGCATCGCATTGTCATCACGGCCATCCAGTCGGCATGCCTCAAGGCATCGGCCAACCTCACAGCTCAGCTAGCTGCAAAATGGAAATCCGACACGCCATATGAGTTCGACTGGCAACGTGTCGCCGAGTTTGCACTGTTTGGCCTTGTCGGCGCTACGATTGGATACGTGTGGCAGCACATGCTTGAGAATGCGTTTCCTACGCGCAAGGAGCGTATTTGGCAACCACATCCAGCTGACAATGAGAGCCTTGAGATCAAAGACAAGATCGTCCCGCCCACTCCAACGATCGATAGCTCTAGTCGCGGCATTAGCTGGCTGAATGTTGGCTATAAGCTCGTCATCGACCAGACTGTCGGCGTCACCATGATGAACACCACCTTCTTGATAATCACAAATATTTTCCGTCTATGGTCATTCAGCCTTGTCTTAGATGTGGTCCATGATAGGCTTTGGGGGATTGTCAAGGCAGCTTGGATGATATGGCCGGCTGTGGCAATCATCAACTTTGTTTGGGTGCCCGTCGAATTTCGCGTATTGGTTGCAGCATGTGTTGGATTCGCATGGAACATTTTTCTCAGCATTATATCATTGAAAAAATGATTGAATTAGGCTTTACAGTGATTTTAATCTTGCATTTTCGATCGAGGGCTAGAGGAGACGGCGCAAGCTTGCTGAGGGATCCAATCCATTTTCAGGAGTAACTGTTATGCCTAAGCAATATTGCCTAGCTTAATGATCGCCTGTGATGACCAGTCATGATCCTGCATTAGAAGAAACAAATATCTACGTTCTCATGCCCGTTATTGCTTGCATTTGCTCACTCTTCTCCTCTGTGTCTCCTGTAGGGCATGATAAGCCAATATCAGGTTTATTACAGATGTCATCATGCAACTCAAAGAAAAAAAAAGATAGCCAGACACCCTTAAGAGCGATTTCTAATGACCCAGTATTGTGCTGATGGGGCTCACAGCTTATATCTCTTCTGGGTGAGAGTCCACTGCTGTTAAATGTTTACAGTGATGCTTGCGAAGTAGAAATAAATTATCATTATTGCAGTAATCCGGTGTAGATAACCACCACATAATAGAAAGTCGATATGCTAGCTCGCCTTCTTAATACCAAAGATCTTCTTATACTGAAAAGAAAGTTCATCACAAGGAGTCTTAATGTTCCTAGAATTCTTCTAGCGAACAATGTCCTCAGGGTATCGCAGCTTAATAGTACTTCGGGTTCTCGGGATCAGTCAAGTCATAAATGACGCTAGAATGGGGGCGAGCACCACCCCGGTCTCGAGTGAAGATGGCTTCGAAATCAATGGTGCGATTGAAGCTCAGCGATCCATCCGGTAGGATGTCAATCCAGTGTCCCTTGTAGTCTCCTGGAGTGTTGACAACAGAAATCTGTTCACATGAAAGTCAGTCAAGCGTCACAAGTCGTTACAAGATATTCTCTTTACTTACATCGCCAGCTTGAACAAAGTAACCAGTCACGAGCAGGTTCTTCTTGTCAGGTGAAATCTTGACGTAATGTGGGCCAATGATGGGCTGTGTCTCATTAGGATCGTCGAGACGTTTGACGTTGTTTAGGTCAGAAATATCCAGAGCTGCCACATGATTTCCCAGAGTTATTGTAAAGTAGGCAAGTTTGCCATCATCCGAGATGTCAGAGTAGATGGCAAGAGAGTTCTTAGCCTTATCACCAAGATCATAGAGAAGCTCAGCAACGCCCTGTGTTCCATCTTGGTTTTTCCGGAATGGGTAAATGATCCAAACCTCGCCAGGATCAACAGCTCTGTGAAGTGAAATCAGTCTACTGTTCCGAATATGATCTTGGATAGGTCACACGCACGTAGCAAGAGCTGCACTCTCCGGGTTGCCTGGGATAAATTTGACATCCTGGACACCAGTTCCCTAATTTCCAACGTCAGCGTGGAGTAATGTCAATCAGCGAGACTCTCTTACACCAGGAAGCGTGATGGTAGAGATGATCGTCCGCGTCTGGAGGTCCCATAGACGCAAAGTATTGGCCTTCTGAATGCCAAGAGTTGGCTTCAAGATCGTGATGGGGATTACAAAATCGGATGTGAGAATGATATTTCTATCCCAGTCAACGGTCAAGCCGTGTGGCGAAAACTGGCCTCCCAATATGTTGAGTATCCCTGGTACGTCCTCAGGCCATTCGTGAATAATGTGACCTCCGGCATCCGTTTCAACAAGGCGGCCGGGAGAGGTTCCAACAGCACTTCCCATGTAGGTAATGAAGAATCCACTATTGAAAGATCAGTCTAAATTCAGAAATATCTCAGAAAACAATCATGGCACAGCACGTACCCTTCTGGCTTGGCTCGGATTTCGTCAACAATAGAGCTTAAAAGAGCTCGATTGCTGTGCGTAAACTTGGGTCGATATGGATTCGACACATCCCAGTAATAAGCCGTATCCTGTGTTTTGAGCAGAGATAGAAGGCCACCACCGACCAAGGTCTTTCCATCGGCCGACGGCCCAAGATGATGTGGGGAATTGCCGCTGGTGGGGACGTCGGTTACCTCGATGATGGTACCGAAAGTATCCTGTTAAGTCAACTTCATGGGCCGAGATCTACATTGAAAACCATGCAGAACTTACATCATCTAAGCTGACTGTTGTCAAGAAATCCGCGTGGATATTGTCGCCTGCTCCAGTCCAGAAATACCCAATCTTCTTGGGCTTAATGTTGGATGCGGTGAATGGGGGACTTGGGAGAGGAGGGGTTGGGAGCTGCAATATTGGAAGTGGTGGAGCATTGGAAGCAAGAGGCTCAGTCACTCCTGGGATAGAAGGAATAAGAGGGGGCAAGCTGATGTCAAGAGGATTCTTCTTCTGAATGTGGGCAGGTCCTCCAGCCACATGTGCTACCAAATGGCCCAGAAGGGCAGAAGCAAGAGTAATCGATCGCATGGTCAATAATCCAGGAGAATATGCCACTGATTGTTGCTCGGATATTTCCAAGATGATTCTGCTGAAGAGACTCAATAGACTTTGAGCAGAATGGCACGCATTATATAGGTCTGATCCTCTTGCGATATCTTACACACCCTCCACTCGCGATGAATGATCAAGAAGATGGTATCATCAGGCAGTAAAAAGGTAACATCAATAAAAGGACAATCGCCATTTGCAAAGTCCCAAAGATTTCAGCTAAGTACCTTCCATCACACTACACCCGAGATCACGATGGCCGTAAATGGTAGAAGCAGATGCAAAATGAGAGAAAAGGAAGGTCGCCGACCTTGAAAAGGAAGTGATCCACAACTCGAACCGGCAATGATCGATCGTTGTCTACAACAAGGTGCATACTAGACACGTTCATAGAAGATCACCTGTTTAGTTTTAACGTCTAGCACCACGAACTAGTGGAAGCACGCATATGGCAGCAGCGTGATACGCCTCGGAAATACCAGAAATGCTGTTGCTAGATTCGATTTAGGATCGGCCTTGGGCCCGTGCCGCAACAAAGTAAGCATTTTTCTCTCCTGGACCCAGCCTATAGGCTTGTTCACCCCGGTATACCATCATGAAATCTACGAGGTTGACACACCATCGCCGCATGTTTGTAGCTAATGAATATGACCCGAAGATCTGGATTTGGACAACTACGTGCCACCAGGACGCCTTCTTTCACCCAATCTTAAGACGGCCCGAAGTTGAAATTGATTCAACACGCTCTTGTGGCCGTTGCGGCTTAAGCTCTGATAGGATTCTATGCTGGAACAAGTACCGGGCTCCACCCACCCGGTCTCCTGGTTGCAGATCTCCCCAGAGCGGTCAAGGATAGAGCCTCGATGATTTAACTCTAAACTACACAACCTTTCAGGATACTATGGAGCCTTTTAGTCACTGTCAATCCGCCAAGGCTAGAAGTGAGCGACAGGGGCTGTGGCGATCTCCGTGCGAATGCAAGCTTGCCGTTGCAAGCCAATAGAATAGTGATGTTGCAATTCTTGATGATGTCAAGCAATGCCGTTCTGCTTTAGCCTGAGAGTTGGGGAAAATGAGTGTGGGTGAAAACCCAATGCCAAGAATAAGCCACCGATCACGACATCTGACCCCGGACGTGTCGACTTCCTTCCAACAGTCCTCGTGCCTGACAGCCCGCGCTGCCCGCATCCCACCTAGGTGACTCGGGGGAGATCTCAATAGCAAGGTTGGCTTGCTGGTGGCATCGTGCTGGCTGATGAAGGCAGGTGTTTATGCAGATCGGCCGAAGCGCCATAGCTCACAGGGCTGCGATTTCAATAGTTTCTCGCCGGCAGACGTTGTAGGAAGTCTGCAAGCATATTCGCCATTTTGGCTTACAATTTGTATAATTCCGTCTAATCAGTTCGACAGAAAGATGCCACATCTATGCAGATCTATATAATTGATGATTATGAGGACACACTTGGTCCTGATGACGCGCTGCACCAGCCGTAAGGTTCAGTCGTGCAGCATGATGCGGAGATCGAATGTACTGCTTTATAAGTTAAAGCAACCAGTCATCAAGCAGTTTTAACTTTCTTAAGCCAACCACAATAGAACTTTTGAGCCAGAGTTGACTGCTCACTATTAACCATGAAAGTTCCTGCCATTTCCTTCCTTGCGCTCACAGTCCTTGAGGGGCTTCAGTCGGTTAATGCCGCACCTTCAAATTCGGAACTAAACAAACGCGATGCACAATTTGTCAATGGTCAACCAATCGATGCAAATGGCAAAGGTGGGCCAATATTGGGTAAGCACGCCAGATCAAAGCCGTGGATTGAATTAACACAATCCTCTCATGTGAAGGTGGCACAAATCATGAGCTTGATCTCCAGAATCCCGACAATCTAGGACAGCAGTCTACGGATAACGGTGTCGTGCCGAATCTTAAATGGAGCTTCTCGGACTCAAAAACACGTCTGCTCAAGGGAGGTTGGGTGCGAGAGCAGGTAATCCAGGACCTCCCACAAAGTCATGACATCTCTGCGGCTCAACAGCATCTTCATAAAGGTGCAATTAGAGAGCTCCACTGGCATCGTGTTGTGAGTTCACAATCTTCAATATTATGGGAAACGACTAAATCGAATTATAGGCTGAATGGGGGTTCGTCTACTCCGGCCGTGTTGTAGTTAGTGCGGTAGATGAATTCGGTCGTTACCAAGTTGAGGAATTGAGTTACGGTGACATATGGTATTTCCCGAAAGGCGCCGCACATACCATTCAGGGACTTGACGAGGAGAATGAATATCTCCTTGTATTCGATGATGCTGACTTTGACAAAGTTGGGTATGCATATCCCCGCTACGGACGAAGCTTAACAGGAGCTAAATGACTTCAGGACAACCTTCAACATAGATGACTGGATCGCTCACACACCAAAAAGCGTCCTCGCCAAGAATTTTGGTGTAGATGAATCAGTCTTCGATGATGTTCCATCTCCAAATCCGTATATCGTCAACGCTACTGTCAGTACCAGAAATGTGACCGATGGGCCAGCCGGGACGCTCTCCGGAAATAGTTCATATGTTTACCACACTTTACAACATCCTGCGGAGAAAGTCCCTGGCAATGGGGGCGAGTTCCGAAAGATTGACTCAACAAACTTTCCCATTAGCAAGACAATTGCGGCAACGTACGTAACCGTGAAGCCAGGTGGTCTTCGAGAGCTACATTGGCACCCCAATGTAAGTGTCAACAGCAATGAGTACCACGATAATGATTAACACGTGACTAGGCGGAGGAATGGTTGTATTTCCATAAAGGAACTGCACGCGCGACCGTTTTCATCGGTAATGCAGCAGCTCGCACATTTGACTTTCGTGCCGGAGATACTGCCGCGTTTCCGGACAACTCGGGGTGAGTGCTACAGAATTATCAGCTATCATTGCTGCATTATCTTTATGTTCCACTAATTATTGGCCAGTCACTACATTGAGAACACGTCTGATACGGAAGATCTCGTATGGATCGAGATATACAAGTCAGACAGAGTTGCTGATATTCCTCTGAGTCAATGGTTAGCTCTGACTCCCGCGGATATTGTAGCACAAACTCTTAAAGTTCCCATCGACTTCGTGGAACACATCAAGAAGGAGAAGCAGGTTCTGATTGAATGATGGTCATCAAGGAGGTAGCCGTCGCAATTGAACTTTTCACGTAAACTTCACTTCGACAGGAGGTAGGAGGAAGCAGTATTTCAAACATAAGTCGTCTTTTACCTGAAGAGTTTCATACTCTAAATTTATATGTCCTCTAATAAATCCATGTAATCATATAGAGTAACTTGATACGATATGTCAGGCTAGACTGTTAATATGCTTGTGTGTTGTCAAACAGTAGCAATAACTGTATATCGGGGACGCATGCGCAAATGACAGCAACGTTCAGAGTTACGAGACGGATTGTATTAATATCTACTGCTGCCATTGTTTATGTACAGAGACTCGGACTTCCATATCTTATTGAGATGTGTAGTAAACTGGAAGAGCCAAAATACCAATGATAGATGACCTAAGCGGATTTTGCGATAAGCTCAGTGTTAGACTATTTATTTGATCAGATTTAGCTAAGATCACTCTGTCCAACACACCATAAGATATACAATAAGGCATAACACCACTATCTCTCTTTACAGTAACCAGTTTAACACAGCATAATATTCTCAATCAACAGTTCTCTCTTTGATACCTAGTAATCACTTGTAAGCTTTTGTGATAGGATCAACTTCTAGAGCAATAAGTCTTGAGGTCTGACAACTGTGAAGAGACTCTAACAATAATGATAGCGATACACGAGCGCTCTGGCAATCACGAGGAAGTATGCACCGATAGGACTTTGAGCTCTTGCAGCAACCCCATGAGAATGAGCCTCAAGGCTGCTGACAATAGCGAAGACTGGAAGCCTTAATCATGCACAGTATTGCCTCTGACGGCACCTGTGTTGGAGTATATGTTTCTGATGAGGCTGAATTCCCGGGAGACCAGCATACCCAAAGCTTTCTTTGCAGTTCCAAGCTTTTTTATATTGTCTTTGTTACATCAATACAAATCCTTTTCAAACAGCCAATCCCGAGTCGCCACCGTAATACAACAAAGATCACTAATGAAAGCATGACCCAGCGAGGTTTCGTTTTTATTTCCGGCCAAACCCAAATCCAAAACTCCCTCTCTGCTGGCGGCTGCCAATCGATTTGCGTTCGGTATCGATACTCTTCTTGGCTTGTCCCTGATGTGTCAAGTAGTAGTTACCAGGATCACGATCCCTGCTCTCGATGCTCTCTTCCTCGCGTCCCAAGTCTGCCCTTGACTGACGATCGATCTGAACCTCGACTTCCCTTTTCACATTAATCTGCCCTGGAGCATCAGGCAAATTCTTGTGCTCTGGCGGTGTGTGCGCGGTACCGGTTTGATATATATACTCCTCGCTCTCAGTAAACGTAACGTTCGTAATAGGGTTCACTACAGCATCTTCGTCAGTAATCTGGGCGTCAGAAATGGAAGACATCAAAATCGAATTGTTGAAGACGTCTCGACATCAAGAATCAGTTCTTCATGGAGCTTGGTGGTTAAAAAAGGCGGAGCATTATAGTGACGGCGAAAATAAAGCCCAAAAGTTGCTTACCAGACCGGGGACCCATGCCGCGACGGGGATTTTTATCCTCCAGGCGAAAGCTACCCGGGGCTGGCCCATCTGACCGGCTCAGACCTGTGCCCTTAGAGCGCAGCGATTTCAGGGTACCAAAGATAGGTACACCCCAACGCCGCACTAAGGGGAACACCATCGGTAAATTGGACGTCACGACGGCTACGAAGGTCTCGCGACAGGCCCAAGACCCGGCCTGCTGTGCACCTGTTATCGGGTTCTATAATGACAATGTTAGCAAGTGCTGTTGCGGTCGTATTGAGATGGGTTTCCCCTTACGGTGAGAATAAGGACACAACGAAGTATGCCGGCCATTGTGACGAATAAACCTCCCGAGAATAGCACCATCAAGCCAAATTTCTTCCATGGTCTCAAATTGGCTTGCCACAGCATAGGCATTGGTATCGACAAGAGGTAAAGGTCGGTGAGGACGTTGAGTACAACTGTGACGAAAATATCGATGCGAGAAATGGCAGGCTGGCAGGCATCTGGTCAAGTCAGCACTCTTCTATAGCTTTCCTCGATTCTGATAACTTACTGCCAGGGTCTGGATAGATCTGCCAGTTCTTCTCGAACGGGTGGCAGCCAAAGAGAATTGAGAATAGAACGGCAATCCAGGTGGTCACTATCAAGACAAAGCCAACATAGATGCGTCTCGTATAGTCGAGCCCATCTGTCAATCGCAGATAAAAGGTGCACATTGCGGCTTTCAGAATCCATAGGAGAAATGTGTAGGTTGACCAGCCGGCAACCTGCGTTTTAGATCCATTGATACTAGGAAAGATTAGAAAAATCGTCCACCAGGGTTTCAATTGCTCTGCTGGTTCTGTGCGCACCGAAGTCTTGCCTCCTCACTGCCAAGGTCGAGAGTTTGTCGTTGCTCATCCGTCATACCATTGTTGGCTAAGCCGTGCCAATACGCACCAACGGAATAAGCCAAAGCTGTCTCAATTGAATAGACGATAGCCGCAAGTAGCATAAGATAGTCGTCCGGCTGCAGACCACGGAGCCCACCGCTGCTTACACGAGCGAAAGTCCGGAGACCAATAACGAGAAGCCCGACTCCTAAAAGGGTGAATGCCTCAATGGTGAAAGAATCCATGTCGTGAGAGGTAATGGGATTCAATGGCTCAAAGAAAGGAAGATGAAGGGTCAGTAGGTCCTGCCGGCATGCTTAAAAGAACGAGAGGTTGCGAGACCGAGGCTTGCAGATCATAAAGGCCAACGGCAGTGAGACTGAGATAAGTAGCCAGACATTAACGGAGTGAGTTCAGGTTCAGACGAAGATCTCTTTACAGTCGGTTTGTCTCAACGGCGATCGGCACTCTTGGATCTGACAGGCGTTCCAGATAACGGTGCACTCGACGTTGCGTTTCTCCTATTCGCTCCTGACTCGTAAGCTCAACAAGGGGAGCACCATGAGTGGTCAATTGGGGAGATAGTCTGTAACAGAGAAAAAAGCAAATTCAATAAGAAGCCTAGACTCATAAGTGCCACATTATGTCTATCACTGCCGTGTGGAAGGTCTCCATGTTGACGAACAGGGGCCTAGACGGCATAAATAGGGGAATATCACTTTTATACATGGGAAAGCTTGCATTGCGCCGGACAGCACCGGGTGTGGTGCCCACTCAGCCACTGTCCCGCAGGCCACAAGCTGGCAAGTGCGGAGTTGTTTTGACCAGGTCCACATCAGATATCCAGGAGCTCTCTCATATTCACTAGGGGAAGCTTTGGTGGCGGCTTCATAATGATACCGGAAGTGGATACACTGCGCCGACAGCTTGGGGATAGGGCATGAGTGCGTGGAACTCGGGTCCTAAGAAGGCCTCGGGTTGGTCGGCAGATGCAGAGGCAATTCCCAGCTAATCGGCGACTCGACTCGAGATGTTGGCACCACTTTTCCAAGTGAAACGGGACTAACGAAGCTTAACCGTTGAATTCCCACGCACCTGGTTCGGGCACCAAAACCTCAAAAGGGCAAGATCACCAGGGGCAGGGCCAAGTGCGATAGTTCTGGGAGGGAGTACGAGTCTCTTTTATGGTGGTAGCTCTACACTATCACCTTCTTTAGTGCTTATGTCTACCAAACCCACCAACATACTACCTCGTGGAACGCAAAAATACGTTCGTTCGTGGTGCCGTCCATGAACGGCAAGATACAACGAAGAAAACTAGGTAGCATAGATTTTCCATAAAATTTCTTGATGACTGCCAGGGAAACACGATCTCTGGCCATCCTCGAGTCATCTGAGCATTGAACACGAACACAAGAACTTCGAAACAAGACAGAATTGAAATGTACTCGACCTAGGCGAGCAGGGTTGCAGTCAGTGGCTGCTTCTTAGTGCTGATGCAAGCAGGTCGCAACGATCACTGTCACAAACACCAAGAGAGCAATGATGTGATCCTTGGTCTGCATTGATCAATTCTGAAGTCGAATTCGAATTCGACTGATCGAGGATGGAACCCGGAAGCCAGGGGAGGTGGGGAACGACGGGAAGTACCATCCGGCAGTTGTTCAGGGCGATCCTACACACTGCGTACTGTATACAGTCCGTATTCACATGTCCTTTGCCTCACAAATCCAAATGCCAGTCTGTTATTAAATCAATTGGACACTGACCATCGGTAAAAAAGTGAATCACAAGCACTGAAGAATCAACCCCGGAGAATGGGTCTCGGTTATATTTTACAGATTAGGTGTGGTGCCCTGACTCCATCTCACAGGCTGCAGCTAGCGATCGGCGCGGCACGCTTCCGCGACGGTCTGATTATGTGGGGGCGGTGCATTTTAGCTGGACTGGTCTGAGATTTCTTTACACATGTTCCAGACGAAGGGCAATCAATTATCAGGACTGATCTTTCAGTGAGATATGAGAGATCCTAAAAGACATCATAATGGGAGGTGTTGGCCACAGATTAGCGATGGTCTCTGAGATACCATAGCGACATGCATGTTGTAAATGCCTCATCACCCACAGAAGGAATCGATGCATCAGATATGACTGCTCAGAACAAGCTCGCTATTTTAATAGGACACTACGAAGACAGAGATAAAAGGCCCATGCAAGATTGTGGAGGTCGACAGGGACGAGTACGAGAGCCAGGGGAAAATTGAACTGGCTCACCTTGGTATTTCACTAATGAGCACACACCATTACATTTTGTACCAATGTGCTCTGAATGTATCCCTGCAAGATTGGGGCTAGACCCCCGGTCTGCGATGTCACCCACCTTCTCGAGGACATTCACGTACGTCTTTGTTGAATTGGAACCTCCTGCCCGCGGAACAGGCGCGGGAGAATGCCGTACATGTGCATAGTAAAGGGATACGCGGGCATTTCCCACCGTGTTCCTGAGCGGCATATCATTTCTAACTTAGGCTTGTGCCACATCAGGGAAAGAACAGGTCACACTCGCGTCCCGCAATTCAAACCCCCCATCATCTGCTCTGCAGCTTGTGGCCGCACCGAAGCATACCCAAATACTGTTCGCACCTCAGAGTAGTCAGAACCTTAGAGCTTAGGTATAGGGCTGGTCAGCATGGAGACACTCGATCTGGTGGTTATCGGAGCAGGTTTGTGGAACCGCCAATGCGCTGTCTTCTTGCATACAATACCCGGTGCTTTGGTACGCTGACGCATGAAACAGGATGGGCTGGCCTTGCGGCTGCGAAGGCCCACCACCAGTTGCACCCAGAACGGTCGCTCGCCGTCTTGGAGGCGAGTCCGACTCCCGGCGGTGTCTGGTCCGAGCATAGATTGTATCCTGGCTTGAAGACTAACAATATGCTCGGCATGTATGAATACCCGGACTTTCCAATGGACACCGAGACATTTGGAGTCAAACCGGGCGAGTTCATTCCTGGCAAGGTGGTGCATGATTACTTGGACAAGTATGCAGAGAAGTTCGACATCAAAAACAAAATTCGCTGTAACATCAAAGTCAAGTCTGCTGAACATCAAAACGATGGAGGGTGGGTCCTTACTGTGCTCTCTTCTGGTGATTCAAGTAAAGAGAGCAAGATTATAGCAAAGAAGCTTGTCGTCGCCACCGGGCTCACGTCGGAATCTTTCCTGCCAGATATACAAGGCGAGGAATCGTTTGGCGTTCCTCTGTTTCATGGGAAAGACTTCTTGCAGCATGCAGACACTCTCGGTTCGGCCAAGACCGTGACTGTATTTGGCGGCACGAAGTCTGGTTGGGACGCCGTCTATACGTATGCTACAAAGGGTATCAAAGTGAATTGGATCATTCGAGGTATGAATCATAGCAGGCATCGTGAGCTCATATGTCTAAGTCTTGTCTAGAAAGTGGCCATGGGCCCGTTTGGATGGCACCGCCATACGTGACGCCCTTGAAAAAGTGGCTCGAAAAACTTGTTCGTGAGTGCTCCATACCTGAATATTCTCCATGGTAAAAACGGTTTACTGACCTGAAACTAAGACACACGAATGCTTACCTGGTTCAGCCCTTGTATTTGGGGGCAAGCTGACGGCTATACCAACGTTCGGAACTTTTATCATGGAACAGCAATCGGGCGAGCAATCACAAACACCTTCTGGTCAATCCTAGGCAACGATGTCATAACATTGAACAAGCTCAATGCGAAGACAGAGCGGGCCAAATTGAAACCATGGAGTCCTGCGATGTTCACAGCATCGTCATTCTCAATTCTCAACTATCCTACTGACTTCTTCGAGTTGATTGAAAACGGCTCTGTCAAGATCCACATCGGGGACATTACACACCTGTCTTCGAGAACTATCCACCTCTCGGATGGTACCTCCCTGGACACAGATGCATTGTTATGTGCGACTGGCTGGAAGCATGTGCCGCCATTGAAATTCTTGCCTGAAGGCATTGACAAGGAATTAGGGATTCCCCACACTCCGGCGTCTCCTAACGAGCCCACGTTTACTGAGGACCTGGTTGCGAAGGCGGATGAAGAAATTCTATCGACATTTCCCAGGCTGAAGGATCAGCCGGTACAAAACAAGAATCTCGTTCCTCTTCTTGACAGCAAGGGAATGTCCACTACAGACTCCATCAATCCCTCTACACCCCTAACTCCGTATACATTGTACCGTTTTATTGTTCCGCCATCACCACGTTTTCTACAGCATCGGGACATCGCCTTCGCAGGGGTGATGATGAACTTCAGTGTTCCAACTATTATGCATGCGCAGTCATTATGGATCACAGCCTTCTTCGATGGCAACCTCCCATCGTCTGTCATTCCCACGCTCGCTCAAAACCCTGACACAGAAGAGCTCACCAAAGAGCTTGAGCGTGTACGGTATGAGACTGTCTTGTACAGCCGATTCGGAAAGTGGAGGTATCCGTGCGGACACGGATCTCAATTCCCTGACTTTGTCTTCGACGCTATGCCATACGTTGATGTCCTCCTCGGAGACTTGGGGTTGAACAAATATCGAAAGGGAGCATGGTTGGCTGAAGCTACTGAGCCGTACGGTCCGGAGGACTATAAGGACCTCGTTGCCGAATATGAGAAGAGAAGCGTTCTGTGAGCTGTCTTGTAAATCTATAGCTCCTGTATACCAAATTAAAAGTCATACACGTCTCCATAGTGTCGAAGTTTGAAGTTATATATCAATTTTCTCCCAAGACTAGGATTCCAATTGAGGCAATTGATCAATTCCTCGCAAGTGATCCTCAGTCTCTTGGCCAGACTATAGATTTAGTTCCCTTGATCATTTATACACTCCGCTACTTATATCACGTAACTCTCATAGGCGGTTGAAGTTCGGCGAATCTGGAGGACTCGTCGTCTTCAATGTTGGTGCAGTGACCATATCTTCTTAATGGCTTCACAATCTTCAGATGTTGAATTGAGATGTTTGTGTGCTCCGCCCTTGTTGGGAGGCCTCAAAACCTTGGCATCAAAGTCAATTCGGCGGTAAGGAGATTTATGTTACCTCTTGCTTCATGTGGTTCCTAGCCTAACTTGAAATGAATCGGTAGACACAGCCACAAAATCATTGAAGTTAATCAGACAAGTTACGTCAGCAATGAGTACTTCGTTCTAAAACGCAAGTTAATAGATCCGGAGTGGTGACTTGAGCCTTTGAGAAGAGATCTTGGCGATTACAACTAACCCAAACCAAGCCTCTTGGCAGCGAATCCCACTGGATAGCCGTTATCTGCGGCCTCCTCATCAACAGCTCCGCCTCCACAAATGGGCTTTCGTGACAAGCTTGTGCTCTTTTGACTCAGTCGGCAGGTAATCCGCGTGACGGAACGCTGTGCCGCTCGGTGCCGTCTCCTTAAAGGCCCCGGCCTGCGCCTCCTCAGATGCCTTGCCTTCACTACTCGAGAACCCTGCGTCTCTCTCAATGCAAAGTCCGGCCAAGGTATGGGCAAAACCTCCGTCGATTCCCAGATTCAAGTTATATCACCAAGCGTTCCTGAGCTTCGCGTATGGCCAGTTGAATGTCCAAAACCACGGTCCCCTTCTCCGCACGATTCTCTCATCGAGCGGCCGCTGCTCCCCCGCGCCGGACGCAACGATGCCGCACACATCCATAGACCGGCAGATGCCAATAGCGTGGCTAGCACTGTCTCGGAGCCGAATGGTGGTGAAGGAGCGCTGCGGTCGGTGAATTCGGGTTCAAGTAAATGCATCAGATTTGTCATACCAGATCCGCCTCTACCACAAGGTTTTAAGAGAAAGCACGATCGCTCACGAATCCGGGACAGCTCTCCGCCATACTCAAGGTTAGTGTCTTGCAGACACTCTCTTCCAGCCAATTTTGGTGGTCCAAGATATATCTATGTGTTCATTGCCACTAAGACTCTCACACAGGTTTGAATGGCTCGTAAGCTTTGACAACAACATCCTCGATCATGTGAGCCCGCATCGCAGCTTCTCATACACGCTTGCCGTGAAGCACAAGGCATATGCACCAAAAGGCTACGCGAGAGTATTCATGATTGAAGTTGAGGACTGCTCTTCGCCCAATACTGCGCTACAGTGGTTGTTTGATGAGCTCGTGGAGGACAATGATCTTATTGTGTGCATACACATTGCAGATGATACCTTCCGTCTCACAGCCGAAGCCCATAAAGAAGAAGCCCGGCTTCTATTGGAGTCAATCAAGGCAAAAGTGCCTGAGAATCTCGCACTCAGCATTATTCTTGAATTCGCTGGCGGGGCAGTAACTCATAATTACTTCATGTCCATGGTGAGAGGATACGACTTTCTTAATCTCTCTTTTAATTTGTCAATCTCATCAAACTAACCTTACAGATCAAAATGTATCAACCATCTACGCTAATTGTCGGTTATGATGACCAGGATCTCGACGAGGAAACCGCAGCAGCGACGCCTCGAAACCGCTTCATGGAATACTGTCTGGAGCACTCTCCCGTCCCAGTGATTGTTGCACGCCCGAAGACTGTGCATAGAGCCTGTAATATCACATAGGAGCGCTAGAGCTTGATCAATTGTCTCAAATATGTCCCATTACATCTGAATAAACCAATACGAGAATTGGGGGCTATCAAGATCATCATTGTGATGCAGGGGCACTAATGAAAAACAATTCTCAGGAATGTGTCATGAACGAGCAAGCTTTGACCATGATCTCCTTCCTTGGAGGTACTTGTCATTGACAGTACTTCTGTCAGTCCTTATAGTTCTCATCCTACTCCTCGACATATTCCTCTCTAGCCTCCTCCAACTCCTCCGCCTCACTGCTGCTGGCGTCTGAGTCCGCAGCTTCGGCAAGAGCCTCCTCGTACTCCTCTCTGGCTTCCTGCACAGATTCACGATCGCTCCTAGAGACAGAGTCACCGTCTGCATCAGTTGGGGGAACCACCGGAGGGGGCATTGACGGATCAGCAGTGGTCTCCGGTTCTGCTCCAACAGGGGGCGGATACGCAGTTGGCGCGGTTGCTGGGGCCGTGGCAACATGGTGTTCATCGCCAGAGTCATCTGTAGTGACCTTTATGTCAGAATTATGTTCATGAAATAGATGTGTGTAGATAAGATCATTACCAATAGCATCGGCAATGAGAGCACCGCCCACTGCACCAACCGCCAAGCCGCCAGCTGCACCGAGAAGCATGCCGCTCTTGCTGCCGGACTTCTCCTCTTCTACGGCACCGTGTCCTCCGTACGATCCAGGGTGTTGTCCAGGTCCGTAGTTCGCCCCGCCGTAGTATCCATGCGCCTCACCTCCGTGCTGTAGGCCGGGAGGCGCACCGTAGCCCCTGGTAGGATCATCGTACGGCGAGTGGCCCTCGGGTGGTGGGTCAGCCCCGTAGTTTGCGGGCGGCGGAGGTGGTGACGAAATGCCCCCTGAGACAGGAGGCTCCCATTGCGTGCGGCCGGTGGCTTGCTCGATATAGAACCAACGTCCGCTCGTCCGGTCGAACTGAGCTACCCAGCCAGCAGGAAGAGGGGGTAGGCCGGGAGGGCCCTGGGTCGAAGGCGGCGGGGGAGCATAACTGGAATGAGCAGATGGTGAGGAGTACTGCTGGTCGGGTTGATTGGTTTGGGTGTCACGTTGACCTGCTGTGGGTGAGCGACATATGAGTGGGGGCTGACCTCCGGGACGGCTCGCAAGGAGCTGTACGTACCCTGCTCTCCTTCCTTCTTTCCCTCTTCCTCTTGCTTGTCTTTGTCTTTGTCCGTGAGCGAGGCCTTCAGCTCCCCGAACTCCTTGGTTAGCTTCTTGAAGAAAGACATCGTAAAGGTGAGCTCTGGTTAAGGGGACACTTGGTGGTTATGTGGGAGGCGTGATATGGTCGTTATAAGCCAGCAAGATGTCTGTCTACTGCTTGCTCAAAAAGGTTGTTTGAACAGAGGTCGAATTTTGCAGCCCTCATTGCCTCAAATATCCTGGCCAAGCTTGAAATTGACGCAGCCAAGTCCGACACGTGTTTGGTGTTGGGCTGATGCAGTCGAGTGTTCGCGTAGAGTGACTCGACTGATTGCGGCACGTCAGGTCGCTCCTTCCGCAAGCAACTCCGGATGACAATGAACCTGTAGGGCAGTCACAAAAGCCTTTGCGCAGCGCCAAGATTACCGGTTCTCCTCACTCACCTTACCGGTTGGGCAATTCCATATCAGTCTGGGAGGCAGTTACCTCATGTGCCAAAGACGTATTTGTGAGTAAGGAGGTAACAATTTGTCGTGCCCAAGAGTTAAGACAAGAGGTTGAGCTTGAGAGCCATCACACCACATTATACACCGTTAGGTTTCGATGATTTGCTTGCCTTGAATCGTCTCTAACGGACATGCAAAAGGGCAAGGGGTCACAGCTTTACGCTCATGGGGGGCGGGCTTAGATATTATAGACGTCTATTCAGTCTTTTTATAATCCTCTTAATACGTTACACACAGGTATTTCTCTACCCGGACCTCGAAGATAGCAAAGCCTCGATATTCCCGATGACCTCAGGATGACGCGACAGCTTTTGTCTATCAAGAGGCATCTCCAGAAGATCGCTCTTTCTATCCAGCTCTAGCCAAGCCAAACCCACGCCTGAAAGCTCGCAAGCATGGATGTCATTCGTCGTGAGCACGTCCAAAAAGGGAAACCAGTCGGTACAAGAGGCTACTTGAAACAGGCCGTGGGTCGAAGGAAACTGATGAAAAAGGAAAAATGAACTTTTTAAGAAAAGATAGCGGCCGTGACATGAAATAAGGCCAGGGATAGCACTGACTCCACCAGCTGTCAGCAGCTTGATAGATGATCAGGCCATGCCGTCCTTGAACGTCTTTGTGCATTTATCATTATGAGGAGGCGTCTGAGGATTATATCTTCAGAACCTTCACGTCCGAGATGCTCCTTTGGCGTTTGTGGTTGCTCATGCCTTCACCAACACCACCCGAAGCCTTTCTCTTTTGCGACATAGTCTCCAGCGGGCTGCGGGCGTATTCATTGACGGGGTTCAAGCTACTGACACTTTTCTTCTGGCGGCGCACAGGAGTGATCGGTGTAGTGACAGTCTCCAAACTGCCATTCTTGATGCCGCGAAGAGTACCATGGTGATAGGGGCTGGAGAAAGCAAGAGATTCTTGGGTTGCCTTGTCGCTGAAGATGAGTTGCTGGTTGATCTGGTTGCGGCGGAAGGCGCCCACGGCGTTGGCATTGTTCTCAAAATGACTGAGAAGAGGGTGCGCCTCCATGTTCGTCTCACTCAAGCCGCTGGCAGCAGTGGATGGGCGACGAATGGGGCTCGAGGCAATGCTGGCATCTTCCAACCAATTGCCATCGTCCTCCTGCTCGTCGTCGGAAGAATGCTCTTCGAAGGTGATGAAGTCCTCAAGCTTCAGGTTTCTCTCTTCTTCGTCTTCCGGGTCATCAATTTCGGATTCGTCACTACCGTCTCCGGTAACAGCGTCGGAAGGAAGGGAAAAGAATGCCTCAGCAGGACCGACGGCTTGGGTGTTCATGAAGTCTCCAAAAGTATTTGACGAGAACATGGCGCCCATCATCAGAGAGGCAGAGTTGCTAAGAATGGGCGATGACTGAGTAGTGTCAGGATTAGTGAAGAAATCGAAGTTGAAAGACTCCGGTGATAGGTCAAGGCGACGCAAGCGCTGTGGGGTAAATATCATCATCTTGCGAGAGATAGGATTGACGACACAGATGGGCTTCTTCTCTGAACTATCGAGGTTGAAGCGGCCGACACGTGGCTTACCACGTCGGAACCTAATAGGTCTGTCGGTGTCTGATTCGGACTCGTCCGCCAATTGCTGGGAACGGCGGAGCTGCTTCTTGCGCACTATAGGCGGCTCCGGAACGTCTTCCTCGGTGGTATCTCCGTCGGCTGACCGAACTGTATTAGCATCAGAAGAAATTGAAATCCCTGGCTACAAACTCACTTTCGTAACCATCTAGCTCTTGGGCTTCCTCAGCTGACGCAACTGGTGTAGACACCTCTGCAGTCCCCTGGCTTGGTGCTGGGGTGGCTACGGGGGTGTCGTCGTCACATGCCTGCTGGAAGACGTCCTCGAGCTCGGAGTCAACGGCAAAATTGCCGTAAGCACTGTGGAAGTCCCAGTAGGACCCCGAGTTGGAAGAGTCATCCGGGTCTTCTTCGATTTCACGTCGGAAGTTGTTATCCAGGGACTCCTGTGCTACGAAAATGTCCGGGAAAAACTCCTCAATATCCCCCGTGGTTTCGGAGTCAGTAGAGTCCGAGTCGCTATCAGGGACACCAACGAAACGAACATGACGTTCAAATGTGCTGTCATCCTGGTCGAGGATGTAATTGTTTGCATGGGGGTCAGAGGCTGCACTGTCATCGATGTCTGACAGTATACCATCCCAGCTGGCACTTGCACTGTCGTCGGCATCTTCGTCATCCTCCTGACCGTCCTCGTCATCTACTGCTTCAATGTCTTCATTGTCTTCTTCGTCTCCGTCTCCATCTTCATCAGCGTCATCGTCGTCGTTCTGACCCGGCCGGGGAGAGCCCGAAGCATCGTCCTTCTGACGCAGCTCTCGGTGAATAATGTGCTCCTCCTCGGCCGCAACGACATTCTCCTCGTCGTCGTCTTCGGAATCGCTAATCTCGTCCACTCCAGAATAACCGTCATCGGACGAGAGGTTCAAAGAGGAAGACGAGTCCGAGCCCCGGCGCTTTGTAGTCTTGGCCGGGGGTCTCGGGAATTTTTGCCGTACGTTTCGGGACATTGTGTGTTATATGCAGGGGTAAATATGGGGTTGTATTGCCTCAGGTCCCGGTCTGGGGACAAACGGCGGTGAGGGGAAATGCGAGTTCTCCCACAGAAACAGGCCAAATGGGAAAATAGCCGTGCAGACCACAAAATAGTAATGCTGAATGCAAAAGGCTCACTATCGAGACAATTGGAGGTAATAACCGTAATTATGGACGGATTAAAGGGTCAGGTTATGATGGGTCGAAGGTCGGAGAGGGTGACAATGGGAAGTCGTTGGTATTGATCGCTGCAGGCCCGAATGGGAGGGCGGTGATTGTGCTTATTGTTTTCAGAGTCAGGCTTTCGCTGTCGTCTTGGATGTAGACACAATGCACCTCTGATTCCAGTCTCTTTCGAGCGGAAGGAGGCGCAGAGACGGGAAAAGTCTGGTAAACTTCGTCGAAGAGTCGGAATACTCGGTGAGGCTGCTGGACTACAGGACATGCCACGGGAGCCGGGCATGTCCCGTAGTGGGCGTTTACAGCTCAGCGACGGCCGAAGGCATCTTGAAAAGGTTCGACGAAGTTTGGATCAGGGTAATCTGAATGCTCTGAATGGCTGTAGTGCGACTTCGTTGTCTGGGGGTTTTTGGGTTGGGTTGGTTGAATGGGGAGAGGAGAGGAGAGAGAGGAGCCAGGGCGGGCTTAAGAAAAAATATCATCTTTTTTTGCTAGCAACTTTTTGGTGGGGTCAGACCTGGACTGGGCTCGCTGGGTGGCCGCCGCCGTCGCCAGATCGCTTGGCTGAATCGCGGCTGGAAAAGGGACGACCACACAGTATGTGAACTAACCACCACCATTGACAACACCAATCATCACGAAGATCTCAAATGCCCTACGAGGTCGTCCTCAATGTAGTACCCTGGCAGACTGACTATCTAGGCTCTAGATACCTGCTGTGGAGAGGGGTTCCCCCGATCATGTCGTTACTGCCAGTGGCTGACGGCGACAGCAGTCATCTCAATGATTGGGCCACATTCAATCTTGCGATGACAGGTTGTCTCCCTACTCACAGACACCTACGACTCATCGGTCAGTCACTCGTCGTGTCAGAACACATCGTCGAAAGTATGAATCTTGCCCTCGTCGTGGAGAGATTCACAGATCTAGGCAGCCAGGGAGGGGTAGGGAGGCATTGCAGCTGTGGCCGTCCTGGAGACACAGTGCAAATGATCTCTGGATCGTCGAGGCCCGCTGCGCTTGTAGGCAAATGAGACGACCCTTTTCCCCATCGAGACGGACCGTCACCGCCATTTCAAGTCAAGGTTTGAGTCTCGTCTCCCGTGCCGCCGTCCGTCTCGGCCCTTGCAAACTCACTCACCATGCTCTGCGAAACTACTGTGGTATGAGGCTATGTCTGCAGGAAATGCTCCAGCCAGCAGTGGATGATGTGTCAAGACTAGCCTTAACGTGGACCCCAGAGGGATTCGTCTGCTTCATTACACATAGCGTTGATGGCGATGGTGATTAGGGCGAACATTCGGATCTACCTGTACTCTTCCCTGTACAGCAAAGGAGTTTGAGGCTCCGGGCGCTTTCTCCGCATCGCAGCTGTCTGGAGGTGCCGGGCCAGTGTGAACGATTAGGCATACCGAGACTGCCATACTACCTCCTCCCTTGAGAATATCTTGGAGAGAAATGAAAGACAACCCCCTTAGAGAGCCAGTGATGTCAATTGAACGTTGATCCTAGGGCCGACCTTCCTGGTCGAGACGTAGACCTTTACAGTCCCCCACTTGGCACATGTGTCGGTGCGACATGCTCCTGTCAAGCATCTGGATCATCCCGTCTCGATGGGACGATGACGGACAGAATTTTCAACTGGGGTCAGAGACGCCATATGTTCACACGTACCACCAACAGGAGACAATCGACCTGTAACGCAGCACGAAATGGAAATCCTACCTTCATTGTCTAGATATCTGCGACACCATTCGTATCTGGTGTATCACACAGTGACTTGTGCCCCCCGGTATCCCTGTTAATTCCATGAACCCTGCTCGAGATAGACCCCTCATAGCGATGCTCTGTGACGTGTTTTTTCTTTGAGCGATCCTCTCGGTATGACATTCCATTCTGTTAAGTCTTTGAACGCCTAGTCTAGTATGAGATTTCCTAGCACCTCGGTGACCAGGATGAAGATGACACGCGAATAAAAGCAAGCTCATCGTCAAGCGAGCCCTGTCCCTACCCTCCAGGAGTGGCGCCTGTCCTAGCAACCATGGTCATCCAGCCAGATGCACGATATCTTCCTCCTCCTAGCTCAAGAAGAGTTGCCACTCTCTTGACTCACTCGACGGAGGTGATCCCATTGGAGCCTCGATGAAGTCTGCCAGGCTCAGATACCCACCCCAGGCCTACCTTTATGCGAAGAGTCCGCTGGCTTGTTGGGACGGCGCCTGGTGGAAATGACGGCCAAAGGTCCGGAACCCGCCGTGAAACATCTCCACCCGCCACCTACACTCAAGACTGCCCCGGAAAGCTGGGAGGTGAGCATGCAGTACTGCAAGATCATGATGAGAATGTGCCACTGGATATGAGATTCAAGATTGTGCTCGAGTGTTCATATCCGCCAGAACTGGCCATACAGAGATCTCCATGTTGGGACGATCCTCGCTGAGGAACTTGTGGAGAATGAATGCCAGGGGAGCGCAGCTTTTTCTTTGGCGGGGTCAAAGGGGACTCGCCCACTGGCCACGGCAGGGGAGTCGCAGATCTGCACTCTCAGAGACAAAAAAAAAATTAAAAACTTTCTGGAGGGGTAAAGCTCCCATGAGTAGATGCTGATGCTGACTACGCAGGTGCACGAGCCCTCTTATCAGCCTGGCAGCACTTCTTATCGGTTGCCATGTCGACCACGGCCATGCCAGAAAGGGGAAAACACACAAATGAAACAGCCATGCAACGTACCTGCTCGCTGCATGGGCCCTGGCTTTGACGAAACCCATCAACTCGTCAAGACAATATCCGCAACATCAGGACCAAACGCCAAAATTTGGAACTTTGCATCGTGGCAACGTCAAGATAATTTCGAGTATTTCCTGCGAGTTGCAATAGCAACCGGCTAGCCAAGTTTGTCCTTCTATTAGTCAACTTGCCTGTCCTGCAAAATGGACGCCATGTCCACGACCTCGAGCTCCTCGCAGCAGAAGTCTCACAACCTCTTCCAGGTCTTTCTGCGGCTTCGTCCACCACAGGCGGATGTCACCAGTGCCGACCGCTTCCTCGCCGTTGAGCCTCCCGCCGAGGACGCCATTTCGAGCGCTCCGACACATATCACCCTCAACCCTCCGAATGATAGGCGGCGCGCAATTGAGAAGTTCTGCTTCACCCAGGTCTTCGAAGAAGACGCAAGCCAACTGGATCTTTTTCATTGTACAAACGTCGTTCCCCTCGTGGAAGGCGTTCTGGCACCACATGGCGGAGACGGCACTGATGCGCTCCTAGCAACCCTCGGGGTAACTGGGTCAGGAAAAGTATGACAGCTTCGTATGTTGCAAGGACGCGTCCTTGCAAGTGTTTGATTCATAATTACAAATTGCTAATGATTTGTTTCTTGGCTAGACTCACACAATACTTGGATCCCGAAGCCAGCGGGGTTTGACACAACTGGCGCTTGACCTAATCTTTCGCTCCATTGGTTCTAATATCGTCGACTGCTCTAGAGATCAGTCTACAGAGGCATCTATCGCTGCCTCCGATGCCTCAGAAGCTAGCATCTTCACTGCTTCGTCGTTCCTAGAGACAGTCTTCTCAGATGCCTCAGGTCCCTCACGCGCGAACTCTCGTGCTCCAACTCCCATGATTGTACGACCCCTTGAAACCCCTATACATGTTTCTCCTTCACACTATCCCTCTCTCTACCTCTTTAATGAACAAGAGGTCACTCTTCCCATGATCCGTTCGGCAAGTGTTCGAATGGTTCAGAAGGAGGACTATACTGCTATTGGCAGCTCTCCAAGTTCTCCCATGGACAAGCAAGCTGAGACTGCACTTGCCGATACCCATGGCAACGTGCACACTCAAGCGGGCCGGCGGCACCCGATGCAGACGAAAGATGTCAATAGACCAAAAACCCCTGTCAAGCATTTCATGAACGTTACTGCTTCAATGCAGCAAAAGACCAAACATACTAAAACTCCCATCTCAAAGGGCGAGCAATATGTACCTCCGCCGACTCCTCGACGACTTCTGAACAGGCCCTCCGCTCTCCCTTCTACACCAGACATTAGCAGCATAAGCGCTTCGTGTGATCCTTCATGCGATTACTCGGTGGTCATCTCCATGTATGAGGTTTACAATGACAGGATTTTCGACCTATTGACGCCACCGATCAAATCAGCTGCAACGAAAGAATACCGCCGTCGACCGCTCCTTTTCAAGTCAACGGAGCTGTCGCCAGACCGAAAAGTAGTGGCAGGTTTACGCAAGGTGATCTGCAGCAGTCTGGGCCAAGCATTGATGGTGCTCGAAGCCGGATTGCACGAGCGACGTGTCGCAGGAACGGGTAGCAATAGCGTCAGTTCCCGAAGCCATGGATTCTTCTGTGTTGAGGTCAAGAAACGATCAAGTTCAAAGGCCCGCCGGCACGGGAATACCCTACCTTGGGGCGGTAGTACATTGACTATCGTAGATCTGGCTGGTAGCGAGAGGGCCAGGGATGCAAAGACTGCAGGCGCGACACTCGCTGAAGCGGGCAAGATCAACGAGAGTTTGATGTATCTCGGCCAGTGCCTGCAGATGCAGAGTGATGCTGGCAACACCAGCAAGGTAAGATAACTGACCCTGCCCCAATCAGGCTCACCGATATGCTGATGCTTGTGACGCAGCCCAACGTGGTGCCATTCAGGCAATGCAAACTGACAGAATTGCTCTTCTCCAATTCTTTCCCATCGCCGTCTTTCAATCAGTCTCATTCTGTCCGGCGAAACCCTCAGAAAGCCGTCATGATTGTGACTGCAGATCCCCACGGTGACTTCAACGCTACATCCCAAATACTGAGATACAGCGCGTTAGCCCGAGAGGTCACCGTTCCACGAATCCCGTCAATCACGCAAACCATCCTTTCGGCCAATGCGAACGCCTGCAGCAACTTCAATAATCATCCACAACCATGCTCCAGTCCAGTGTCATCGCCGCCCCTATTGCACAATCGACCATTCTTCCCACCTGGCTCGACGACGGCGCCCCACATTCCGCCATCGAGCCCAAATATCCAACGCACATTCTCCCCTGCCAGCGCAGCATCCGAGGACCGCGCTACAATGGAAATCGCAGCATTGGAAATCGCGCGTCTATCCGAGGAGATTGATTATCTGCGAGACACCGCGAATCGCGAGCATGAAGCCAGAGTATCTGCCGAAGCTCATCTTTTGTCCATGGAGGATCGCATGCTGGAGCTTGAACAAGCCGTCCGCGAGGACTGTGTAGCTGAGTTCGAGCAGCGTCTAGCGGTTGAACTGGCACGATGGAAGGCTGGGATGCAAGTCGAGATTGAACGTGGTGAAGAGCACTGGGACCGTAAGATTGAGGTGTTCGAGCGCAGTCTCGGCGTCCAAGTAGTCGTCACTGGAGCAGCAAGCGACGATGAAGTCGAGGGCGAGAACAAAGAGAACGTCCTGGTCGAGAATTTGCAGCAGGAGAATGATCGGCTCAGACGTGAGATGATGGTCCTGAAGCGTGAGCTTGCAGGTCGCAGCCCTAGCAAGCGAGTCCCTCTTGGTGAGAGAGACGACGTGACTACAGGCACGCCCAGGTCCAGCAAAGGCGGCGATAGCCTCCAACGCAAAATGGAGAAGCTAAGGGTCAGCGAGGATGGTCGCGGTAGCTCGGCGTCGAGACGAGACGACAGCAATGGTAGCCCGAAGAAGATGAGGAAGCTGACCGCGAAACATTGGGAGAGTGGAGTCGATGATGATCTCTTCTGAGTGGAAGGCCAATAATTCCTTATGAGCAACGTCTGGAATGGTGGTTTTTCAAAATCGTTTGGGCCAGGTTGCCGTCAGCATGTTGCGGATACCCAATATGTTCAGGTTCAGGGGAATTGGTTGTCATTTGTTGGAGTATACCCGTTGTTTGCAAATTGTATATCTGAGCTCTCTTTGTCTTAATGAGTCCTATGAAAGCAGAACCCCTGCTGTACGCAAAGCCTCAGTGTCTTCCATGCCTATGAGACATTCAGATTTCTTGTCATCGCTAAGACTACCTACCGTCTATGGTCAAGGAGCATAAAAAGCGTCTCCGAATTGGTATCGTATTCAGCCCGGCGAGATCTTCTTCCCTGAAAGTAATGGCAAGACTGCTATCACCTTTCAGCAGAGTTTATCGTCGTTAGGTTTGCAGGACTATGTGATGCATGATAATCAGAGGACGAGCGTGTGTCCTTGACAAATTTCCAGATCATCATTTCCGAAAAGTCGTACCCTCAAGGTAGTCTACGCTTTTACCGTTCAAGAGGCTGTAACTTCCCCATTGCCACTATCTATGTCGACTTCCATATCAATCATGTCATGGCTCTTAGTGAGCACACACTCTCTAGAGCTTTGAGCCTTTCAGTGCGGGACGATACTTTCTACAAAATGGTCCTGCCACATGTATGAAACTTGAGGGAACAGGATCGATCTCAGCCTTGCCTGTCGTATCAAGTCAAGATAGTGGTTGCGATGCAGCTCAATCGTGCATCAAGGCAGAAGGTCTCAATCAAAGCGCATCACAAATGGATCTGGTACCCGAAATCGTGGTCCATTGTACACCAGTCTTCATACCAGAGAATCTATTTTCAGCTCAAACGGTCGTGCATTGTGCCAATCAGCGGTCGAACATCGACAGCAAGAAATTAGACGCAATGTAACACGGCTCAAAATTAAGCCGCCGTCCCTAATTTCTGACATCAAGCTCGTCATGAATCCACGCCGGGTCATCTTGGACTTGCGGAAGAGCCAGTGGATTTGCAGCTTTTCGACTGTAGCTGCAGCAGCTGGCCTAGAACGACGGGGAAACGGCTCTTGGCATCACACAGGTGCAAATGCTGAGGATCGGTGGCTTGCAGCAGCTTGTCCTCCTTCAAAAAGCATGGCGTCCCAGAGGAACAATCTGTGGCTTTTCAGCAGCCTGGGCTTGTCGGCACACGCGACGCGTTTTCACTGTGCCGAGGAGGACATTTTCATCATACAATATTAAGCTGAAGTCTGAGCGAGACTCACAGCCACAACTCCAAGATGCATTTCACGTTGGCTAGCTGTCTGCTTAGCATAGCCATGTTGGCATATGCCGAGGCAGCTAGGGAAACAACGACTTTGAAGATGAAGGATGGACTAGAAGGAACGAGCTCTATCGAAGCATACCAACCTAAGATTACAATGCCGCCACAACGACACGATGTTGAGCTGAAGCAGCGTGCGGACAGTGATTACTCAGACTTGATAGGATTCTATTCGATAAGTGGATACTGTATGTTGCTGCACACCGTGCTGCGTTTGGGAATCTGCTCTTATTGATTTTGATGATAGGGTACTCAATGACATGTGGGTCGGGACAATATTTTGTTGGTGTCGGTACCAATGGAGCGTGTTGCAATAACGGTCAGTCAACTTGCGACTATGCAACGGCTTGTGAGGGAAACGAGGTTTTAGGAAACAATGGAGGGAGGGCTTCGTGTGGTGGAGCCCTGAGTATTTGCGACACATTGACCTTGTTTCAATCAAGTGGCATCCCGGCAAGCGGTGTGTGGAGTATTGTCGAATGCTTTGGGGGCTCAGGGTTCTATGAGTTTCCGAGAACACTTTATCGAAACGAGTTTGCGTTGACCACCTCTCAGACAGCAAGTACAGTGACAGATACGGCCACTGTGACTGCGACTGTGACGGTCTCGAGGGGTCCAGCCACCAGTCTAAGGGGTAGAGAGATGGAAAGGTTGTGGATCTGTGTTCTGCCCCTTTTGATGGGAATCTTTGGCTCTTATTTTATATAGTAGCTGAAGACGGACACAAGACTATGCCTGTATATCATTAAACGTGGAAATCTGTCACATCATTGCATCCAGCAAAGAACGACTGGGCAGGGCCCAATAACTGAATGAGATGACTGAATCGTACTTGTAACGGACTCATCGCTAAATCTCCGGTGATTTTGAGAGAAAATAGCGAGGTCTTCCAGCAGTGCGCGTTTCCGTAAACCTAAACAATAGGTAAAAGCAACAAGTATGATACTAGATTGAATCTCATCCTACAGAGAATAGACCTTCTTGTACCTCAAGTCTAGAACAGGACTGCAACATGCGGGAACAACGCCGCTACTTGATCGAAAGCATGCATCTTTCCCGCGTATGTCTAAGGAAGGCTAAACGAAAAGTTCAAAACGTTGACGGAAAGGACATGCAACGCTAAAAGGTCACGTCAAAAACAAGCATCCATTCCCGGTAATTCAGGTCTGTGGTTGTGGTTATGGTCATCTTAATGGCTCCATGAAAAAGCCAACACTACAGCGCGTTATCAACAGAACAATAGAATGATGAACGATGAATTGGATATGAAAATAGTTCCATACGACTACCGGATCTTGGAAGGCGGCCGCTGCTTGGCGGCCGCTGTTATTGAGCCGTCCGCTTATATTCCCGCCGTTTTACGGAGATGTAGGATAGAGGATAGGTGAAATTAAAGAAAAATCATAATCAACATGTTCCCACAAACACCAAGCTGGCGAAGTTGTTTTTTATCGATAATCATCAATGAATTTCTCTTGTAAGAAACGATATCTCACCAAACCGATTCTCCAGAATTCTTCGCAATGTACTTCCGAGGGCTCACGTCTCTTTGCCCCTGGGTATTCGCTCTCATATCATCAACATATGGATATAAGAGAATCGGAGAAACTTGCAAAATTGCAATTATTGGTAGGATGGTTTCTTCCTTGTGTGCTGCCCTCTAGAAACCCTTCACTATCGATCGAAGACATGACCATTTCATCTGAGAAACATTACCAGGGGCCGGAGCTGGCGGATCGTCGACTGCTTATCATCTGCGGACGTTTGCCAATGAGAAGCGTCTTCCTATCGAAATCACCGTCTTTGAGCGCACTAATCGTGTCGGCGGGAGGACCAAAACCGTTCCCATCTGGGATGATCCCGACCAACCTGTGGAACTAGGCGCCACAATATTCGTCGATAAGAATTATATTCTTTACGGTTCAGCCAAAGAGTTTGGCTTCGACATTAATCCGAATCCTAGAAATGTTGGCCCGACTGCCTTCTGGGATGGAGAGCGTGTGAGGTTGATGTTATATGAAAATGGTTCGGACTCTCAGATGCTTTACACCAAATACGGACAATCGCTGTCGGAAACATTTGCACTCTCCGAAAACATTACCGAACAATTCTTGAAATTATACAATGAACCTCATTTTCCCTTCCCAGACCTGACAAAAAGTGTCGCCGACTTAGGCCTGGACATTGTTACTGGTATCACCGGTGCACAGTTTCTCGATATCAATGGAGTAAGGAGAAGCACCTGTATCTGTTTAACGTCAATAGCTGACCGAGATGAAAGATATCAAAGCAATTTGCACAAGATTATGTCCAAGTAAACATTCGCGCAAATTACGCGCAAAACCTGAATACTTTGCATGGGTTTATGACAATGGTGATTTACAACCCTCCTCAGGCCTCTTCCACGAATTCTCAGTTCCTCAAACTTGACTATACTATTGGCTTTTAACTCTAACTGTTTCTAGACTTCACTGCAAGACTCGGCCACGCACTCTGTTGTCGGCGGTAATTGGCACATATTCCAAGAGATGTTAGAAAGATCTGGAGCCGAAGTGAGACTGCATACACCGATAACATCTATTACCAGCCATCATGACGGCGGATACACTTTAGAGACACATTCGTGCGGTTCTAAAACTAGGGGAAGCGGCGGTGTATCGCGACATTTCGATATTGTAGTTTTTGCAGCACCCTTCCAGTTCAGTAAAGTGAAAGACTTGCAGGGGCTGATCAACCCTTCCATTGAAGAGATCCCTTACAAGAAACTTCACGTCACATTGTTTGCTTCTCCGCTTCGCTTTGATCCGACATATTATGGACTTTCCCGCGAAGACACGCCAGAAGATGTCTATACAACACTTGCTCCTGGCGATAACTCTCCTCCAGGTCCAGATGGCGTTGGCAAGGCGATGTTCTTCTCATTTCAGATATGGCAGACCGGAATCAATCCGAAAACAAGCAAAGAGGAGTTTATCTACAAGATTTTTTCTGATGAGAAGGTCACACCAGACTTTCTTTCTTCTGTGTTTGGCGTTCAAATACCTCCGACATTTGTCGGCAAGCCTGGAACTGACGCACAAGGGGATGGTCCTATCTCGTGGTACTATCCTCATGTATGGGATGCATTTCCCATCGGATCACCTCGGACAACTTTCCAGAGTCCTGTTCTTGCCGAAGGATTATACTATACCTCCGGGATTGAGAGCTTCATTTCGACCATGGAGACTAGTGCACTTATGGGAAAGAATATTGCGCAGCTCATTGTTGATATTTTTGATACTGGAAGTGCAGATATCAACTGAGTAGGGTGAAGGGCTAAAAATGGGTCGTGGCTATGTCTAGAAACGTATCTCATCAGCCTTGCACTGCAGAATCATTGAGACCAGTATTGAAAGGCTTCTACCTATCTTATAACAACCTGTGACATACACAAGTATAATGACCAATGATCTCTTCTCTTCTACTTTTTTTTTGCCTACCACCTGCCTCTAATTCGTATTCGCCTTAACTTGCATATGATTTCAAAGTGCACAGTGACGAGGGGAGACTTCGACATAAAAGCCTGAGTCGGTTTAAGAATCTATGTCTTCTACTTCGCCTTAACGCCTCGCTCTCATGCAAAACCCAAGGTATCGTCGCTTAAAATCTATGAATGACTAATGCATCTCATGCTGCTCCGTCGTCGGGGATACCAATATCTTCTGCCTTGACTAGCCAACCATTATCACTAGCCTCTTCAAGTGCGCGGTACCAGATGGCTGCCATTTTAGCATGACCCTCATCATCCGGGTGTGTATCATCGTGCATATCCTCCTTCTGCGGGCCGTCGGCGCCGTGCATGTCTGCTAGCACGACGTGCTTGCCCTCTCCCTGCAGGCGATCGGCGAGGGCCTTGTATTGCACGTTTATCAGCTTGACATTCTTCTCGGCATTCGCGTTGAGGTTGATGATAAGCGTGGACAAGATGACTGTTGCTTTTGGGCTGTCTTCGAAGAGGTTGTTGATCATCCCCTCCATCCGCGAACCGGCGTTGGGAATGTCTTTGTTCTGGACGGCGTCGTTCGTTCCTGCATTCACCAGAATGACGTTGGGCTTATATTCAGGCACTGCAACTCGCGCCTTGGGGACAATTTGGTCGATTCTATAGCCGGGCCAGCCCTCCACGTCATTGTCCTTCATTGTGCCAGCCTTCCGTGTGCCAACCATATTGACGAGGTTTCCGCCGTCTGTGATGGCACTGCGGAGATGCTCCCGATAGCCATTACCATCTGTCGAGCCCTGGCCGTACGTAATAGAAGCACCAAGTGGCATAGGCCGTAGAGGTATACCATCTCCTAGAGATTTCGACGATATATTCACTGCGAACTTCTGGAAATTGTCTTCTCTGTCAAGACTCACAGGGACGGCGATGGCTGGAGCGTCAATTAGTATCGCCATGGAAGCTGTAGAACATCCTCATGACTCACCCGGCACCACACAAATGATGGAGAGAATGATGGCCATAGTGATTATTATCATCTTTCGTGACCACGTTTTTGGCGATAGTCGAGAAAATCGTGAGGCTTTAGAAAGTTCAGAGTTCGTTGAGGATGTATCCTTCTCAGGGAGATCTGTTTTCACGGGTTCCTGCAGCTGACCTTGCTGAGCCAAAATTCTGGGCGCATTACCGACGCCATCGTCGATAGGTTTTATATGCATCGAGGAGCAGGGCCTTCTCACCCCTCCCCGGCTCAAATAAAGATGTAATTCTACCCCAGATTTCTAATTAAAGCGCGATTGGACCCAAATTGGCGGTTGCGAGGACCTGTGGCAGTGAATTGAGGCTAAATGATGACAGCCACTGAGGGATCTGGAGAATTAGCGCAGAGTAATCGCCCCTGGTCGTATATGCTGTCGAGTGAGAGATTGGAGCCTATCTGGGTGCAGAACAGTGAGGATGAAGGCCAAGAACAAGGCTTCGCGAGATGATCGAGGATCGGCGGGACCATGAGATTTAAGCGCAGCCATGCGGCGCTCGAGGATTCAGGGACCATATGCCCTTTTAAGGCCCCCGACATGCCGTCAGACCCTGACAAGCACGACACATATCAGACTAGAGCATCCCCCTCTTTCGACGGAGAAAAATGGGCAGGGAACACTGCCCATCCTGGCGAGCCTGGGCGAGATGGTGCAGCGCCCGTATCAGGCTAACCAAAGAGCGGTCCAGGCATCTACTACTGGCAGCCTGTTGTGATGTTGATGTAGCTAAGCTTTTTCGGGCGTGGAATTTCATCACAGTTTCAGTCCATTGGATCTAGGCCCTCCCTCAAGCACTGGACCCTTGTTGACGTGTTGGTGCCAGAAAAGGCGCCAGATTGGCTCAGACTCCAATAGCGGCAGAGGGTGTGATCGTGTGCCCCATTACTGTTGTTGGCGTTTCATGCTTGGCTCAAAGACATTGACCGGGATCGCCCGGCGCCTTCGGTATCGAAGCCCGCCACTAAGGAGGGGGATCTGCGATAAAGCTGGGATGATTTCATGGTATTGAGCTTAGCATGCCAGGAACCGCGCCACCATCGAAAGGGGAAAACAATCGACATTGACAGGCAGAGAAAGATGCGCTCCCGGGAGAACAAACGGGGCGATGCGTGACGATTGACTACTGCATTAGGACTGCGAACATCATGAACTCATGATTATGAATCCCTGCCAACTCACGAATACTTCTGGCCATTCGCTGATGCATGCAGATGGCCTATACTTTAGAGATGCCCCTTCCTGTATCTTCATGACACAGATTGGCAAGGCATCCCCGGGAACCAGCAACTTCGATGATGTGTAGCGGGGGCTTATCGCCAGGCTTCCGTCAGATTTGCGGAGTACGTGGTCCCACATGAGTGACGAATTTGCCGGATGGCTGGAGAAGGATCGAAACAAACAGAGGCTGAGGATCAATGGACTCGGACCCGTTACACAATCTCCCTCCTGTTCGAGCACTTGGTATCCTGCTTGATGACCTACAAGACGCAAGCTGAGATGGATGCTTGTAATATAGGTCGGGGAAACGCAATCTCTGTTAGCGATCTTTCATCATAGACTTGAGGCATGATTTTACTCCCATCCTGAAGCCTCCACAAGTTTATCTACTGGTAAAGTGCTCCATGGCATCCGTGGCCCAACGGTGGCAGCCAGCATAGATGCATAGCCCTTTGTTACAAACTCGGCCATGTTTATGTTGTAAGGGAACATACTTCTGATGCCGATGTAAATGGGAATGAGAACTGCACCATAGAGCCCATGATCCTTCAAGACGAAGGGCTTTCGATATTAGGAGCACTGGTTGACCATTGTATTAATTATGACCAGTCAGAAGAATTTAGTGATGTCTAAGGTGCTATGCGTTCATTTCCAGCCGTCTGAATCGACCAATACCTGAATTGGATTTGATCTCCTGGCTCTAATGAAGAGACACGCTGGCTGTTGAGGGATTTGATGTAGTAGACTCCAGTCACTCTGCCCATTGCATGGGGAGTTGTGTGATCAGCTATACGTTAACGCGATGATCTCCAGCACGGGCAAACAAGCGGGTTCCGCTGTGTCGCCCACGCATAATGAGAGTTACCTCGGTAGCTCACACAATTGATCAGTGCGGATTGGTGCAACCTTCAGTCATAGCGCCAGTTTTACTGTGTTGTAGAGGAAACCTCGTAAATCACCAGTGAGACAAGTGCTCCATGTGCACTGATGCAGCTCGGAGGTGCTGAGTTCGAGGCAGCACACTGCTCTGGGTCTTAGCTCCATCCCAGCCTATTTTTACAGCTCTAGACCCTATTCCCGCAAGCGAAAATGTAAGAAAGCCTGACCGAAAGTTCCTGACGATGTGTGCCCAGCTTCTCGAATCTAAAGTGGTGAATGGAAGAGGACAAGTTGCCTGGCAATGAAAGATGGACCCATCATGAGCGATGTGAAGTCTGACAAAAGAATCGCAAAAAGGGACAAAAACTAAATCGCATGCCAGTCAGACGCTAAAGGGAAGGTAAAGGTATCAATCAATGCATTGTGTAGAGTTAAAAAAAAACAATGAAAAAAATAATCAGGTATGGCTCTACTACAGTTCGGTGGACCGACTGTGGTTCTGCTCATCCACGATGAGTGTTGGTGATGTGTGTACGCATCTCGGATGCGGGGAGTCGAACCCCGGGCTCATGAGAAACTCTGAACTAGATGGTATTGAGAGTCATGGATGTTACCGCTACACCACACCCGAATTGATTGAAGGAGCAGCCTCTTATTTCATGTTATACGCTTTGTGGAAGAGTGGAATTGTTGGCGGTGGCTGAGGGTTGGGTTCGGCATTGGTGCGAGTCAGTGTGTGGATCTGATAGTCACCATCCATTTTGAACCCCCCACTAAGTTGGCTTCTGTGGTCGTGGGAAAGGAAGAAAGGACCATGTTGTTTCAACTAATGCGGAGGAAGTCTCATAGAATTGATATGGAGGGCACGTATATGCCAGAATGAGGATCGCCATAAGACATAGGCCATGGCCATCTATAGACACTGAACCTATGATTACTACCTACTTGTTGTCCGTCACAGTCTCATTTTCTCTACTGGTGGGCTTGCAGCTGCTAAAATCCACAGGCACACCACACAAATTGGTAGGCTTTGGCGATTGTGCAAACCCCATCCATGTGCACGTTTGCCATTGCTGTTTGTATCAAACTGTGCTCTTATATTCATGGGAAGGAATGTATCTATGGCGTGGCGGGTATCTCATTATTATGAAATAAAATAAAATATCTACATGCTTCGTTTGATGTCGTCAAACCGAGGCAGACGCATGCCTATATCCATGCCTATGTCCGAGTTTTGCCTTCGTCTTCGTCAACCGCACCCAGTTCTATGACTACGACATTCCCGTCTACCTCTGCTTCAACACCGTCTTCCTCGCTTTCGAGTATTCCTTTCAACCTCTCCTTCACTAGAGGATCCTGCTCCATCTCTTGCCACAATTCGAGATCCCATTCCTCCAAACTTCTATTCAGTTCCTTCTCACGGCCCTTCCGCCAGGTGCACCACCGACTTATCCTCCACAGCCAGCTCCACCGCCACTTCCACAGACCCATGATGATCAATGTTCGTTTGGCAACCTTGTATCCAAGCTCCATGCCGACCAGAACGAACAGGACCACAAGAAGGGTCAGCCACCAAACGGGATCCTTGCCAAATCTAAGGAAGAAGCCATCGCGAACCGCGTATGGGCTCGGCTGTTGCGCGTAGACTCCTGCCAAAAATGCCTGCCACAACCACCACCCACCGACTGTTATGAAGAAGCCAGTGAGGATAACCACTGACTTGTGGTGTGTTTCGATTATCCTGCCGGAACCGTTAGTCATCACTTCCGATCAAAGAAGGTCAATTTACTCACATCAACTTCCAGTTGGTCCACATAATGCAGACACTGAAAACAAGGTTGCCGAGCACAAACAGCCCATTGTCGCTGTGGGCACCGAGTTGGCCCCAGACACCGAATGCCGCCCAGCATCCGAAGAAGACTAGGACACCTTCGACGCCGGCCGCAATCATCCACCCCAAGAATTTAGTCGGATTCAAGCCTTTGTGAAACTGGCCGTAGACGTAGAGCTCGGGGACAGCCAAGAGGGTCTCAGCGGACAAATCTTTCTCCCAGATACCCGGTAGGATGACTGCCAAACTGGTAAACAGGGTGTTGAGCACGGTCAAGCTCCACATCTCATAGAGACTTGTTCCTGTATATCCAGTATAGCGAGAGAATATTTCGGTAGGAATATAAAAGAACATCTCTTTCCAGAAAGTGCAAAGGATGAACTTGGCAGTGCGAGTATAATTCCATCGACCATGCACAAGTAGTAGTCTTTGAAGGAAGCGGAATTGAGCAATGGAGTAATCTGCCACTCGTGCTGCCTGCAGTCCCTCTCGACCTGAGATACCCACACCGACGTGTGCCTCTGCTATCATAGCAAGATCGTTCGCACCGTCACCGATTGCGAGTGTCAGAGGAGCTGTGTGTGATGGGTTGGCTCGCCGAATCGCTCTCACAAGGAGGGCCTTCTGGGCTGGCGAGGCCCGGCAGCAGATGACGGAATCGATAGTCGGGATGAGGCTAAAGAAAAGGCTTCTCAAGTGCGGATTTGAAGCTGACGGATCAACTGGATTTTCGATAGCACCAAGTGTGTGGCCATCGATGACAACAACGGTATGCCGCGTAAGGTGTGATCCTGATGATGTAACCTCCAGCTCCTCCCGAATACCGAGTAGCTGTTCCTCTAAATCTCCTTTAGATATGTCGAGAATGAATATATCAGAGCCGGGGCGACAAAGTCTTGCTGAATGGGCGATGTTGATGGCAGTTTCTCTTTTGTCGCCCGTTAGCATCCAAATTTTAATATTAGCTTTGCGCAACTTCTCGATTGTTTCGGGAACTCCTTTCTGCAGTTTGTCCTCGATCGCCGATGCACCAACTAGATCAAGATTCTGTTCGATCAATTCGCCGGCATCTTCAATCCTCTCTTGTCTGTCGACAAGACTCGTCGAAGCATCCAGAAACACTTTCCTCCAAGTTTGATATTCGGTTTCCGAAATGTACTTGTGTGCATATAACAAGGTTCGTAGACCTTCTGTAGCAAACTCGTCAAGATGCTTGAAACAACGAGAGAAGATTGTTGCATCATCCGAGACCGCCGGGTCATCCAAAAACGAAAATTTGTCTGATGAATGTTCAGTTGCTAATGGCGACTGAGGCATGCCAGAGTGGGAGATATGTGAAGTGTTGCGTGTGATCAAAGGCGGCCGCGGGCGATCTTCCGACCGGGTCATCTTGCCGATCTCAAAAGACTTGCTGCGGCTTGTCATTGACGGTCGAGCGGTGGATGGGCCAGCTATAACCTGGCCGTCTAATGCAAGACTCCTGCGGATGTTCAAGCTGGGCCGACCGCCAAAGCTGTTTCGAGGTTCAAACTGTTCACTTTTGCGGCGAAGAGCACGCTCAATTTCCACGCTCTGTCGTACTTCATTGGCTTTCTGGATAGCAAGATGGGCTAACTTCAGCCGCGGTAGAATCATTGAATCTGCGCCTTTCGATATGAGCCAGATGCGGCCATCTGGACACCGAACGATGACTGACATCCTCTTGCGTTTGCTACTGAACTCAATGACGTCGAGGATCTCATAGGTCCTTTGTATCGATGTTCCATCCGAGTTGCTAATTTGAAGTGTAATTTGTTGAGAAGACCGGTGTACTACCAGGAAGCCCAAGTCCCGTGCAGCCTCGACAAGGGCAAGTTCGTCGGGGGAGGAAGCCTGGAATTCCACATCCCCGTCCCTTGTCTCTGGCAAGACAGTGTGGCATAAAGCCACAGATAAAATAAACTGAATTGCTCGCCGAGAGAAGGGTGAGTTTGGTCTCTGTCGGATAAACTCCAGCAGATCAGTGGTGTTCAACTCAGGCTGGACATGGTCAGGACGGGCAGATGAGCGCCAATGGGACGATGACCTCCGCGTGATCGATGGCGAGGAAGGGGCATCGGCCTGAAAGCTAATGCGTTCAATGGCCTGCGGCACCACTCTGGTTATGTCCAAGGATTTGGATCGAGGTGCGTTCTCTTTCACGGTCTCTAAAGCATTGCCGATAACAGGCGTATTAGTCTCGGTTTGGACATCAGCCTCGTGCAGCCATGACGTCCCTGCAATGCTGATCTTGCGAAACTTCATCACATTCTCGGTCAAGGTTCCCGTCTTATCGGAAAACACATAGCCGACTTGGCCCAAATTCTCGAGAATCGTATTGGTGTTGCAACGAGCAGGAGTATCGGAAGCCTCGTCATACATTTCGATGTCAGAGTTTAGCATGAGTAACTGGCCGATCTTGATGAGTTCCAAGCTGACATAGAGCGCCAGGGGGATGACATTGTTGAATTGAATTGCAAATCCAACAATGATCTCTTCGGCTGGGACGGAGGCGCCCGTCAAGTACCAGGCGTCTTTCTCGGTTCTATTTTGCCATAGCATGTAACCAACTGAACACCCCGCAGTCAAGGCCAGGACATAGACAACCAGACTGAGGACAATTCTGTTGTAAACGGCTTCCAGTGCAGGCTTCTTTGCCCTTGGATGCCGGTTCGCGTTCATACGGATCTTGCACTCTTCTCCCGAATTGATTACGATGCCAAACGCGGTGCTGGTGTTTCGAACTGTACACCCACGGTAGATGATCTCATTCAGAGTCAGAGGTGAAGTCTTCCCTTGTACTGTGACTCGGCCGTCAAATTTATACAGGTCCGCGTTCGGATCCTCGACCACGAACTCTGCATCACATGACATGATGCCCTCGATTGAATTGCATGCTTTCAATGCCGGGGAGACCTGTTTGCTCTTGAGGTTGGTCTCGCCGTCCAAGGCCATGGTTTCGATATACGCCATGCCATCCTCACCGTCAGCGTGAAGCAAGATGAGATCTGCGGGTACATCATCATCCCTAGCAAGCTTGACGATGTCTCCGACTTTGAGATGACTCCATTCCGTTTTAGCCCAGTAGAATGGCCCGAAGGCCTCACTACCATCATTCTCCTCGTGTATAGTAGCAGCGGTAGTTCCGTTTTTCTTGAGCCCCAGCAGTGCACGCCGGCCATGTTCAGACTCGCTGCCATGCCCTGCTCTCCTAAGCACCGTCGCTCTGGTGGCGTTCTCAACCTTGTCCAGACGGTGTCGTTTGTAATCATCATATCCTTCCTTCACAATTGTCAACAACACGAAGAACATGAGCGGCAAGATTGTCGTAACGTTTCCTGTCGTACTCAAGCCCGGAACGGTCTGCGGGACACCAACACAGAGGAAATAAAAGTTTCCTAAGCGAGTAAACTGAAACCAGAGCTGCTTTGGGAAGAAGTCGATAACGCTGTAACGAGCTGTACGAATCGCATTCGAGATGTAGGCATGGCCGCGACGTTCGTCAACGAGAGGCTTCGTCCGAGCGATATCGAGAGGGATGTGACGGCCATCCTTGGAGGGCGGAAGGGTCTTTCGTTGTAGGAGCACTTCGAGAATCCAACGATTGTATAACTGGTGCACCTTCGTTCTCAGGTTATTTTGACTCGGGGCGTTGTTTTCTTGGCCTGCCGGTGAGCCAGTAGAAAGTGATCGCCCTTTCTCACTCATCACATCCGAGACCTCGCCCACAACGCCGCCTCCCCCATTGATATCGCTCATATTGAGGTCTACTGATTACGGTTTCCTCGGTCGCATCGCAACAGTTCTCGAACCGGCGAGCCGATATTTGTGCGTAGTCAGGAGTCTGAAGTGTCCTCCAGATTGAGCTGCGATCACTCAGATGGCATAGCCCGCGCTCAGTCTACCAAAAGCTGAACCCGCGTGAGCCGTTGTGAGTCTTTCAGTGTCGGTGTAACGTTGTCAGAATCGTCCCGGTCAAGTCACTCCGACCTATCCGCAGCGAGGTCGGCGTTCGATAGCGAGAGAGTTAGCTTCTTAGATGCAAGAAGTCAATAGTGCCAAAACGAATGGACGGCTTTTGGGGCCTTTGCGGTCGGTCAATGACGGTGTCGTCGTACAAACTTGAGATGCAAAAATGGACGAAGCCAAAGGATACGAGATGAGTTGAAGATCAAGAGTCGCAATCCTGCTTTCTAGCGCCCTCGGGTTGGGTGGGACCAAAGCCTGTAGCCCACAGGCTACGCGTCCAGGGTTAGCGTGTTGCCCCCCACGGCCCCTTACAGAAAGGATGGGCATGGCTTAAGTGGAGCCGCCGGTTGAGCTGATCTAAATTGAGAAAACCGCCGATATTGTCGTTAGGCACTTGGCGATGAGATAAGTCCCCTGAATCTCTTTCACGTGGTAGATCAATTATCTCTATCTCAAAAGCACGCTCAAGGCGATTTGGCAAAATAACACAGAAGAAAACCACGCTCACAGAGTTGATCAGTCTGCATCGATCAGCAACTCTATCTTCTCTCTACCATTCGAACTCTGCTCGGTAGCCTGCAAACCGTATTTTGTCCCTTAGGTGATGTGGCCTTTTTTACTAGTCTTATCAGCAGTCCATGCGCGCCGGCTGGGATCCACCTGAGAGATTCTGCTCGCGTGAAGAGAGCATTGGTTACAAATTCACATTCTGGTTCTTCAATGCTCTCTATAGAGCAGAGATTGATCGACGGACAAATGATAGAGAGAGAAGCCTGAACTAACGTACACGATGGATGCATTTATGACGAAGCTCTCCAACGATGTGTACCAAATCCAATGTTACGGCTGTCCAGATCAAATGCCATGTAGAATCCTCGCATGAACGGACTTCCGAGCAGGAAGAAGTCGTCTTCATAGACATCAGGGCTCCAAGTAAACGGCCACAAACAGCGATATTCTCCAGTGGCCACCGATTGCATAACATAGTCATCAGGCCTCAGAATGAAGTCCTCGCCCGCCAATGTGAAGACGAGATCTGGCAGGATCGCCATCTTGCTGCATTCTATCCCTGGTAATATGAACCACGAAATACCCCTAGGTTTGGCAATCTCATCCAGAACCCGGACAATAGACCGTGGGAGAGCGATTTGCGGATAGATGGTGTCAAATCTCGCCGTTCCGTTCGAAGGCAGGTCTGCCCTGAACGTCATATTCTCCCCAGATGTCCTGTTGAACCAGGTGAAGGCAACTGAATCAGCAGGAACCTGCCACGTACTATTCAAGATGGGATAGTACAGGTCAGGTGGGTCCGTATTGTTGGACATGGGGATAAACACCATCGAAGTATTTGGGGCTAGTAGCTCTTCGTTGACACCGCCGAGGGTCATTTCTCCTGGTATCATTCCCCAATCGGGATCATAACGTCCAAGGTACACTGAAAGAATGTTGTCTTTGACTAGTTGCTTTTGAGCAATTCGCGTCCAAAGACCTTGGAGTCGGGCAGCGGAGTTCTCGTCATCGGGAGCAAACCCTATCACAGCATCCCAATCCTCTAACCATGGAACGAAGGGGCTGGATGAAACTCGCATCCCTTCTAGAAACTGCTGGTTTTCAATTTCAAGGCCACCGATAGTCAAGGCATCACCAGTCACCACAGCCTGATAGTATAAACCGGGGTAGCTGTTAAGGACAACCTTGCCCGTCCTATTCACAGTTCGGGACCAATCGCCATTGTATTGAAAATGCCCATTGCACAGTCCGTAAGAACCCTTGCAAGTCGATGATGGTACAAATGTGTCGGGCGAGGAGATATCAAGAAGTGCGCGAAATGGCTGTGGGGGTGTCCCAATCGTCATGCCGGTAAAGTACTGTATGTTGTTCCATACCTATCGCAGGTTAGGCCAACACCTGTCTTCAACTTTTCCAAAAGCTTAGTGCAATGCAACTTACCACAATCGGGATGCTGTGGAGTCCTCTGTGAGGAAGGCCCGGAATACCAGTTTTCAGGTGACCCCAATCAGAACACTCTTCATTTGCAGACTCAGTCACTACTTTCTGAGACTCTTCCCCTCTAATACCCTCTTTGATCGTGCTGTCTAATTGCCTTGCAAAAATGAGAGGATGACTCGGGGCTTGGAGCATTTCTTCAACAGCAACAACGACCCCAAATATGAGAAAAGTCAAATTCCAAATAACCATGATGCTGGTTTGACATAGACTGCCAGAATGGCTTCTGTTTCATTCACAGAAACAGAAGCAGAAGACATATCGAGCAGTGGTGGCAGCTGCTTCATATTCATAAAACGTGGCGCAGGAGATGCAAAGCCAACACCTGAGCTTACTTCCCCGCGTCCCTTGTGCCCCAGCCACCAGGCAACAGGTTAACAGTTCAAGCATAAATGAGGATCGGACAAGGCATCATCGATAAAATGGCGGGCAATATTAGCCCAGACTCGACCCCTGCAAATCCTTTGTCTTGATGGCGGTGTATTGCAAGCAATCAAAGAAAAAGGAAGCCGGCTCATACATTTCAACTCGTCGTAGTTGACGAGGGCGTCCATGCAGTGGTGTGACGCGGACTGAGGAGTAAAATTCAAGGTTTTGTTTCTATAAAAGAAAAAAGAAAAGACAAGAAAGAAGGAATTAATGTACAAGTGGGTTTCATTACTGAATGCATACGAGGAGTCTTTTTCTAGATTCAATCAGAATGCGAAGATGATTATGCTATCCTAGTCGAGGCGTATCCGGTGATAATAGTGGTTAAATATCAAGGTACCTTTAATATTGTGTCTCGATCATTCCTAGAATTCATCGTCATCGATAATATACTAGAAAGGGTTTGATTGTACGTGTCTGGTTTGATTAATCGTGGCAGAAGATCATTAGAGCGTACATATCCATCAACTTTCCTTCAGGCATGTCACGGATACTCTCGAGAAACACACACTCACAGCACTCGCAGCAATAGGGTAATCTGGTGTAAGTACATCACTCAAGTCTTGATTTCGAGTTCCGCAGAGTTGCGTCAATTGAAGGAATGTACTTTAAAAATGACTGAGAGCCTGTCTCACCTTTTCCCACTGTTTGCGCTTTCGGTATAGATTTTACTCTGACCTAGAATGAGGCTTAAAATATAGATGATATTTAGTACCTGCTAAGTCATGATCTAGTGAACTCTAAGTATCTATTTCATCGTGCCGTAACACCTCGTTAAGCAAATCCAGAATTCTCTGATGAACTCCGGCCTTCGCTGCTATTATACCTTGATTGTTTGAAAGCTCCCGGCCAGCGCCAAAATCGATATCTTTACCATCTATGTCCGTTATTTTGCCACCTACTTCCGTGAATATCAGTTGTGCTCCGGCATGATCCCAGACATAGGCTGTTTTGAAGGTTCCAGGAGGTGGTATTCGCATCTGAACGTCGCCGCCTCCAACAATTTGCGCCACATATCTCATATGTGAGGACCAAAGCTCGGTGCCAGGGTATGGCGCCCCAAGCTTCTCAGCAATATGGCGTACCTGCAGATGCCACCAAGTATCGCTCAGAGTAGAGTCCACAAAATGAAGAGATGCTAAGTCAACTGGACCAGCCATCAACGGATCTATGCTTCGTGATGGTTGGAGAGTACCGGTGCCCATAGGACGTATTGTCGCTCCCTGGCCCTTGACAGCGGATAGCATCAAACCAAGTCCATCGCGGTCAACCGTTTGCTCCGTGATTTTCCCAGACTCGAGACTTAGATTTGGGCAACCCAGCACGCCCACCACTTCTTTTGCATCTTCGATCAAAGCCAGTGAAACGGCGTATTGCTCTCCTCGGATGAATGTGGCGGTGCCATCTACAGGGTCAAGCATCCAGTATCGGCCTCGAGCTCCGCCGACACCTTGACCGCCGAGATCTATCACCTCCAGCATCTCGTCAACCGATGAGGGAGTGGCCAGCAAACCCTCGGCCGCTGCATCATCCAAGTGCGTCGTTGAGACAAGCTCCCAGACTCGTCCTCGCAACTCTGCATTCTGACGAAGGACATCTGCACATTCTTCCCCGATGAAACGGTCAGCAGGAAAGGCGTGGTGAATAGCGCTAATTATCAAGGCTTGCGCTGCGAAATCGGCGATGGTGACGGGACTGGAGTCGGATTTGGAGAGCTCGCCTCTATTGACCTGATGTAGAACTGTCTTTGTGAGAATGGACGCCCGTTGGACGGCAAGCTCCGCCACGAGACGCTCCCAAGAATAAGAAACGGCCGTCATGTTATTGAAGTGAGCTTGGAAAAAAAGTGAAGTGCGTGGTGCGCTCGGTCCACAATTAAACGGCGTGAAAAGCGCACAGATTCTCTGCAGACTGATCCCCCGGCCGCACGCCGCCTCACTATCAATATTGCAGAATTGACATATTCAGCATGATGCCTTATTTGAGGACGCAGGGCTCTGGTCTCAATGATTTGAGACTGTCGTGGCTTTCGTCTTCGCGCTATCGTCGCCCGGCTATAGTTAAGGTTGCCTCACGGCTCTTCGCAACCCAAGTCCAGTGGTCTGGTGCATTGTTGGAGAGAGACAGCAGGCCAGCTCTTGTTTGACAGGGGCCAATGCATTGGTTAACCTAGCTACAGGCTTCCGAGACAGCGCCTAAAACATCCAGCTAATGTAACTAATCTTGCTGGGTTCCAACGTCAACAACAATGAGCGAGAGCGTCGTAATATATCGTAGTGACTTGCACTCACACTGGCTGTGCATTCAATGTAATCACATTGTACTTGCTGTGAATTACAGTCTCGTAACACACTCGGCCTAGGAGTTCTAATCCGGGCAGCGCCGTCGGCGATCCGGCTTACTCTGGTAAGTACAGAGCACACTTGGCCCAGGATGGCATGGTGATATGCTGTAGAGTCCGGGTGGCCGCCAAGCCAACGACACCAAGGCTAAGGTAATGCCCCCCTCATCGCCCTAAGAGAGGAGGGGAGAGGGCTAGTTCCAGGTAGGCTGGATACATAGGACGCTTCGGCGGATTCCAGAAGACTTACTTCTTACCGAGGGGTTGATCCGTGCAGCACCTCATTAAGGCTTCGTCTCCTCCCTGGGATTCCTTTCTCTCTTCTGACCAACCACACGACTCGAGGTAATCAGATCCCCCATCTGATGGCCTTCAAGGCGCTGTCCCTCACTTGAAGGCTCAACCGGCCACAACGTTATGACCACCAAAACAGCTATCGCAGCGACTCCTGCGTCCTCGGCCGGAGTCATGAATCGTCGATCGAGAGGCGGCTGCATCGACTGCAAACGGTCTAAGATCAAGTGCGATGAAATCAGACCGTTCTGCGGCACATGCGCTCGCCGGAGGCATGTCTGCCAGGGGTATACCACGAACCCGGGCCAGAGCGCAGGCTCCAAAGCTCGCTCCAACTCAGTGACCACTTCACGGAGGTCCCATCATGCACCAGTAACTGAGGGCAGTGCTCCCTCGACCAATCCCAAAGTCGATGGAAAGACCGGTGCTCTGGCCTTGATTGACAAGAAAGATACAGAGCTGAGCGTACCAGATGCCTTGAGCTCTCCATACAGCGTCTCAGTCTCACTCAAGAACTTCTCGCTTATCCCTCCCGGCGTCGTTCATCCAGCCGATGAGCCTACCGTCGAGATTTACTTTAATCGGCACCCGTTCGAGCTCTTGATCGGCCCCGAGTTCGTCGACGAAATGAACTCGAATGTCTTGGTTGTTCTACAGCACAACCCCAATGTCGTCGTGGACTCCTTGTCTGGAATAGGCCATGTCTATCTGAGCAATGCGCGGCCCGATTCCATCGTTCCAGTGCTTGATCGCAGAGCTCGGATCTTAGCCAACCTAAGAGCTATGCAAGCCACAAATTATGATCTCGAAGAAGCTATGGTTCTCCTCCTCGGCTTATGCGCGATGGAGCTCGTTGATCCATCGGGGCCAACTCGTGAGGCGACTATCCCAGCTGTCATAGCGAATTGCGCCTCTTTGATCAATCATCACCTAGCATGCGGGCGCGAAATCTCGTCGCTATCCAAATACTTCATTCGGGCGCTCGCCCGTCAGGATATGGTTGTGTCATTAATACAACAACGGCGTCCTCTGATTCCAACAGCAGTTTGGCTGGACGAAGAAAGCCTGACATCCGCGGATCGGCTTATGGGCTACACAACTACCTTGATGCCTCTTTTGGCGGAACTCTGTGGTCTCGCCGAGGATATGCGAACTTACGTTCCGTCCTCTAATCTTATCGAGGGAATTGAGTCAAGCACAGTCGATCCATCCAATCTCAGTATTGATAATAGTCCTGAACTAGAGCTATCTTTCTCCTACCTGGACATTCTGGGTAGAGCCGAAGATCTCCGTCAGAGACTACAGTCATGGCGACCTACTGTTCCACCGGGTCTGCCGTTCCGTTCCTCCCGGAAGTTCCTCTCCCAGGCATCTGCGTACCGCGCTGGGGCGCTCCTTTACCTTCATCGGATCTTCAACCCGCCGGGATGCTCACCAGACTGTGACTGGGAGGCACTAAGCAAAGCGCATGATGTTCTTCTTCACACAACTGGTCCGTCAGACGAAGTACGAATGTCCTTATGGCCGGTTTTCCTCGCTTCCTGTGAGATGCAGAGTAGGGATGACCGGGCAGCGGTTCTTGAAGTTTTCGAATCCATCTCATCCCACAGGAAAACGGTCACTGTACGAAGTACCAAAGCATTCTGTGTTGACCGAGTATGGAAGGCTAGAGACGAGGGCCGCGATTGGAATTGGATGCCGTTGGCTCAACAGTACCCAGAAGAATGCCTACCCATATGATCTAACTGGCGGAGAGCATGACGTCAGGACTCAGCGAATACTATAGCTCCTTGGACAGCTGGTCTTGTGCTTGTTCCATTTTCCATCTCTCGAGCTTCAAGAGCTCATATACGGTCCTCATTGTTGGCGCCTCCACTCCTAGTTTCGTGGCCCAGGCCAACGGATTACCCAAGATAACTTCGATTTCCATGGGCCGGTCATGCTCCAGATCAAGTAACATACTAGGCCGATATACACAATCATCCGGGAGGCGATACGCAAGTCGATTTATCTCCCCCTCCTCGAGCGTGTGACCGGCAGCCTTTGCTATTCGCAGCACTTCCCACATCATTGGGATCAGGAGTGTCTCCCTGCCCTTTGACGCTTGAAGTTCTCCGACATTCATGCGCATTAGAGCACACAACGGGTTGAAGGAGCTATTCCAGAGTAGCTTGTGCCACCTCGCCTTTGGCATATCCTCCGTCAGAGTACAAAACGCCTCGGACGGCACGCCTTGGAGCCCAGCATTGTATATATCAACGAACTCTTTAGTTTTCTCAAACTGTTTCTCGCGACTACGGCCTCCGCATTCGTGGAAATGGGGTCCGATCGTCAACACGTCCGGTCCTGGCTGGCTCAGTTGATTTGGCCCTGTGGTCAACGAACCAATCATACTGACAGCCGACATTATAGTATTTGTCGGAAACGCGGCGGTGAGAGGCAATTCGATGTCTAGTCCATTTTGGATAAGGACAATGGCAGTTTTCGACGGTGTGATCAAAGGTGCGATGAGTTCTGGCAGCGAGTATCTATCAGGCAGTTGTTTAGTGCTGACAACTACAAAACTATAGGCTACGGCCTCTCCAGAGTCCGAGATGGCTGCATCGTTGACGGAGCTTACGACTGGATATTATCACCCGTTAGCAGTGGATTTAGTAATTCTACTTCCTGTCTTGAGAGCATACCTCGACTTGGTTTCCATCCTTTAAGTGTGCCGTGATCGCAACTTTCAATATCCCATCCACGCTCTTTTATGATCGCATATCTCGACCGGAGGACAGCAGTAACTTCTGCACGACCAGACTTCTCAAGCACTACAGAGGCTATTGTGCCAACACCTCCACTGCCGACCAGGCATACCTGCTGGAGATTTTTCAGAACGCCATTCATCGCCTGGATTGCAGAAGAGCTGACTCTTTGACCAAAAGGATTCTGGTTGGGTAGTCAAATGGTATTACTCTTATGTCCAGCGATGGAATCTGTTAGCCATTACCTTTATGAACCAATATGATTATTGAACCACCTAAAGATGCTATCGTAAAGACACTCTGAGATGCAAGACTATATTAGGTGCCTGTGCTTTCGAGCGTCGACGACACTAGACTAAGTCGACGACTAGCCTGCCCTAGCGGGTCGGCCATGGGGCCAGGGACTTAGAAGCTATCCTGGCTATCAGTAACAATCTTAGCTATCTCGCAGAGCTATCTGCGTATTGTAGATATCTGCACCGTGGGGAACTTAGCGACCCCTCCACCAATTAACGGTTGCGTACTCCTAGCACTCCAGCCCCTGTGCCGCTCCCGTTTTCGCACCATCCGTAACCTGGCAGGCGGGATAGGGACTTAGAGGTTGCGGCAATTGCTTGATAGCTTATGCTTAATTGGTAGGCACTGTAGAATTCTATTTTGTTTGATTTGAAACCGACTTCCGAAGGCTTCACTCTCTAATCGTCTATACCTATAGCCATCGTGCCGTCTTCTTCCTAATCAGACGTTGCTTCGCCGTGGGACGTCACTTGGAATATGGCTTCAGCAACTCCAACGGCCATGGAGCCCGTCTTGGTCAATGAGGTGGCCCCTCAGAAGTCATGGAACGACGTCGCAGCTGCCAAGAAGGCCGAGCAATTCTCCCGAATCCCTGTTCAATGGAGACTTGAGGCTGAATACTTGGCTTCCACGGCGGCCACGGTCGACCTTCGTCCACTGGCAGCAACCTCTGGTATTCTCTCGGAGCGAGAGCTTGAGATCACCGGCGAGGCATACGATGCCACTGCACTGCTGGCAAAGATCGCGAGCGGCACTTACACCGCTGTCGAGGTGGTCACGGCCTTTTGCAAGCGTGCTGCCCTCGCTCAGCAGCTGTGCAATTGTCTTACTGAGATAATGTTCGTTGAGGCTATTGCCGCTGCTGAAAAGCTTGATGAGGTATTCAAGCGGACAGGTCGGACCGTCGGCCCGCTGCACGGGCTGCCAATGACTTTTAAGGTAAACGATGAGATATTACCTTTGTTGCGGGCTTATACTAGATGCTGATGCATTTGCAGGAGTGTTTTCATGTCAAAGGCTTTGATGCAAGTGATGGCTACATCTCTAGATGTTTTGAGCCGTCCACAACCACTAGCTACTTGATTGAGACCGTCAGGGCTGCAGGTGCTGTGGTTATATCGAAGACCAATACACCGCAGACTATGTTGGTCGCTGAGGCTGATAACAATGTTTTCGGTCAGACCAGAAACCCTGTTGTCTCTCACCTCACATGTGGAGGCAGTAGTGGTGGTGAAGGATCTGTAGTGGCATATAGAGGCAGTGCATTGGGTATTGGAACTGATGTGGGAGGATCTATTCGGTAAGAACAACCTTCACTTGCTCATATACGAGAATATGTCTGACATCTCACAGCATTCCCGCTGCCGCAAATGGAATCTACGGCTACAAGCCAACCCTCGGTATCTTACCGATGTGGGGATATGCCGCGTCCAACTGGGCTGGCATGAATACCGGCGTGCCTGCCGTATGCGGCCCCTTGGCCCACTCTGCTCGCGATCTCACCATGTTTACCAAAGTAATCCGTGCTGCGCAACCGTGGCTAGGTGATCCAGCAGTGATACCATTTATTTGTGAGAAAGGTGTTTCGAAAAGAAAGCCTGTCATCGGTGTGATAGAGCAGAGCGGTCTTACACCGCACCCACCTATCTTGCGGGCTATCAGGGATGCTGCTGCTAAACTGCGAAATGCAGGCTTCGAGGTGAAAGAATTCACGCCACCAGATTTTGCTGAGGTTGGGAGGATCACAAGAGAGCTTTTCACATTAGATGGATTCTCATATCCAAAGCGGGAGATGACCAAGGCTGGCGAGCCTGTTGTTCCGTCTGTGAAAGCTATCAATTTCTGGGACATGTCAGCCAAGTCACCTGAGGAGATGTGGGCATGGAATGCCAAGAAGATAGGAATTCAAAAGGCGATGCTCGACTGTTGGCAAAAGGCCCAGATTGATATCGTTTTGTGCCCGGCTGGTCCTCATACAGCGGTTGCTCCCGGGCATTGGAAGTATGATTACTATACTGTGGTATGGAATGCTGTAGATGTATGTCTGACGAATTTCTTGAAGTCTTCACATATTCATCACCACAGTTCAAACCTTGAAAAGTAATACTAATTATTTATTTCTAGTACCCGGCAGTCATTATACCTTTCACGACAGCAGATCCGAGCTTAGATACTAAAAACTCAAGTTTTGTTCCCTTGTCACAGGATGACGAGGAAGTACAAGGATGGTGTGAGTATCACATGCGCCATAGTGCACTACTTTTGAGAACCGGGCCTAACTACTTTTATTACGCCTAGATGATCCAGCCGTGATGGCCGGAGCTCCGGCAAGCTTACAGCTAGTGGGCCCGAGACTCGGTGATGAGCAACTACTCTGGGATGTGGAGATGATTGATGAAGTTTTGAACAAGCCGGCAACTCTGACGAATGACAGCTCTAAGTTGTCTAAATTATGAACCCGACGAAACTGGAAACCGCTTGTTAATGTACTTGTTGGAATTGTTGATTATTCACGTTCAATCTGTCAATAGACTATATAACCCGTACCAATAACGAAGCTCTCTAGTAAATATTATTCCTAACGCCTGGTTTGCCGTGGGCCTACTAGTGGCATCCTTCCGTTGGCTTGAACTCATCTATAACGCTTTCTGGTTTAGTATATTCTAGAGATGAGTTGTATTCATAAGGCAGTCCGAAGGCCTTTGGACCAGTAATCTCAAGACCGCGCTTGGAGGTCCATACCGGATGCGGCGCCATAATCATTACAGTCACTTTGAGACCATATCTGAAGTCCGTGTTAGTCTGTAAACATACTTGCCACTATTCCTTTTCCCGAACTCACCGGTACTCTTGCGTCCCTATAGCCTCACCAGTTGAGGTATCAAGGAGAAAGATCAGATCGGGTACCGTCGCCAGAATCTATGAAATGTTTGATTAGCATGATTGGACGGCTCTTTAAAAGTAATTCTATTATCAATTCTCACCGTTTCTTCGCCTTTGCTGTTCTTTGCAATGACAGCTAGATTCTCATTCATGAATGGAACCACAACCTCGCTCCAGGCCTCCACTTTGTCTGCATCGGTCTCCATTTCGTCATCACTAAGTCGCTCGATGGTGACCTCACCCAAGCTATGTGCCGTTGCCGTGATCTTGCTGGCTACACCCCGAATCTTGCCCTGGAAGATGCGCCGAGCACTCTTGCTGCCACCAGACTCTTCGATCAAGGCATCCGTAACTGTTGCGATGGACGCAGCTCGTTGAGCTTTTGCAACGACTCTACCAAGGCGCCACGCAAGTGAGAAGCTATTAGGAATGCCCACGTCCTGCATATTCGTGCCGGATAGAGGACTGCCAGCAGCACCGCATGCGAAGCCCATCTCGGCACATACTTTTCGAATCTCTTTCCCAGCCGAGAGTTGATCTACTTGGTTTGCGGGGATGACGGCTGTCTTGCCCATGCCGTCACATAGAGTGACAGGTAGTAACTCGTTGACAGACTTTGCATGGACATATTTTGAAACCATCTCAAAGTTCGGGTAAGCACGACCCATCAGATCGCCGTCAACAATAGGAATGTTGTAATGTCTTTTGGCGCCCCAAATCAGAGTACCCAATCCATTAGCACCGCCGATCTCTGTAGCCACAATCTTTGTGAACTTCGCATTGACTTCCTTCTCCATTGCTTGCATGGCGTGAAGCACAAGAGCGCCTCCAGGTCTCTCGAGTCCAACGGCAGGTGTACCAACTGCACATACTGAAGGACATACGTCATCTTCGCTGAGGTCCTCGCAACGGACAACTCTGATTAACTCGCCCTCCCGAAGCATGTGTCTGAGGACCAAAAAGCTGCCATAAGGCGAGCCACCGCCGCCGCAGCCAAGCAGGTAGCACCCGATCTCGATAAACTTGATATCAGTCTCGGAAATGATCCACTCGCCTTGGCTGTTGACTTCTGGGCGATACGTCTCAATATCAACAGTTGCAGCTCCCATTGCTACCAGTTCTTCATTCTCTGTTGGTGCTTCGTGCCTTTTGGTTTCATCATAGGTCTCCTCGTCAGCCTCTGCCTCTTCAGTCTTCTGGTTCACGCTGCTGAGCATCTCCTGATACACTTTACCGTGATTTGCCGGGCAAGCAATCTCGACCTTAATCGATCGTTGACCGTCAGCGTATGGCACCCAGTTCACTTCCTCATTAAGCACTGTAACGGAGCTAGGATCACCGCCTTTCCTAACAACGACTTCTACTGCCCGAGCCATAGCTTTGGTTAGGGAATCCTTCGCATCTGCTACATCTGCCATCAACTCGGCAGATCCGTATATTTTAGCCATTGCTGCACCAATGGCATTAGCAACTCCCGCGTGTTCCGGAATGAGAATTTTGTCAACGCCCTTCAATTCTGGTGGGCAAAGAATCACACCACCGCCGACAAGAATCACAGTGCATGGTTCAGGTGAGAGCTTGACGCGGTCAATGACACTTTCAAGCATTCTCTTCATTCTTGCTTTGGCTTTTGTCGTAGTCTCCGGGGGCAGCATCACTGGATTGGGACTACCAATATTTGCACCTCCAGCAACGGCCACATCGGTTGCTGTTGCTGTCTCGCCACCAAAGCAGAGCGCCTTTGTCAGAAGGTCGTGGCCCACGCTGTCCGGGCCAACCCGGACTTTTCGTTCCCCAGACCCATCTTGGGTGCTGATATGTAATATTGAACCACCGCCTAACCCGACACTTTCCACCGATGGCATCTCGAGATTGACCTTCACCCCAGCGAGATTGGTGAAAGTCTTTGACAACCGTGGATAGCCGTTTTTAAGGAGAAATCCTACATCCGTTGTCGTTCCTCCTATATCCACCACAATGCACCCACTCTGGCCAATGTTCGAGCCAGCGAGGAAAGCAGCACCTCTGATAGAGTTTGTAGCTCCGGATGAGAATATGCGAATGGGAAACTGCATGGCTTCCGAGAAAGGGAGGAGGTGGCCGGCATTGGAAGTCAGATAAAGGGGGCAGCGGAGCCCAATTCTGCGCATAGCTCGGATAAAAGAGCGGATGGTCCTTCTGGCAAAGTTTAGGATTGATGCGTTTAGAATTGCTGCGTTCTCCCTGGCTAGTAGGCCGCTACCTGCAATCGTTTTAGAGCACACAATATTGGCATCTTCGCCAAGTGTCTCTTTTAAGATATCTCGAACCTGCTCTTCTTGGTGGTATTTCTCGTCTGTCGGTGATCCTATCCCGACAATCACTACGTTCGTCAAACCTTTCGCCCTGATTGCACGGGCTTGCTCTTGAACAGCCTCCTTATCTACAGGCGCTAGGAGCTTCCCATCGATGTTTACACCGCCTGGAACAAAACCAGAGTAGCCACTTACGATCCTTTTCAGATCCTCGGGCCAGTCTGAAAATGGGGGTGTACTCGATGAGAAGTCGAAAGATGCCAATCTAAGCACCGCAACTCTTTCAACCCGCGAAGAGTCCCGCTCAATGATGGCGTTCAAGAAATGTGTGGTGCCCACTGCCAGGGCAGCGATTTCTGCACGGTTGACAGTAGACTTATCCAGTAGTGACTTCAGTGTAGCTTCCACACTCAAAGTGACGTTTGAGGTTGTATTGGCCTTGTGAGATGCAAGGACCGCATCTGTGCCAATGCGTGCTACATCAAGTAACACGGAGTCGGTGTTGGTTCCTGTCATGCCACTGTCAGCTTTACATTATCAGAGTGAGAATCTTGAGTCTAAGGATCACCTCCAACATCAACTCCTACAACCAAGGCTCCGTTGGCTGACATGATTGACCTTGGATGCTCGTTAAACAAGGACGAGGACCAGATAAATCGATCGTTGTCTTTTCGGCTCAGAGAGCACAGAAATCCATGAGGTCGTCAAGTTGTCGAAACTTCTTGGCTCTGCGCGGTACCCTAACTAGGACGAGGATAATAGTGCTTGCTCAATGAGAGCATACTGATCGCGATACTAGGGCCGGAATAAGAATCCTAACGTTATCGAAATAGTCTAGCTCGGCCAAGACACGAGTTTTAAACCGTTAATTACCGTCAATACTGGCTTGAAAGCCTGCTAAAAGCTTATCCCGCTGATGCATGCGCATACCACGCTATCTAACCTATCTGCACGCTATCGCGGCTTGTAGTCCTCAGTAAGTATACAAGCCATTGGTACTCAGACGCCGCACTGCGGAGTTCGTGTCCGTTAGCTCTTCCCCCGCTCCGCCCCGGCCACCCTGACTCTCGGGACCGGCTGTGCCATTTCCACGTTTGTCAATCCGGTCTGTCAGTCTAAACCCGGCCGATAAGCTGAGTGTTCTGGACGGAATCGCTGAGTTTAATGAAGAGTGTACAAGTGAGAACATGGGCCGACGGTGGGGAAACAGCTTGCACCTAGCCTCGACATGATACCAATCAGGTAGGCTGCATTTCAGCGTTCCATCCGTTCGCGAGGTCTGACCCGAGGATCGGCAAGTCAGTGTAGTTGCCGTCAATAGTCCCCTCAATCAAATCATTTAACTCAACTCGTGTTCCCCTGTTGCTGCAACCTCGAGGCTGAAGTCTCTGCCAACCACTGCCAACTTTCAGCTTGCGAGACCCTGCATAACCCCAAGATGGAGTCCTTTCTGCAGAAACTCCGGATTAAAGATGATGAACATAATGGCTTTGCAACAACGAAGTGGCTTAACCCTGATATCACGCCTCTTCCACCGCACCGTCGTACTTGGGGCTATGTCACGTATTTAGGATTTGGTTCCATCTCGAAGTGAGTCGCTGCCCAGGCTGTTGACGGCATGTTTCTAATTTGTTTTATCGTCATTCAGTCTTTGCATATCTACGTGGGCCGGTGGTGCATCCCTCCTCTCCCTGGGACTCACTATTCCTCAAACTATTGGAGTAATGATCATCGCGAGATGCATTATATTCACCCTCGTCATTGCAAACGGATGGTTAGGAGCCGAATGGCATATTGGGTTCACAGTTACACAAAGGTCAATAAAGACAATGGAATTTCAAGTTGTGTGAGACATTGACTAAAACACGCGAATTATAGAGTTGTACTTGGAATGTATGGCGCATATATCGGCCAAGTCATTCGTATTATGTTGTCTATTGTCTGGTACGGTTCGCAATCTTGGTTGGGAGGCCTATGCGTCTCGACTATGTTGAGCAGCTGGAGCTATAAGTTTCTCACAATGCCAAACACATTACCGGAAAGCGCGAAGATGGTAACCCGAGACTTCATCGGTTTTGTTCTCTTCCATATCATTTCCGTTCCTTTCCTGGTAAGTCACCCAACATCTCAAGCCCTTCTGGCCGAGCAATGTTGTCATGAACTCTGACACCTTCTATACTACAGCTCCTCCGAGTTGAGAATATCAAGGTCCACATTGTGGTTGCCAACATTGTTGCCTTCATTGTAATGCTGTCCATCATGATATGGGCAGTCACTACAGCCGGCGGTGCAGGTCCTCTTTTTGCACCCGGAGCCCGGAACCCGACAACACTGCCTGATGGCTGGAACTGGGTATACGGCATTATCGCTTCTGTCGGTGGAATTTCTGCTGGTATCCTGAACCAATCCGATTTCACTCGTTTCACTCGGAAGCAGGGTGTCCAGGTTCCTGGCATCCTTTTCTCATTGTTTGTACCTGGCATGGTCGTTCCCATTTTCGGCATCCTCACGGCCTCCTGCTCAATGAAGATATACGGCGGTTCCCCGTTCTGGAACCCCCTCGTCCTGATTCAGCAGTGGCTGCTCACCGATTACTCAGCCGGTGCAAGAGCTGGTGCTTTCTTTGCCAGCCTTGGCTTCATCATCAGTCAGCTGGCAGAGAATATTCTTGGAAACGGTTATGCTGCTGGTATGGACTTGGCTGGACTTTTCCCTGCATGGATTTCCATCCGCCGAGGCGGATTGATTGCTGCTCTGCTTTCCTGGGCGGTACAGCCATGGCTCTTCTACAACTCATCCTCAGTCTTCCTCTCTGTTGCGTCATCCTTCTCCGTATTCATGGGACCTCTGACCGGAATTATGATTGCCGATTATTTCATCATCCGGAAGCAGAAGATCGAAGTCAGTCAGTTGTACACAGGTTCTCCAGAGGGTTCATACTGGTACTGGCATGGCTTCAACTGGCGCGCCATCGTTTCTTGGGTTGCATGCTTTGCTCCTGCAATGCCCGGCATGATTGCGGCCGTGAACAAGTCTGTCCATGTCAGCGACGGCCTTTACAAATACTATCTTGGAAACTACATATTCGGTGAGCAAAGTAATCGTAACATTGAGAACCACAACCACTAAACTACTATAATTAGGCTTCTGCGAAGCTGCAGTGCTCTACACCGCCCTTTGCCTAACCTTCAAGGTCAAGCGCGCGGGTGAGCAGGATGATCACGACATGTACGGTACTTTCTCCGAGGCAGATGCCATGAGGAAGGGCATGGCTCCCTTTGAGCCTGCTAAGGTCATTGATGATACGGACGTCCAAGGATACAACGGAGAATCGTCAGGACACAATGCCAGGAGCTCTAAAGATGATCGTATTGCTCAGGCATGATTCTGTCAATCTCCTGATGCTGAATCGTTTCTGCATAGCGGGCATAATTGGTTGCATTGAGTAAATGATTAAAAAGGCTTTACTGCGTTTAGCAAGCCTATACTACGGCTTTGTTCCTCCATATACCAAGAGATTCAGCAAATGAATTTTAGTACGAAGCATCATAGCTGGAATCTCACAGGCTTTCATGCATATCTGTTTAGGAACGACGGGCATGATAGAATGGCAAAGTACTGATTGCTATATACATATATACAACCCTTCTCGTGAGATGTTTTCTTTTCAACCAAACCCCCTCGCAATTCTAGAACGGACCATTATAAACATCGATGGCCTCCAAGAATGCATCATTAATTTGGGCTGCAAGCTGCTCAGCTATACTCTGGACATCGGCAGGCACCTTTGCCGTGACGGCATCGCTGAAGTCAGCCGACGCCTTCTTCTCCAATTCGAGGTTAAGCAACACGACGGGGCTAAGCAGTAGCTTGTCGAAGTCCGACTTTCTGGAGACGATGGTGGTCAACGTTGTGTTGACATCTGACACCAAGGCTTGGGTCGCCAGCGCAACGCCAATGGTCTCGAGCAGTTCGAGCGGCGCCGAGTCCTCGGCCGTCTTTGTCCCCTTCTTGATTGTCGCCAGCAGTGACGCTGACTTGCTGATGATGGGCAATGAACCGAGCAGGTCGCCCTTCCAGGAGATTACAGTATTGTTCAGAGCAGCAGTGTCAGCTGCGATGGCGTTGAGGGCGTCAACAATAGCGGCACCGTCGGCGAAGACTGTGGTCGCCAATAGGGCAACGGGTGCCAGAATCCTCGTGAAGAGCATCTTGAAACTTGCTGAAAAGTGTCTTGACTAGGGAGATGGACTGTATCACAGAGTCTGTCTGCGCTGAGTGGAAACCGTGGAAGGGAAGAGCCTGGCTACCAGCAGGGCTCTCTGCAACAGCGAAGATCAGGAAGATGCCGGTCCTTTTATGCGCCTGCCCCTACCACAAGCTTCTTCTTCACTCTCGGCCACCTCATTAAGTGACATAACGGTAACATCTGATTCCCCATACCCCGCAACTCAGCTCCAGGACACAAGAGACGATGACATCGAAGAGGCAGGGGTCACCATCACCCCTCTGCATCTCAGGTCTGCGGAACTGGGATGTCGACATCGGCAGGCTCGTCGACGGCGCTTGCATCAAGGATTGCATCGCCGGCGCATGCTCCGTATTTGGGCAAGGTGAGGAATAAGGTCGACGATCCCTCCTTGAATTCGGCATGGAGCATCCCACCGGTTGTGTTGTTCTGCCCCGCGATTGGTGGACCTGTCAGCACGCAGATCTGGGGTAAAACCCCTGCTTTTGCCGCGGCTCCAGGAGCACTGGGCATGTGAAGTGATTGTCTGCCGGGGTGGTCGATGTATTTCCAGTTCAACACACAGATAATCTCATAGTGTGGACTTCTGCTCAATGGTCTTGGTTGTTTCCGAAACCGGGTTCCATTGCTGCTCATGGCATTGCCTTCACGCGCTACAGCCTTGCAATGTGTTCAACTCTGTTTAGCTCTGTACGACTGAAATTCGAGCTTCCTCTATATAAATATTGGGTATCATCAAGCAATTAGCTATTATCGCCGCTCCTGTGAGCTTGGGCCTCCGAATGCATCGCATCAGTGCGAGAACGACCAACTGCAACATAAATGCAAGAGTATCTGGCTAATCCAACATCATATGCCTTACACCCGCAACGCTGATACATGTAATTCATCAAGCAAGATACAATCAATGCTGATAGTATTGCACTCATCATTTAGACTCGCTCCACATCGACTCGCTCGTGAGCGTTGCTTCCCGAGGGCCCAGCAACACTGCTCACAGGAGTGCTCGAGTATTCAGTTGCAGGTCCCCTAGCTGGCTGTGGTGGCTGTCTTGATGCAGTCTCGGTCTGCATCGGAGCTCCTTGTGGTGCGTAGTAGCCATATGCCGCCGGATTTGAATCACCGTTGAGACGAGCTGGCTGGGGCTCTTGAGGCTGTTGGGAGTAGAACTGCATTGGCGGATATGGGTATGTCTGGGGCGCTCCTTGCGCTGGTGCGGGTGCGTAGTAGACGCTGCCATGACCGGGAGGAGGAGGCGCCATCACATAGACGGTGCGCGGCATACTGCGAGCGGCCTTGTTTCGCCTGTCGGTTTCGATGCATGCGAGAATGAACAAGGTGAAGTGACAAATCCTAAAATATGTGAGCCAACTTGTGCACCACTGGAGGTCAGAGGGGTCCACGTACAGCAATAGCACAGAGAGGGCCAATTCGGCTTGCTCCATGCGCAAGAAAGTGCGGACACTGGCCGGGTCGTCATCTTCATCGTAGTATGACGAATAGTAGTAATCGCGGTTTTCAAAATCGTTCGCGTCGTAATATGTGACCGTTCCACCGATTCCAATCAAAACACAGCAACCAAGCCAGAGAATGAGATGGAGACCGACATGTGCACCGGGATGGATGCCCATGTAGTTGCGTCGAACACAAAGGGTTATAAATTCGGATACCTGCCAAAGCAAGGACACAGACGCCTGTCATGGAGGAAATGTTAGCGGAAAGAGCTGCGCCAAAGGCCAATCAAGAGAACCATACCACACAGGCCACGATGATATACATGAACTGCCAAGACCAGTAGGCGTAGGTCATTGGGATCATAGCAGCACCCATGGCAATTAGGATGATGTCGAATACAACCAGCAACGATCCCAGAATGATTTTGCTGACGTTCCACGTCTTGCTTGGCCGGGGGACGTCATTGTTTGGAGGGTACGGTTGATACATCGGCTGTGGCATTGGCATCTGCTGGTACTGGGGATATTGCGGCTGGTTGAATTGGACCGGGGGCGGCTTTTCAATGGGAGCTGGGCTCGCCCGAGGCGGACTCGACGACATGATGGATATCGGTGAGGTATAGAATCCGAGAGAGGACTTTAGTGAAGTCTGAGCCTGCTGTTTGTGTAAGTCGATTTGGTGGATTCTTCCCAGTCTAGTGTCACGCGTCTGGGAGATGAGAAGATCCGACTCGAAGTCACGAGGCGTAGGAAGGGTGAAGAGCCGAGATTATAAAGTCTGAAAACGATTGAACGAAAGGCAAAGACCTTTCAACGAGGCTGGAACGAGAGACACTGAAGCATGAATCGACCGCTTGAAAGCATATCAAGAGAACGGCGATGAAGGGGAGAAGGAGGAGGAAACGGTGATGCGATGTGATGTGATGTTTTCCCACTGGCTCAGATTAACTAAGGTAAGGGGGTTCGTGGCTGAGGCGCAAATTAAACTCTGCAGCCCTGGCAGTGATGCCTGGCACTGGCAGGCATGCCCAGAATCGCCTAATTGCCCTGCCAAAAATCTTTCGTCTGCTGCGGCACAGGCTTAAAAAAAGAAACAGGGCCGTTGTAGTGCGGCTCTTGGCGCCACTGGTGCGTGCCTAGGCGCTGTGGAACGGGTATAGCGCCATTTTAAAGCGAGTTAAGGCCCATGGCGAGACGACTCTATTCAGCGGGCGTCGGGCCATGACATCCACTCCGCCCCCCATAGTCCCAATGCCCGACCGGACCAGACCAGACCAGACACACACCAAGCGATCTCGCCAGTTTTTTCTTGAGAGGCAACTTCTTCTTCACGAGAAAGCAAACACTATGAATGGCATACGAGCTTCGAGGCACCGGAATTTTTTTTTTTTTATCTCAATGCGAGGCAAGGTCTCCTGTCATCTTTCCGGCCAAGAAAGTGAACAAACATACAAGCAGTGTCCATTTCTCCGTGTTGTCAGTCTCCAAAACTTCATCTCTGTTCAACCAGGTTCTGGCGCAAATTCTGGCGAAACATGGGTCTCAAGCCCGCATGTATCACAATCAAATGCATTGGGGTTATGAAGATGTAGTATTGGACGTCTTGAAGAACAAGTCGTGTGCTCGCGCAGTAATCCTATATCATTGCAGACCGAGTTGTGAATCGCAATCGCTTGTTCACGTTGAACCATTTTCAACCACCGCAGCCACCACAGCCGCCGCACTGGTCTCTTGTGAGTCTCTATTCGCATCTTTGAGGAGTTCAACTTGACTTACGCCGCCGCCACAACCTCCATCACCTCCACCACCGGAGACAATGCTCGCGCCACAGTCGCCGTTGCCGTTCCAGGTGTTGTCTTTCCGCCCTTTGATCGTGCCATCTCCCCAGACTCCCGACGCTCCACGTGTTGTCCAGAACCCGGTGATGGTATACGGTCCCGCGTGATACTGCTGCTGTTGTGTCGAATGCTGCATGCTGCCTGACCGAGCTTCTTGAGCCAGTTGCTTGACCATCTTTGAATTCTGCAGCCGAGAGACCAGAAACCATGCAAATAGAACTAGCGCTGTCAAGATTGCCGTGATAACCCAGTAAATCCACGAATGTGAAGAGGCTATGCTGCCTGGAGTGTGGGCTTGGAAGTCGAAGAGGTTGGAGCCAAGTAAAGTCTGTTACAGCGTTAACACTCAGGTGAATATTTTCGTACTAGTGCACAAGAATCGTGTCTTTACCGCCGTGAATGTCCCCGGCAAGAAGATCAATGTGATAGCCGTGATGATGCGCATATCCGTGCTGTCACGTCGCGTCCACATCGCGACCTTTCTTGACTCGTCTGCAATCTTTCTCGACGCTTCAGCAATCATGAGATTTTGACGGCTCTCTCTCTGGGCGATGAGACAATACGTCTATGCTTCTGTCAGTGGATTCAATGTCTGTTGTTTTTGAGGAACATAGGACGCACCGTTTGTGCCAAACCCTGGATGTTCTGCCGGTCCCTGTCAATATACTGCAGGGCCGACTTGAAGCTTTCTCGCAGGTAAGGTATTTCATCAGCGAACGCGCCTGAGATGTCGGCATTGAGAGGATTCAACCCGACTGGATCAGATTTTGGTTGTTCCTGAAGCATTGCTTCGATGGTATCTAGAAAACGCAGCTGTGTTTTGGAGATGCTTTCCGTTATGCTAAATTCGTCGTTCAAGAACGTCAATTTTCGAGTCGCTGAATCAAGATCCAACTTCTGATCGGCTGGGTGACCCCGGTCATCTTCAAACTCGCGGACATTAACCTCCTTGGAGTTCGCTATTGCTAGGAGACTGAGACGGTTGTATGCTAACCAGCGAGCGGTTGACTGCTTCATGAAATCAACGAGCACCATAGGCAAGAGTAATGGGTGCCCAGCAAAGTGGATAGCCCCTTTCAGGTAGTCGAGAAACTGTATATACTCTCCTTCACGGAGGCCAATGCAGACGGCAGTGGTACACTGAGTTTTGTTATCATGTATGAGGCACAGTGAATACTGCGCGAAGGAGAACGCATCGGTGCGGAGGACGAGGCCGACTTGATTTGCTGGTCAGCAAGAGAATGACAAACGTCACCATTCGACCGACCTGAATCATCCGGACCTCCATAGAATCGAGGATCAAAGCGCAATGCCATTGGCAGTCCGGAAACAAGCAGACGGAGAAAAACCGCAGGAAGGTTCAATCTAGTGAACATGTCTCTGAAAGTTTGAGATGTCACTGCAAGAGGCACCACCGACCGCTTGTCTCTTCTGGGCGGAAAGTGTCTAGAAGTTCAAGGATCAGTCGGGCATTTCGCTTTGTCCCCCAAACTCTTCAATTTTTAATCTTACAGCAGCCTCAACCTATACTCCATGTCTTGAGTTGCAGACCCAGTAGACGGTGGTGGAGGTCCCTCATCTCGCATCTGAGCAACGCTTTGAAACCAATTCGAGAGCTTCGACTCGATTATCTCATGCTCTTCGAGACATGCATCACTACCATTGACAGGCTGTCGGATTTCCACAATGCGATGGCCATTTCGCGGTCGAAAGTTGTTTTCGTTTGCCGCGAACCTATCGAAATGGAAGGTATGCAATGTTCTTGCAGACCCCTGGGCAGCCACAATGGACGTGACGGTGTCGTCGGAATCCAATCTTTCTAATGCCACCATTTCCAGTCTGAGGCGTCTGTGTTGGTGCGCCAAACTCCATCAAAGCGGCTTGCGTTGTGGAACCGTGGAGGTGCGGGAAGTTATATGTCTGAGGCTCACTTCAGCTGGAGGCCTGGCCCGATCCGTGGTACAGCCACCGCCACCAGGCTCAGATAGTCTGTTCAGCCCTGCATGCTGCCTTGCATTGCAGCTAACTAACAGCCTCCATTGGTTGCCAAAACCTGGGAAAATGTAACTCAGTATGTGGGCGGTTAACCTCATGTCTCTGTGGAGATCATTGACATACCGTGTGATGATGATCAAAAAGCCGCCGATGCCAGGCGTTCACACAGACAGACTGGCTTCAAAACAACAAGAGGGTTCTACAGTGCATATTGATGCCGTCAGCTCATTGGTAGTGTGTTTTCATTCTCTTCATCATATCAATAATCACAGCAAATGAGCTGCTAGATAGCTTCTTATGCATTCAGACAATCAATTCAGTACCCGCAACCTGATGCTATGCAGAAAAAACAAACATGTGTTCCATTACCAGCCCGTGCTGTTCCAGTGTTCCCACGGATTTTGCTTCGTTTCCCATGAATTCGTCCTACTATTCCAGGATCCGGTAGGACCGAAGTACATCTCTGGAGGAGGAGGCGAGTTGTGGTATCCTGTTCCAACAACCTGCACGTGGCCCGGTGTTGGGCCACCGACTGATGCGGGCGGAACGGCTGTTATGGCATGGCTCTCGATAAGCGGTACCTTGTCGTCGAAATTCGGCGACGGTTGGCCGTTCTTGTGGATGGCTTGATAGTCTTGGGGTAGACGATCGGTGAGGCCCTCTTGCAGTCCGACTGCAGTGCGAAGTTAGCAAACCATGCTTGTTATGTCTTTCACATAAGTAAGTTGAACTTACAGATAAGGATGTAAAACCAGTCAGCAACCACAGGAGCCCATGTTGCAAGGGCTAAGATCTGACCGAACGTCCACTTGTCCTCGTTATCCAAGCCACCAGCGAGCTTGATGATGCCATGTCGAAGATGCGTGAAGTAGGCAAGGACACCCCACATGAGAATCAAGTTGATCCAAGCAACGGTCAACCGCCAACAGGCCCGCCACCTGCGAACCCAGGGCTTCTCCGCAACGCCTGGAATCCAGAAACCAGTGACGACGAAAGTTGTGAGCACGATCCAAGTAAGCGGCGCCCCAATGACCAACCATTGGCCTGCTTTCAGACCGTGCCAATAATGAGAACCACCACGCCTATCACAATAGTACAGTGAATACTTCTTGTGTCGGTCGTCGTAATCGAGCTCACCACGTGGACCAAGGAACATCTCTGTCACTCCAAGGCACCACATCAGTAACAGCATTGAGCGCCGCATCCATTTACGATGTCCACCTTCAGCACCACGATCCGGATCTTTCATCAAGGCGTATAATAGCATAACTGGGAAGACAGAAAAGGTGGCTGCCAGTAGTGACAGTGATATGTCATAGAGCGCGCTGCCCGTCGGGATGTCTTGCTTCAGCTCCGGGAGCTTGCGCGTTTTCGTTTTCTCTGCTGCCAGGCAGACTGAGGCAACGAGCATGACAAGCGCCAGAAGCATTGTGCCTGAGAGAAACGAAGCCAGACTACCTCTAAAGGCGTCGAGGACGCGGCCGGCTTTCCCTGACGAGCCGGTGAAGGTACGGTGGATGTGTGGGACCCCCGGAAGACTATTCTTATGGGCCTTCTTCTCGTAGTATCGCCGTATTTGCCATATTGTATAAGCGAGGAGATACATCGTGGCTAGGATCGCCTCCACGTAATATGATACTTGGACCTAGAACCAAATTAGTACATTGAACAGTTAATCAGATCTTGCTACCCTTTAGAAGAACTACGCACCCCGATTCCAGTGACATCAGCGTTGCCAGTCCGGCCCAACGCCTTGCAAAATTCGGCAGGGCATTTGTCCATGGGTTTGTTTATGGCATGCTCAAGCCAGACCGGATTGGAGTCCCAGAGCTGCTCATCTTCGTCAAAAGACCAGTAGAGATTGTCCGTAGTAAATTGCACCATTTGACTGAATACCATTGCCTCGGTGACGTTCTCCGGGTACTCCCAACCCATCGGAAGTGCGTCCCAGAGGTACGCAATTGAGAGTTGAATACTCCCGCCTAGGCCGTCACTCGGGTTCCAGGGATTGGGCGTGGTCAATCCGGTATACCACTGACCATAGATCGAGCAGTCATTACCAAATGTCATCTGCTCCATCGGTGGAAAGACCAGGTCTGTCACGTTCACCCATGTCGACGCCATCCCGCCAGATTCAAAATGAATGAAGGCCGGATGCTTCTACTGGTGTCGTATAAATCCCGTCTTGGAGGTGAAGGACAACCCACCGTCATCCGGATATTTCAGAAGCGGTGACCAAGCTAATGATATCGTTGGCATTGAACTAGACGAGTGAAGAGACGTGCAGCTTGAAGCAGGGGAAACGGCAGTCTAAAGTATCACTTTTGCGGTCCACTGGTCAAGCGGCGAGCTTGGAGACGGGCCTGGGCCGGTGAGTGCCAGTGCATAGTGGCTTGCAATCCTTCCATCGCTTGAACGAAGGATTTCCGTGAGGCTCCAGCGAAATGAGACATATCGAAATGTGCGATTACAGTGATATTGTAAGCACTATGTACGCTACCTGTTTCCCAAGAGGGTATGGGATAGCCTCAGTTGGAGACGCTAGAGAGGGCTGAACACGCCGCGCTTCTATAATTGGGGGCCAAGGGCTGGCCCCCTGGCACTCGCCAACAGGGGAGACAGCGGCACAGTCCAAGACACCCACATTTGTAGAGTCGAAGGCCGAGTCTAAATGGATGCCACGGACTCGCTCTGATGATGTGCAACGACTCCCCGGTTCACCCTCACTAAGCCACTGGCCGGGCAGCAAGCAGCCCATGAAGGATACATTAACTGCTTTGAGGAAGATTGCCAGAATAACATAGGCCCTGCGCCTGCGCCTGCAGCCATTGTCTGAGTTGATGCTGTTCATGCGGAGCAGTCTCCCGTTCTGGCTTGAATGGACTTGGGGTACCACTGCACCAGCCGCTGCCGAATAAGCGGCTGAGAGAAAAGAAAATGAAGGGGCGGACTAATGATTTTGGCCCCCAGCCGACCATTAGTAACACTACCAAGTCGTACAAAATTGCAGAGACCATCCGTTCTTCGCAACGATGCTTTGGCGGACCGGAATGCACCTTTATGGGCGAAACACGCAAGATGAGTGTTGGTCCGATTGCTGCAACTCCGGTCGTTCCGGAGCATAACGGTTGCACGCGTAAGACGCGGCGCTGTCTACAGGGGCCTCAGTCCTGACATTCCGCGGTCGATCTTGGCCGGAGCCTCTGCCGGCATCTTCAACCGCTCCGCTACCCCGTCAAGACGGCGGAGCTAGGCAGTCTTTGGCAGGTCCTTTGGCATGACTACCGACATGATGGCACTGCAAAGGCCAGCATAGTAGCCGTGCTGGGACAACCTTAAGTCAATTGGGGTTACGGAAGTAATTGACGACCTCGTGGTGGCTGAGACATCTGGGAAGTTCCGTCGATGGCGCCTTAACCACACACTGCTGAGGAGATACGAATACGGGGGGCTCTTCAGAAATCACTTTCATGCATCCACCCCAGAAGAATGTTTCTTGGTGTCCCCAGCCATCAACGAGACACGCATCGCCAGTCGTCATCTAGGCGTTTTTGACGTGGAAGCCTCTGATCTCCGTCCCACTGTGCACGGTGACTGACAGACGACACTCTAATTGATATAAGCTTGTCTTTCGTCGAGGCTCGCCAGGCACAAAAAGCTCACCCCGCTTCAGGGGCCGCATGCGGTGTTTTTTCCTCTTGAAGCCACCCGCCGCCCCCACGCAAGCCAAAACCTCGCTCTCGCTCAGCCCTACATACTATCTAAACACTTGTCGCCAAGTACAGGGTCGGCATAGCAGAGATCAGTGGCTAGTGACGTCGAAGCATGCCTGACGGCACCCCGTCGACTGTCATATATCATAGGTAGCCATTGATGTCGGAACAGGGGCCTGGCAGCAACATGCCTCGCCTTCGCCTAGGCTATCGGAAGTCCCGGACAGGGTGTCTGCGATGCAGACAGCGGAAGGTCAAGGTAACTATTGCCCGACACAATCTCTGAGTCAAGGCCTCGCGGCTCATTACGAACAGTGTGACGAGAATCGGCCCTGTGGTGCTTGCGTACGACATCGCATTACGTGCAGTCTCGTGTCGGTGTCTCCGACAGCAAGCGCAAACTCCTCAACTGTAGATCCGGTGCCACAAGACTCAGGTACCGTGGCAGTACAGGTATGTTCCTTGCTTGTTAATTGATAAGTCGTTAGCCTGCTGACACCGTGTAGACCGACTTGAAATTACCAGATGCCAAAGATGAAGAGAAGGCCCTGGATCTTGGAGACCCGGCTTTGCGGTCATTGTTAGAGCAGGCACACTCAACCATATCGCCAACAGGCTCTAACCCCTTCCCTTATTTTGACAAGTTTGTCAGCACTCAGACAGCACATTACACAGGCAGCTGGACCGCAGACTTAGAGCTTCTTCACCACTTCACCATAAGCACGTGCATGACTCTGCCCAAGTCATCACAGGTCTCGCGAATATGGCAAGTCGACGTGCCTAGGCTGGCATTTAGCAACACGTATCTCATGCACCAGCTCCTCGCCCTCTCCGGGTACCATCTCGCGCAACAGCATCCCGAAAAGTGCGCGATGTACTCCCTCCAGGGCTCTCTTCACCAGAACGAAGGCATCCAGGGTATGCGGAAAGCACTCGGCGAGATCACGCCGGAGAGCTGTCACGCGCTGTTTGCCACGTCGTGTCTGCTGTGCTTCGGCGTCTTCGCCAGCCTCTCGTTTCCCGGGGCCGCCGACAACTCACCTACGGTGCAGGGCCTAATCGACGCGTTTCTCCTCGTCAAAGGCATGAGCGGAATCCTCAACACATACGAAGAGACTCTCCGTAGAGGGCCACTTGGTCTCGTCTTCGGTCCGGGTGCCCCTGTCTCGCCGAGCAACGACAGTCTGATCGCGATCGCCGTCCAGAAAGTCAAGGTGTACGCTGATAGTCTCGATGACTTCGGCCTCGATCCTGCAGTCAAAGCCGTTGTAAATGCGGAAGTTGATGCCCTAAGTCGCTGGATCAACCTTGCGGCGAATAGCACAACATATGCAGAGATCAGGACGGTTATGACATGGCCAATCAGCATGTCCGAGGAATACATATCACTGATTCGCCAGCGCCATCCTGCTGCATTGGCGCTGATGACCTATTATTGTGTCATTCTACACGCTACTGGGGGCAACTACTGGTTCGTGAGAGGGTGGGGGTCAAGTGTCGCCAAGGATATTGAGTGTGCGCTGCCGTCGCAATGGCGGGATGTCGTGAGGTGGCCGATGGCCTGGATACGCGACCATGCTGGAACCAAGGGCTATCGGACCGTGGTAACAGCGATGGATGCTATGTGAGACATCATGGTTTGCCAGGCGCTTGCTTATGGATCTAAACTTGAGGGTGGCACAACTGGGTTTGGTTGATGGCAGCTAAACCTGCAATTATGTATTTGTATTAACATTGGAATACCCCTGAGAAGGCGTTTGGAAGCTGAATCTAGGGTGAATAGATATCAAAGTTTGTTGTTTGCTTTCAATTTCTCATGTCCCAATTTTCACTCGATCCGATTATCTCTCCCTGGCGGATTTATAATACCAAGTATCAGAACATGTTCTCCGCTCGGGAGGGCCGATCCGGAACACCGTCTCGCCCGGATGCTTTCCTTCTGATGGTTCTATCGCGTGTCTGTGTCTCGCCTGCATTACTCGTCTCACCTCTCAAAGTCGTACGAGACGGTCGAGGTTGGATTTGGGTTGACTGAGGCACCAGAGCATATGCCTTGAAGAGCTCCCACTGCCTCGGCGTCAACCGCTGTCGTATGACTCGTATGCGACGCTCTTCTTCCGCATGATCTGTCAGCAGAGCGCTGAAATATAGGTGCTCAACGAAAATGCGTCTGAAATTCGAGTATCTTCCTTGCGCTATGTCATGCTCTTGATCCTGCAATTGCCTAACATTAGCGAGAGCCTTGGTTTTATTTTGGTTCGCTTTTGATCGAAGTCATGCATCTCAAGTCATTTGCAAGCTCTGCTGGGAAAAATTAGCTCAGTATCTGGCTGGCATACCTTAATCTCTTTCAAGTACGCCATATGCTCTGGGTCATTCACCATTAAGACGATCTGCCTGGCGAGTGCCTCGAGCCCCTTATCGAGAAGCTCTAGAACCTCAGAAGACTTGATATAATCTTTCAGACGGTCCCGCTCGCGTCGAAGTCTCACGTACTTCTCTTTCAGTTCTTGGAGAGATTCTGTGGAAGCCATACTGTCGGGTTTAGTCTCTGCTCAGAAAACAGATGGCCAGGCTCGTTGCACATCCTAAGAAAGACTTCATCTACAGCTCAAAAGCACTGGGCACCATTCTATGCAGTTCAATGCTCTGTGTGATTCAAATGGAAATCTCAGGATGAATGATGCGTCCGTGAATCATCATACTCTGACAATTAAGTATGTGATTTTTACACCTTGCCCCTAGATAGCGTGTGACCGCGTTGTCTTATTTAGTCTGGAGCTTGTCTTTCACATGCCATACATGTCAATCATCCACCAAGAGATACCACCTTATAATCACAAGTAAGTCAATTTGAACTCTGTTTCAATGGATTGCATCGGCTCTCAGCATGTCGTAACTTGAAGGCGGAACAGAGAATTGGCAGCATTTCGAAGCATCATGGCCTGGTGCATAAATCAGTATAGCTCCAAATCACCCAGCGATAAGTAGCCACGAAAGAGACAGGCATATATTCCTGATGCTTTATGACTCATTTTATGCAACCATAACGCCGTCGCCATACAACGCTCTGACCAATATCCTGCCCTCATTCTCTTTGTAGCATAACCATCAGGCCCATCAACCCCAACATGACGGTCTTGAGCCATGGATGCTCCGACAACATGATAGTGACGTAGCCGACAAAGGGGATATAGCCGACCACGCTCCCGATGATGTCCTTTCGCTCGAGATAGTCCTGCCCCCTCGCATACAGCTCGGTATCATCTGCGGAATTATTGTCTCCCTTGGTCAACAGCTTCGCATCGTCTCTGGAATGTAACTGTCAGGAATTGTAGCTCGCATGCTGGTTTGATGGTGGAAAGAATTGCTTTCGTACCCAGCACCAAATTTCCTTACTACCCGATGGACAATAGGAATGTCCTTGTCCTTGACATTATACACCACGACCTCGCCCACTTCTGTTTCGCGAAGGAAGTTTCGATTCCACAGGAAGAGGAGATCCCCACGCTGAAAGGCAGGTTCCATGGATCCTGAGAGAACGACGACGATGGGGGACGGCGAGTCGGTGATAACAGACAGACCCTTCCACATCTAGGTGATTCAAGTTAGCTAGAAGTCGTCAAGAAGTGCAGAGGGATTGTGGTGTTTGCGAGCATACCATGAATGCCGTGGACAGGATGAGGGCGAAGTTGAGGAGCTGCGCAGCAGCTTGCCGCGGGTTCTGGAGACTCGAGAGCATGGTCGGTCGATTATGTTGCCGTGCGCATTGATGAGCAAGTCGGACAGGGGGAAATGCACGCGGAGAGAGTGGTGGTCGAGTAGGCGCTTCTTAAGGACAGTGCGGTCGCATGTGTGCACACAGGAAATGAAGACAGCTAACGAGTAATTAGGCACGCACCCAAGATCATGCAGGAAGGTCAGCCTCGTGAAGCCTTGGATTTGGAGTTGACAGGTAGCTAGAAGTTAAGCTATGTCATTGGCTAGTGACTTGGGAGTGGGGCATTCCGGCCACCAGCCGTCTCCCAGCTGCCCGCTTACTGGAAGACCGAACTGAGTGATCTCAAACAGGCAATTAATACGGTGATAACTAACGAAAGGCACACAACGAGAATGGCTGCACCTACTCCTCCTATGTTTTCTGGCGTGCATACACGCTCAGCGCTGTTATGCAATGTCTACGATGATGACTCTCAGGTATCTGTAGACCAAGCAACATTCCACCCGGTCTCAGACCCTATCAAAGCATACTAAGTAAAAGAGGTTCTACAATATGTCTCGCTGCATTTGCTCTGCCTTGGCTCCGTGTGAGACTCCTACATCGTAAGAGAGCTCTACATAACATAATAGCTGATGGTAGGGTGCGTAGAGACTTTGTAAGAAGGCAGTTCCATGTATGTAATTCTAACGGATAACAAGAAGGAGGAGGTTCGTTCGAGATGGAATGTCATTGCAGTGCGCTGGCAGAGTCATCTCTTATGACATGCTAGCCCATGGCTTTAGCCCTGTCCTACAGTCTTCTTTAGAAAGACAACATCGCGCTTTGAGGCTTATCCTTCATCTGATGTTTCTAGTGTGGGGTACTAAGCGTCTGTAGTGGTGGTGATGAGCAGTGAGTCAACCAACCAACCCAGATAACCTTACTTGTGATCCCGTAGCTTCATTGCTAGTGGGCAGTGGGGTGTGTGGGGTGCTGTAAGAACCAACCTGGAATGTGCCTCACTGTGTCTTTATGGGCACCGATCGCAAACAACCTCTGAACGTTTGCCGTGATGAAAGAGAAAGGAATACTTTGGCACGGGCAATTTTGTTCATGAGTTCCATATTGCCGAGTCTTCCCGTACAACTAGACTAATGCTCTGAGTTGCCTGATTAGTCTCGCGCTCTTCAGCATGTTGGGCTGACGAGGCATGGTGTTATCAACCGTGAACAGTCTTGCAAACCACGCTTCACGGCTTCAGTGGTGTGGTACACCTGCCTACAGCGTTGCTAATGTGGCAGGGGATGTCTCTGCACGGGCGCTAGTGAACCCGACAGAGACAAGCCGTCTCACTCCCGAAACAAACATTTTGGACTCAAGTGAACAGAGACATGTTGATGGCGCCTATCCGGTTCTCTGGATTCTGCAAGATTGATCCCCTGACCACACTACCACCATACATAGCCTGCCCTGGCTTGAGTGGATAGGCACGCCCCTACAGTATTATATGTAACCGGACAATCAACAGCTCGAATCACTGCCGGTGCCCCATATAACTCAACCTGACCAGGCCCGCGGGCAAGCCAGGCACGCCAGCATGCAGGGCGCGTGAATGTCAGGCATCGATTGGCATGACGAAGCACGGCGGCGGCCCAATCGGCCAGCAGAATCTGGAGGTACTCATGAGCTTGCAGAAGATACTTGTCGCTTGGGGATAAGGTCAAGCACCGGAAGTGAGGCTGTGCCTGGCCCCCGATGAGCTGTCAATGGCTGTTAGTCTAGCAGCCATCCTTCTCAGGCACATGGGCAACCTTCTCCGAATCTGCTCCGGCGGCATCACTCCCTCATATCTCCTCCTCTGAAGCTCTATTCGTTGCCCACGTCTGCTATCCTTCTCTGCCCTTCGTTCAACTTCTTTTGTTCTTACTCATGTTTCGAGATAAGCAGAGAGATAGGGCGAGCAATTGACTGCCCGACCAGCACATTAGGCGCTTGACTGGGCACGTGGGCACTTTTTGATGCCGGGCGAAGATATCCACCTTCGGGTGCAACACACCCCCCAAGAGTAGCCGCGCAGTCGCGATGCCTGTTTTGGGACACTATCAGACAGGTACAGAAAGCACGGTGATGTGTGTACTCCCATACCTGCAAGTGACAAGTCTTTCCACGATACCTACGCACGCTCGGAACGGTTCTCATACTACACACCACGTAGTACTAGGTATGCATACACAGATACCCAGCGGCACGATGAGGCCCGGCCGCCACTTGTGGTCGCAGTGAGGCAAACGCACGATTCCCTGCCTGATGACGATTGTTTTGGCGATCCACGGCCCCTGTTCCCTGCTGTGGCCGCACCGGGAAGTGCACTTTTCAGGGCCTCTTCTGGTTTGCTGAAGAGCGCATCCCTGCCTGTAGCCAAGATGGTCATTGGCGCTATAAGAATACAGGCACCCCCGCCTCACCTTGGCCCAGCTTTCCTCCTTTCTTCTTCCTCCCCCCACCACAAGCCAAAGGGTCGCAAAGTGCTTCATAGGATATATATCTCGATTGACAATCGTTTTCCCCCTCAGAGATATATACTTCTTGCCCGGACCCAAGTCAATCTTTTGTGCGTCAACGCTCACTCCTTACTTTCCCTTTTTCCGTGCGTCTCTTTGCGGGACTCTCTTGTTTATCACTCGTTTCGTCGCTCTCTTGGTCCAGCTCGAAAAGATATAATAAGAAGAACAAAAAAACATTCAAGGGGACAACGGGGGGTCTAGTTCTCCCGCTCTGCTTGTTCTTGTTCTTGTTCTTCTTCTTCCTTCCCGCGCGCTGCGAGTTCGAGTGTCCATCCGAGTCCAGCTATCAACCCCGAGAAGTACGATAAGAAGCTTCCCAGAGTCACCAACACACCCGCCGCCAACATGTTCAAGCGCTCGTTCCGGTCCAACAACAGCCAGCAGGCTGCTGCCATGGACTCGCAACACCGCGTGGACAAGACGGCGAGGCTGATGAAGAAGGGCACCACCACGGCGGGCTCCGTGCGGGATCCCACCAAGTTGTCGAAACTGCAGCGGTCGCTATCCGAACGCGAGGAGGCTTCAGCGTCATCGTCACGCATGAAGCTCGACTCTAACAAATCCCTTGCGCCTTCGCCGATTGTCACCCTGACCGTCGGCAGGGAGGGGCGGCTGTTTGCGGCTCACGAGGATGTCCTCTGCCAGAGCTCGTTCTTTCAACAGGCTCTGCGGGGGCAATACCTCGAGCAGTCGTATGTGCAGAGTAGGAGAATCGCGCTCCCGGATGAGGAGCCGGAGATCTTCTCGGCGGTCCTCGAGTACCTCTACAAGGGCGACTACTACCCCCGCTTGTTGCATAACAAGCACCGCAACTCTTGGGAGCTCGAGGACTCTGTCCCGCGCCGAGGAACACCTCACGCATCACCCAACATCAACGAAAACGGAGGCGGCCGCGCAGGCTCCTCCGCGGCGTCGTCACCGTACACGCCGTCGGCTGTCGAGGCAACCGTCTATCTATCCAGTGTAGGGCAGCACCTGCTCCGCGACACGGTCGTGTACTGCGCCGCGGAGCGGTACGGGCTGGAGGAGCTCAAGCGGCTCGCGCTGCGCAAGCAGGGCCTTCAGTCGGGCATCGACGTCGGCACCATCCTTCGCAGCGCGCAGTACTGCTATGCCCACACGCCGGACTCGGACAGCCGCCTGCGCGCTCATTACCTGGCACTCATCATCCGATGCCGCAAGACCTTCAAGAGGAGCGGCACCATGCAGGCCGAGATGGAGCGGGGTGGAGAGGGTGGCAAGCTGTTCTTCGACCTGTTTGTCGCGCTGTGCAACCACCTCGACGATGTCATTGAGGCGGGCAACAAAGGCACGCCCAGGACCATCTGAGAGGACCGGCTTGCCCGGTGCAGGATATGGCAAGCAGTGTGATATCACTACTTTCTGATTGTTCTGTTGGCGTTATAAGAGGATATACAAAGCGGATCTGAATTCTTGGATATTGCATTTATAGGGACGGGTACATCTTTGGGTTCTTGCGACTGCGCTGATCTGTTTCGTTGCGGTTTTTGGCATCGTCTCTTCTCGTTTACGCTCCCAGGTTCATCAGATTGGAACACCATTTGGGAGATTTGCTTCTTCACTTCTCATGAGGTTGGCCGACCGTTTCTGATGAATATACCGGAGTGAGAAGGGGCAGGCTTCTAATTGATCGGGACACGAAGGTCAGATCGCAGGCGAGGACTCCAAAGCCGCCCCTTTGCAGCTCCCTTTATTTCATTTCCTGCGTGTGCTTCTTGCTGACTGGAACTAACGGAGGATATATGTCGTTTCTGGCATTTTGACATTGGCGTTACGGGGTCTCAGTGCTCTTTCCGTCTATGTTAATCGCATGGGAATCGTTGGAACAGTTATTTTTGCGACTCTTCGAAAACTCAACACCACCCACTCCGATTCATCTCAAAAAAAATATCAACACACCCGGAGTTTGTTTTTTTTTCTTTGGGAATTTTTCCTTTGCGCAACTGCCATTTGTTCAGGGATTTTGGTTGGGGAAATCTCCACGGAGGCGTATTGCTCGGCATCTAGACTGGCAAACACACTCTCCCTTTTTCTCAGATTGATATACCAGACGAGGCAGCGGGAGCTAGGAAGAGGGGGAACTGAAAACAAACACCAATAATGGAACAACAACAAATCAACCGACGACCACGGGCTGGCGCGACCCCTTTTCTGATTCTATACACAAAAGCTTCGCTGCCGACATTGCATCTCCGCTAACTGTTTCCTTTGTTCAATGTACAGGGGGAGAAGACGGGAGGAGGAGAGTGATACGTCGGGGGAAGGCAGAGAAACTTACTGTTGGATGGCCTGCATGGGTGTGACTTGCTTCAGCGGACAAAGAGCTGGCGTGTCTGATCATTTGTGATGATTGAATGAAGTTTATGATCTTGACGATTAGCATTCTTCGGGCCGGGCGGTGGTCCCTAGCGGACTGCCGTTCGCGCCCCGTTGGCTCGACGCCCTCTTGAGGGGCTTGGTAATGAGAGATTCGGCCACCTCACTCTTGGTTCCTTGATATGCATGGTGAATGTGATATGCTGCCTCTATATATGTAGTATGTGTCATGTAGATGTCAACTAGCTGCTCCACTGCACCTCAAAGTCTTTGAACTCGACAACCAACTCCTCAGTCTCGCCCTTTGGCCGCGCCGCATAGGCACTGACGCTGATCTCCCAGCTCTCGGGACTACCGCCAAAGACCCAGCAGATCTCGCGCAGCGGGATCTTCTCGCCGTCGACGATCTGGTACACCCACAGGCTGATGCCGTGCTCGTCCCCGCCCTTCTCGATGGCCACAGTCACCCACTTGCCGTCGCCCAGCACGGGCGACAGGCTCCAGTCGGCCCAGGAGTCGCAGCCGACGGTGCCGAGCTTGGGCACCGAGTTGTAGTACTCGACGCCGCTCTTGATCCACTTGGGCGGCGGCGTGACGGGCGAGCTGGCGCGCTGGAGGGACAGCAGGATGCCGCCCTGGTCGTACTGCTCCTTGGCGGGCAAGGAGAAGGACACCTGCGCTGACTTGAACTTGGTCAGCGGCCCCGTGGTGATTGCGCCGGCCGGCGTTGCGGACGGGGCTGTTCGGCGGTGTTAGCTCAGTCGTATTGCGGGGGATAGATAGGTAGTTGCTGGGACATACCGTTCCAGACATCTGTATGAGGGGGCTTTCGCCAGATGTCGGTGCCGGGTTTGGCATTGACAGAGAAGGATGACATTATGATTTATGAGACAACGTGGAAATCAGCAGGGCCTTAAGCTGATCCTGGGCATAATCTAGGTACCTCCAGGTCATGGAAGTCACGTCGTATCTTATATGGGAGCCCCTCCTCCAGCTGAGGGGGGTTCGGCGGGGCGTGCGGGTCAGCAAACGAGCCGCTGCCGGCGCTGTAGCTTGGCCTAACGCACCGGCAGCTGAGGCCCGAACGCCGTTGTTCAGCCCCTGAAACTCCGCCTTCGGGGGGCAAGGCCTGCTTGTGCTGGGCCGAACTTTTACCGTACCCGAGTCACTGAGTTGACACGGCCCAGTGGCCTAACTACCTAGGTAGGTAGCGAGTGTTCCTGGGTAGTTTGTGATGAACCTCATTGATCGACTGACCAAGGCATCTTCCCACCGTTGGTATGCATACATCCTAAGAAAGAACTAGCTAAACCTTGGAACGGCTCTTCGAGTGCTCATTGGAATAAGTCGGCCACCTTCTTCTACAAATAGCTTGGCATCACGTATGGCTCTCTGTTCATTCATGTGCTCTTACATTGTACAGGCGGAAGGGATGGACCGCGATGTGATCTTCAGCTGTTGAGATGATGTCTTGGCTCAGGTGAAGGTCAAATGAGTTGACGATGGATAATGAATGTATTTGTGTGGACGATGAGAGGTTCTTTGCTGAATTACACAGCTTTCCCACCTAAACCGGGAAATAGAACAACCACAAGTCATGAAATGTTGGCTTAGACACGCCGGGGTAATAAGCGGTGGTGTTGTTTGCTGGCAGCGTTTTAAATGGGAGGGGAAAATAAAAGTCAAAGTCACGGCCAAACCAAGAATCGAACATCGTCGCCCACCATTCCTGAGGGAGGGGTCACGTGAGGCCCATTTATGGGGGGCGGCTGGATCAGTTCCCAAACTTTTGCGGCCGTTTCCACTCGACCAAAGCGTCCTCGAAACCCCCGCCACTTTTCATATTCGCCGTTCTTTTTCCTCCATCACCAGTATCTTCCAGCATTCTCGTTTTCGCCCAATGGCATAACACAGTTTTGTCTGCCTACCCGCCCTATCCTTACACTGCTTCCAAGACTGTTATAAGTGCAGACTCTCAACTTCTAGAAGATATCCCGGGGAAGGGGGCAGTTGGACGAACGCATCCAAGGCTGCAATCCTCCAGGCTGACTCTGGTGGGGGACGAAGCAGAGGTGCTTGGTGACTCAAATCGCGGTCATTCCGTGGGATCACATCCGCCTCACCTTCGCTGCCTTATAAGTCAAAGTCCCAACTACACATCCCAAACCGAACGGAAGCAGCGCATTGCTTCCTTAATCCATAGGCACCATGGCTTCCATTACGAAGCTTCCGAAGAAAGTCACCCAACATCAAATCAAACCTCGAGGTGCACAACGCCCTAATCCCGCCCGAGCCATCAATGATCGCGAGTTCCGCCGCAAGCTACAGGCTGAGGCGGCTGCCGCTGCTGCAGCCACACCACCACCCTCCGCCCCGACCGCCGCCTCCTCTTCCTCTCGTGTGCAATGCCAGAACAAAGCTTGCAAGTTTCCAAACGTGGTGGACGGCGTCTGTCGTTCTTGCGGTCGTGTCGCAGATGACAGCAATATTGTGGCCGAGATCCAATTCGGAGAGACATCTTCAGGTGCTGCAGTCGTACAAGGAAGCTTTCTAGGTGCAGACCAGGCTGGCCCTCGACCGATGGGCGGCCCTGCATACCGTCGAATCGCTGGCGGTGGTTCTGGAGAGGCTCGAGAGAGAAATCTTAGAGAAGCACGCCAGATGATGGAGGGCTTCGCGGTCCAACTGAATATCAACCCTGCAATTGTCGGCGTGGCTCAGGCTATTTACCGCTCCGCCGTCAACATGAACTTCGTTCAAGGTCGTGGCATTCAGAAGGTAGTCGTTGTCTGCCTTTACGCCGCGTGCCGAAAGGAAACCCCCTGCAAGATCATGTTGATTGATTTGGCCGATCTCATCAAGGCCGATGTCTTCACCCTTGGTCGTTACTTCAAGCAGCTCATGCACATCAACCCTGCTGCTAGAGATCGCGTGCAGCCCATCTTCGCCGAAGACCTCATCTACCGTTTTGCGGTAAAGCTTGAGTTCGGCGAGAAGACGACTGACATTGCTACCGCCGCTGTGCGCCTCGTTCAGAGAATGGACCGGGATTGGATGGTTATGGGCCGTAAACCGTCCGGAATCTGCGGGTGCGCTCTTATTATTGCAGCACGGATGAACAACTACCGACGCACCCCCTTGGAGGTTGCCTTCATTGCAAAGGTCACCATGGTCACAATCACTCAGAGACTGGAGGAGTTTAGGATGATCCCCAGCGCTGACATGAGTGTTGAGGAGTTCTACGGGTCCGATTTTCTTGAACATCAGCATGACCCTCCGTCCTTTTACAAGAAGAGCGACGAATACAAAGCCATGATTGAAGAGAAGAAGAAGCCGCGAAAGCGCAAGCGGGTTGCGGAAGACGATCTGGCAGATGTCCAGGAGCTTTCTCCTGCTGCCAACTCACCCGACAACGACCAACAACCTGTTAATGATGAGAATAGTCCTACAGTTCCTGCCGAGTCTGGTGCCCAGTCGGCCCCAGTGACAGATGCAGATGGATTCGTTATTCCTGCATTGCCACGGACCGCAGCACAAGACAATGTTTCAGATGATCGCCAGTATGAAGACACAATGAAAGAGCTATCAGACACCTCAGCGCAGCAACTCGGGGCCCTAGCTAAAGCTTATGGCGACCAGTCTGCGATTGACACGGTCGAAGATGTTGCAAATATCGCGAGCCCCGGATCTGCTGGCTCCCCAGAGAGCTCTTCAACGGGCACACCTAGTAAGCGCCGCCGCACGACTCCCGGTTCAAGCGTTCGCAGCTTGCCACCCACACAGGGTTTTAGAGATGAGGAATGGGAGCGAGACGAAGCCGAGCTCGTCGATGAGATCAACAAGCTCGACCAAGGGATCACAGAGAGTGTCGGTGACCCCGTGACCGCAGAGCATCTCCTGGCGTTCGCAAGCGCCAAGGAACGCGCCCGGCTTATGACAATTGCCGCGGAGGAGAAGGCCAAAGTGCTCTTATCAACTCGTCCGCATATCTATCAGAACAAGGACCTCGATGCACCTGAGGTGAATGAATGGGAGTTCGACAATGACCCCGAGATCGAGAACTGTCTTCTTTCTGAGAGGGAGAAGAAGATCAAGGAGATGGTCTGGCTGAACGAGAACAAAGACTGGCTCAAGCAACAGCAGGAGAAGGCGTACCGGGCAAAGATGGCGCCGCCCAAGAAGAGCAGAAAGCGAGCCAAAAAGGCCAGGATTGGAGAGGGGCAGACCAGTCCCGCCAGCACGGCAGGTGAGGCCGCTATCCAGACAATGGCAAGGCACGCCGTGTCCAAGAGAATCGACTACAGTGCTCTCAAGAAGATGCTGGATAGCCACGACCATCGGGGTCCTGGCTCGACTATGGGTAGCGAGGTCACCAGCCGTCAAACTAGCCGAGCCGGGAGCTACATTGGCGATGACGAAGATGCTAGTGATAGCGAGCCTGAGCAGAGCCAGGCGGGCGACGTTAATCAGGATGAGGATGTCGAGGATGTCGAGGAGGGTGGATATGACGAGGAAGAAGGTGGCGAGGAAATTGACCCTTTTGCGGATGACGATCAAGGCGGTGCTGAAGACGATGACGAGTAAGGGCGAAACTCATGGAGGGAAAAGCATGTTTCGCTCCTCCACGGATTCCATGTGAGCACCTCAGATTTGGCACCGAGTCACGGAGTTAAGATACGGAAGATACCCCATTAGCGCATCTGCACAGGAGTTATCGCTTAGAGTCATTAATTTAGAGAATTCATAACACAATGTAATGCCTTATAGGCCCTTCGTGATTTTGACCAAGTGATTTTCTGAAGCAGATCCACCCTGGTTAATGCCAAGCTATCAGAGAGGCTACCGAATCCAAGGATCTGGATCTGCATGACTTGCATTCAGTATCACACAGCGTGGCCGATGTAATCCTGCAGCCGACCGGCACGGTCACAGCCAGAAGCTAAAGTGGCTCTCTACCCCAAGCTTGGCCCTGGACCACATGTTCAACACATGGCCTATCCAGGCCCGCAAATTGAAAGACTTAGGGGGTGCTCATTTTGTTGCAACAAATTCACAAAGACGCATCAAGATTCGATCTAAACCATAAGGGCCTTAACAGGGAATCAATATGAACCGGCATACAGAATGTCCGAATATCTAGGCAACATGCTACCCCTGCGTTATGCAAATCTCTATGAAGAGAATGGCTGGAAAGTCCATGTCTGCGAGCCTGGCCTGACACCAACAAAACTCGAGGGAACAGGGTGGGCTTCTGCGCATGTTCAGACAGTCGAGGATGGGTGCACAGAATTGTCTGCGGCAACCCTGGGATCCGATGGAGAAAATGGAACTCATGCAAACAGGGCCGGACCGACGCCGTGGTAAAATTAGTTGAACTTTAACATCTGTCCCACGCTGTCAAAATTTTAGTTGCAACTACCTAGACTTGTCATGCCCAAGTCAATGCATGGAAGAATTGAAATTCATGTTCAGACCCTAATTATTCAGTTGTAACTATCCCTCGGCTCAGGCGGAAGTCCGTAATTGTGCCGTTGGCATACATACGAACCTACTTGACTTGGTCAAGCGCCGCCAATCGGCCTCGCTTCCGTTACGCTGCAGAAGACCCCTTGCCTGTATTCATCCTTCTGTCACGCCAGAACTCGTTGTGCTTATCCCCCACGGTCCGGTTCATTTGCTTTGCGGTGAAAATCTCGGGACCCCGCAGTGAAACCTCTTCAACTATTTTGACATTCTTGTTTCCACAATACCTTTGTTACTACCATGTCGGCACCTGAACCAAAGTCTGAGCAGCCAAAGACGGCCGAGGCCTCTGTGGCCGCCGAGACGAGCCAAGCAAGTCCTCCGGTTGCTACGACAAGTTCCGCGGGTGAGACAAGCCCTCCGGCCGAGTCTACACTCTTGCCTCCAGAACATTGGACTGAGAACCCACCTGTCAGTTATGAATTGCCACTGAAGCTCTTATTCCCGACTTGATATTGACCGGTTGAACATAGCCTGAAGACAACGATGACACTGACTCCTCCCTTGGAGACGACAAAGCAAGCACGACTGCTTCTATCACGTCGTCAATTCTCAAATATAGAACTATTCAAGGACGCACGTTTCATAGTGAGATAGGCAATGCCCAGTATTGGTACGTTCCCAACTATCACTCCAAAAAGACGGTGTCTGTTTCTTTATCCAAACTCCCTCTCAAGTTTTTTCACATGTCTGGCATTCCACTGACTTATTACTCAAGGGGTTCAAATGACGCGGGCCATAGCGACTCGTTAGACATACTGTAAGAAGTGATTGGAGATTATGATCCTAATTAAACTCATACTCGTCAGGCATCATTTATTCTCATTATGTCTCGAAGGAGACCTATTTTGCGCACCCATCAAAGATCCCAAGGTAACCGCAAGCCTTCCCCTGTTTTCTACCGATAACTTACACATATTGCAGAAAGTGCTGGATATAGGAACAGGAACAGGTTAGAGCTGAACATCCACTCATCGGGACTTTTGCTCTGTGTATTGGCTAATGCTGTGCTTTACACCTGCTCTCAGGAATATGGGCAATGTGAGTAGAATATGTTTGAAAAAGAAAGACTTTCACTAACAGTCTTGAAGCGATTTTGCAGATGTTTATCCTGAGTGCGAGGTGATCGGCACTGATGTGTCTCCTATTCAGCCCACATGGGTTCCACCAAATTTGAAATTGTAAGCTGCTGCTCCGACAATGTGAGACCGCTGGGGCAATCAAAGGACGAAACTCACGTAACGGCACACAGTGAAATTGAGGACTGTACTCGCGAATGGACATTTCGCGAAAGCGATTTTGACTTCGTCCATATTCGTTATCTATTGGGCTGTATTCCAGACTGGGAGGTTTTCTTCAAAGAGGCATTTAAGGTCCTGAAGCCAGGCGGTTACCTGGAGAGTTATGAGGCTTCACCACGAGTGTATTCGGACGACGGTACCCTTTCTGACAAAGATGCCATTGCTCAATGGGGACCACTATTTATTGAAGGTGGAAAGGCGATCGGTCGCAGTTTCACGATTGTCGATGACGGGACACAAAAGGAAGCTATGGAAAAGGCAGGGTTTGTTGACATCCAGGAGAAATTGATCAAGGTGAGTCCTTCAACATCCGTTATATGTAAGTATCTAACGGAAGTCCAAAGGTTCCTAGCGGGGCATGGCCGTCGGACCCAAAGTTAAAGGAGATCGGGCTTTACGCGCAATATGCCGTTGAGTCTGATGTCGAAGGTTTCATTGTTTTCTTGACAAACGTTCTAGGATGGTCTAAAGAGCAGGTTCAGGTTTACATTGCCCATCTGCGACGAGAGCTCCGATCTCTCACGCATCATGTTTATTATTGGCAAAAGGTGGTGTGGGGAAGGAAACCAGGAAACCCGAGTGATTCATAAAAAAGCTAATAGCGAAAGCTGTGATCTCAGTGTGCGACAAGTTAGTTGACGATTTATTTAGTTTAGGTCAATATCAAATTTAGCGACCCTACCATGTACTCGGTCTTTTGCTCCCGTAACACACCTCGCTCGTGTAAAGACCTGGGACGACGTCGGGGTCGAAGTCCTGGGGAAATTGTAATGGCTATTTCACCGGGGCTGAACAGTCCGTCACACACCCACGCGTCTACGTTTCTTCATTGGCTTAGCCCTTCCGATTAAGCCGCAGCTGAGCATGATTTAACACTAGATCGCTGGACCAACCCGACCTTGCATGGCGCTAACCAGTGGATGGCGTTGTCCGGTGTTCAAGAAAGTAACGTCCTTAAAGAACCAATCGTACTCCAAGTTGATTTTGTTTAGGTTGACTGAGGCAGTTGCTAAATTCATTGTGATAGTACTATAAGCACTCATTGCAAAGAAGAAGTCATTAACAGCGTTCTGCTACTAGGAAATAATGGAGAATTGGAGACCTGAGATAGATCCCACCTTTCGCAAAGGTCAATGCGAGTTCTATACTTGGCCGATACAGCCTCATGCTATCTTGGAATTCCAAGAGGAAACGCTGCATGAACACAATGCTGACACCAAGACATACCTATTCCGAGAATACCTGCCGGAGCATACCGCTCAAATAGCGAGAGGCAGGCAGATCCTAGACCGGCTTCGTCAGATAGACCCAAGTGCTGCGGAGCTCTTCGAAACCAAGCCGTATCTCATCGACGGTATGACACTGCGCCTCATCAACGGCGAGACTACAGCGCCCCCGAAGTCTTATTCAGCTCTCAGCTACTGCTGGCCACCGGATAATGGCTCTTTTCAAACCTCTGCCGGCAATCGACCTGTGCCAATCAGCACTTTGCTATACCAGCACCTCATTCTTCAACGAGAGACTGATGATGAAGGTGTTTGGTGCGACCAACTGTGTATTGATCAAAGCAACAAAGCAGAGAAAGCTGCTACAATATCAGCCATGGACGCCTTATACTCTTGTGCTCGAATGGTAGTAGTCGCTCTCGAGGACATCGAAGTCAGCCCAGAAGAGCAGGCCTTTTTAGAGGCGTTTATCGAGGATTATGTGGACGACAAATGGCCACCTTTACCACCCCCACATGTCATGGAAAGACCACCGATCATGGAAAAATATCCAGTATTGCAGGGCTTCTTCACGAAGGTCTGTCGCTCAAGATGGTTCGAGCGGGCGTGGTGTTCTCACGAAATGCGTCTTGCTAAACGCCACCGATTCCTCATTCGCTGCAGCAGTAATCCCCAGACTCTGTTGTCATTCTCGGATATCCTCATGTCCTATTTATGCCTTCTTTCAGCCCCAATATCAATGCCGGATGATGCAAAGTTAGTGAGAACTACTATTGACCGCGTCTTCTACTTTAACGACTATCTCGCTGAGTTGCGTCGGGTCTTACGAGACGAACCGAAACCCAGCCCCTCAAACGATGAGCAGATTCAGGCATATACCACTCATATTTCCGAGATATTCAGCCTCGGAGCCTCAGGCGATCCAGACTCAGGAGACAGAGCCAGAGATGCGAATCTTGACCGAATTACAATACTGCTCAATACTGTTGGCACCGGGCTGGCGTTAAGGAGAACTCAAGCAGCACAGAGCAACTACACTGTGACAACGGAGCAGTGCCAAAGACTTCTCTTTACATTAGCTCTGGCAGCCGGCGACCCTACCGCCCTTTGCACAAATGGTAAACCATATAAATTCGGAACGGGAACTTCATCATGGCTTCGAACCCCCCACGCTACAGACATTGGATCAGGAGCGTCTAGGCAAGAAAAGCTGCCTCGTATGGCTGACTACAATGTTGAGCTCGATTTGAGCGAATTGTCAGAGTCTGTTAGTCTCGACATGGTAGTCCCTGGTGGTTTACGGTCGCCAAACCCAGACAAAAAGGAATTGGCAATCTTAATTGTCACGGCATGTGTCAAAGCTGGCCTTGGAGGAGGATTTTTGGGCCAGATGGCGCAAGGTCCCGAGTATCTGGGGTGGCGTATGGAAACGGACTTGGACTTTTGGTTCGACAACTTCACCGGCGTGGTTGCCGTCATACTCGAATTCGGACCTGAATGGATGCTGGGGATAGCCGATAAGTGTGGCTTTGCTGACCCCAATGTTCTGGATCCCATCAAGCAAGTCGTAAGGCAGCATTTTCATGATGGCTTTGACATTGGTTACCTGATGAGCCTGAGGTGGCTTGACTCCGAGTCGTCCCTCGCTGCTGTCAACGCCATCATGAGGATCACCTACTGGATGATTGGCTGGTCATTATCGACTATGCATCAGACAGATGCGGAGGCACGAGCAGCGTGGCACCCATTCATATGTGATTTTGGCTGTGGGCAACAAACCATGATCATTTCTCCCAACGAAATGAAGCCCGCCATACCCATCTCCCTATTCCGAAGCGATTATGCGCGTCTCCCAAGAGTTTGGTTGCTGAGAACCAAGACTCAGGAGTCGGGAGACAAGAATGCTGAACAGAAGGAAGACGTATTTTTCCTCGAAGGCAAGTCGGTATTGTTTGCCGCTATGCCAGAGGGCGAATACAACGAAGCCTTAAAGGCGTGCGCGACAAGCTACATCAAAGTATTTGGACCAGATTAGCACATTTGAGGTAGTAATAAATCCGTAGAAATTCCACTGTATAACATCATAAAGCTACACATCTGCCAATTCTGGATGAGTCTTCAAGCGTCTGTTGATGGAGTCAGGGGTAAGGGCGTCGGGGAATCGTAAGCTCGTCGATCTGGATACCCAGACTCTCTTAAGGATCTTTACCACAGTCTCTTCACTACCATTTGTAGAACGCGCGACTACCATAATGCAGCGCTCAATGATTTTCGGCACCTCACTAGATGAATGATCTCCGTGAAGAGGATCTAGTCTTTCAAAGATAGACAATTTGGAGGCTGTTGCCTTTTGCCGACAGAGCGATAACGAGTGCAGCGTGTTGTGAACCTGTTAAGTCGACCAGGCGCGTACGCTGTGAAACACGGCACAGAAAACAGTTACGTTATCAGACACTTAACGAGTGAGGAGCAGCGGGCTGTGCATCCTTCCTGGCCTGAGGCGGTGGGCCAGTCAGCCACCTTGAGAGACTTTCCGACATTCCATCAAACATCACACGAAAGCATCATTCATTAGGGATAAAGGCAGGGCCAACCCATCGTCTGAACATTGAGTGTCCAAGTGTCGACAGCAGGAGCGACTGTCAGAGTCTGTGCGGGCAGGATACCTACGAGGCCCCTTACCAAGAGCAGCCAGCCCACTCCCGGCGCCGGCGGGTGAAGGACCAGACAGCCAGAGATTACGGTGTGCGACCAGGACGTCATCGAAAGCGACCGGCCAGCCAGCAAGCAGCGATACCTCGTGGATCATCCTCCCTCCAGCCCTGACGATACTCCCCCTTCGTGCCCCGGCTGGGCGTTTTCCTAACCGTTTCAACCTTCAAATATGTCCTGGGAACTTACCCGTCGCCGTTTCTTTCGTGCGATAAATAGTAAATTCATCTACGGCCGTGTCGTGAGTGTCCACCTATCTACTCCCTATCGCCTCCTCTTACCCGCCCGTGCTCCATCTCCGCTGTCGTCAACTTGAGATCATCGACAAAACAAACCCCTGCCGGTATCTATTCAACGGCCAAATGCTGACTTTGGCCCTCTTTCTTCTCTAGCCACTCCTACATACCATCATCTTCCTAATCGAGATGGTTATCGCCGCGCGCTTAACCTCAAGATTCAATGCCTATTACGATGAGCGACCCGGTACGTCTGAACCCTCCACGGCCTCATCGCCTTGCTTTGACCGATAAGGCGATGCCCTATTGTCGATCTGATCGTAGGGTCATGACTAACACCATGTAGTCCTCACCATGATGGTGACGAACGCGGTGCTCGGTGGCATTGCCGACACCGTCGCCCAATCCATCACCTCCATCAGACAACGAGCGCTCCGCAAGACAGTCGGCTCCCCGAACCCGCGAGACGATCCCCTAGCCTACGAGATCCATGAACTCGACCGCAAGAATCCTTTCCAGGATCGAGAACTAATACCCGAGTCTAAATTACTTCCGCCGCCGTTTGACTTCGAACGTCTGACACGCTTCATGGCGTACGGCTTCGGGATGGCCCCCTTACAGTTCCGATGGTTCAAGTTCCTTGAGAAGTCGTTTCCTATCACAAAGGCTAGCGCTTTCGTGCCCGCGATGAAGAGAGTTGCATTTGACCAGCTCGTATTCGCGCCATTTGGTATGTGATGCCGGACAACCCTGTGTTAAACCTATCCTAATGTGCTTCTCATGATCTTGGGGACATATATACTTGGAGTGTCAAGACACTTGCTGACCATTACATTTTCGCAGGTATTGCATGCTTCTTTACCGTGATGACCGTTGCAGAGGGTGGTGGCCGAAGAGCCGTCTACCACAAGCTGAGGGACATGTATGTCCCGACGCTGAAGGCCAACTTTATGGTCTGGCCCGCTGTCCAGGTCATCAACTTCCGCTTGATGCCGGTTCAGTTCCAGCTGGTAAGTGTCGAGACCCTCGAACTCACAAAAAGCCATTGCAAATGTAATCTAATTTGAATATCATAGCCTTTCGTGTCCACCATTGGTATCGCATGGACTGCCTATCTCTCCCTTACAAACGCCGCCGAAGATGTCCAACCTACCCGCCCATCTCCTCCCAACTCTCCCAACATCCGCCTGGAATGAGCAATCGTGACCTTCCTTGTTCAGACTGCGAGGAGCGACTGTGACATTGCCTTTGACGATATTCAGCATACAGATGAGGCAGGCTTGTTAGGCATTTAATTGGGGCGTTTGGCATTACTTTCACGATACTCTCTTTTGGCACCCTTTATTTCATGGGGTCTGGAGGCAAGGCTGCCTGGCGTTATAGCTGATAGGAAGACGCCTGTAACATCGTCTCTAAATTATATAGAAACCAGGAGTTTGGTAATTTCACCTTGATTATACTCTATTAAGATGACTAGTTTGAGAATCCAGAAGTGAGGTGATTGGATGATCGAGGAACGTGTGTAGCCAATGCCGCGACGGTTCTTAGTATCATGATATGCGAGAGACGTAGTCTTGAGGCAAGTGGTAGGTACAAATCAGGCATTCCAACACGAATGGTCCAAACGTGAGCCACAGCCGATGGCTACCGTGATCCGATCTTCCGACCCTTCAGATCGAGACCACAGGTAATATCTCTTACTGGCAGATGCACCTATACAGAAAGTGTGCATGATGGGAATGGGAAGATCTTGTGGTTTGCCGAGTCAACAGCAAATTTGCATCGGTCCTTCTTGCTTCTGGGCGCTGTAGCAACTCTGCAAGTGCCATTTTTCCCGCTCCAGAGGAAATCAGCCAACCATCACGTCAGAGATTCGTCGAGGTAACCCCACCAAAAGTCTGCTGTGCTGTGCAGCTCAGCGCAGTACCCCTCCCCCACCAAGAATCATCTGAGGCTTTTAAGCAGTGGCTTGCCCTCCTTCGAACATTTCACTGTCGAGAATCAGACAACACACCTCTCAAGAGTCTCTTTCCTATTGTGAAGCTTCTTCGGCTTTTCATATCATTCCTAAAAGTGCTTTTCGTGTTCAATTGACTGCGTCGTCCGCAACATGTCTCTGGCCAACAAGCTCTCCATTGAGGATGTCGACCTCAAGGGCAAGCGCGTCCTGATCCGAGTAAGTTCATGATTTCTGTTCAGCATCAATACTACACATCCATACTTGCTACTGAAGCCCCAAGAGAGTCTATGATAGCCATCCGGATCCCCAGGGCAATCCCCAGATAGCTGTCATGGGCAATCCGGAGGCGGGGCTCGAGGAGCTCAAGCTTCCGATCCAGCCCGATTCCACGGCTACTACCTGCTCTCGTTACCCGACCCATGGCTAACTGGGATACCCCTTTGTTCTAGGTCGACTTCAATGTGCCCCTTGACGCCGACAAGAAGGTCACCAACAACCAGCGTATCGCTGGTGCCATCCCCACCATCAAATATGCCGTCGACCATGGTGCCAAGGCCGTCATTCTCATGTCCCATCTCGGCCGCCCCAACGGCAGCCCCAACCCCAAGTACAGCTTGAAGCCTGTGGTTCCTGAGCTGGAGAAGCTCCTGGGCAAATCAGTCACCTTCGCTCCGGAGTCTGTTGGCCCCGAGGTCGAGGAGATTGTCAACAAGCAAGACAACGGTGGTGTCGTCCTTCTCGAGAATTTGCGTTTCCATATTGAGGAGGAGGGAAGTGCAAAGGACAAGGACGGCAACAAGACCAAGGCGGACAAGGAGAAGGTTGCTGAGTTCAGGAAGGGCCTGACCAAGCTCGGTGATGTCTACATCAGTAAGTTCATCCCTGAAGCCTGTGGCTGTAGCAGTAGACCGTGGCGTGATATATCTAACTTTATTTCCAGACGATGCCTTCGGCACTGCTCACCGTGCTCACTCTTCCATGGTTGGTGTTGACCTGCCGCAGAAGGCTGCTGGTTTCTTGATGAAGAAGGAGCTCGACTACTTCGCCAAGGCTCTCGAGAACCCTCAGCGACCCTTCCTCGCCATCCTCGGTGGCGCCAAGGTCTCTGACAAGATCCAGCTGATCGACAACCTGCTCGACAAGGTCAACACCCTTGTCATCTGCGGTGGTATGGCCTTTACCTTCAAGAAGACCCTGTACAATGTCTCAATCGGCACTTCGCTGTTCGACGAGGCTGGCTCCAAGACCGTGGCTAAGCTGATCGAGAAGGCCAAGGCGAACAACGTCAAGGTCGTCCTCCCGGTCGACTACATCACTGCCGACAAGTTCGACAAGGATGCCAACACCGGCAAGGCCACCGATGCCGAGGGTATCCCTGACGGCTGGATGGGTCTTGACTGCGGCGAGGAAAGCATCAAACTCTACAAGGAGGCTATTGCCGATGCCAAGACAATCCTCTGGAACGGCCCAGCTGGTGTCTTCGAGTTCGAAAAGTTTGCCAACGGTACCAAGGCCACCTTGGACGCTGCTGTCGACGCTGCCCAGAGCGGCAAGATTGTCATCATCGGTGGTGGCGACACGGCCACCGTTGCGGCCAAGTATGGTGTTGAGAGCAAGCTCAGCCACGTCTCCACCGGCGGTGGTGCCAGCTTGGAGCTGCTGGAGGGCAAGGAGCTGCCGGGTGTTACTGCTTTGTCCAGTAAGTAAAAAAGCGTGTGGGAAGCGTGCCGGTCACGGCTTTCGACCAGATGAGCCGGGTCTTTTCGCTTTCCTAGTCTCCTGATTTGGCATGGGGTTCTGATGAATGGCAAGGTCGGTCGGCGGGAAAGGCTAGTCTTTAGTGTTATGAGTCCCACCTTAGGTATGCATAGAAATGGAACATCCTTATGATATCACGAAAGCTTGTTGCCGACCGTTCTACGTTGAGCCCATCCGGTGGTGCGGGCCCGTCTTGCACGTATGCCATTGTCATAATCAGAGCCGCACTAGAATTGAAAAGCATGAGTGACCCATGAAAATGTCAATTTATGAAAAGACCCTTTCTGGCCCTGACGCCATTGCTTTGTCTGGACTGTATCTATGATGCTTTATCATTCGTGAATTGTCCTCCCGTAACCATTACAAGACCAGCCTCGACTTCTGCTCGAATGCTGACTACACCACAGCTTCTCCGTATCGTTCATCGCCGTCTCTTGGACTCTTCGACCTTCTTCAGCTCCTCCCTACAGTGATGTGATTAGTATACTGATTCATATTGTGGTTGAGCGGTAAGAAACGAGAAGAGGACCGGCCCATGCGTCGTGCTCAAATTTGCAAGAGCAGAAAACAAGCGACGAACGCTCCGGACTTGGGCTGGCGATGTTGTAAAGTGGAGGGGATCAGAACCTACTTCAGCTGCGTTGAGAAATCGTCGCTTGTGTCATCGTCGTCCCAAGACTCCTCCCACAGGTGCTTTGTCGCCTCGCTGCCGCCAGCTGCCTCGGTCTCTTCGGAGTTCCAGTCTGTAGTTGAGCGTATGTCAGCATCCAATCACCGCCTTATCCAGAAGCCTGCAATGGTCGCCACCAAGACGGCGATGATAGCTTCAACAAGAAAGATGGAAGGGCGATCGGGTGGGCGGTCGCGGGCGAAGGCTCCCTCTGGAACATGAAGAACGTACCATCAACAGGGAAATCCTCAAACTCGTCGTCCTCTTCTAGCGCAGCAGCGGACTTCTGCTGTGTCTGCTCGGGCTTGGGCTCGTTCGAGGCGGGCTTCTCGTCCTTCTTTGCGGCTGACTGTGCGGAGGCCATGATGACTGTGGTGTGGATGATCTGGCAGGACAGGCCTGTGCAGAGTGTCTGAGCAAGGAGGTGGGAGCGCAGTTGCTCGAGAGTTTGGCTGGTTGTAGTTGTCGTAGGTTGTTTGGTAATCGGCGAATGGTCTGGATGAAGCTCTCTCTGGCTGGCAAATGGCAGCTCCAGGCAAGACGTGATGATGTGTGGCTCTTTGTGGCTTGATTTGGTGTCAGAATGTGGCTGCCGGCTACCTAGACAATTCCCCACTACAAAACACCTCGCCATTAAACACCAATAAGCACCAATACCAAGAAGGTTCCCTAAGGAATTTAGCCTGCCTGTCTAGTCTAGAGTCCCTAGCACCTAAAAAGCACCGCCGAAGCCTCCGTATTCAGTAGAGCTACATCCTGGCCGGACTGCAGTGAAGGAACAATATGGAAGCTCCGGAACTGTTCCTTACCGGCGTTAGCGACACTGACGAGGCCTGGCGCCGGCTGCATGTAATACGCAGCCGGCGACTTTTTGGGACCGTGTTTGGTGGAGCTTGTTTCTTGTTAGGCAGTTCCAGTCGCCCTATCGAATGGCCTGTAAAGCGAGCAAGTTAGGTGCTTGCTCGTATACTGAATTGACTCGAGTGTTGTTCTTGCTCTCCTTCTGAGTTGTGCATACACAAGTTCAGGAAGCTGTTTGGGTGTATTCTTCACGGAGCTTATTCAACCCGTACCCAATCTGCACTCGCAAAGGGTTGATCGTTGTCCATTCACTTGCTCAGAGTGCTGTCATTCCCACAAGGCATTCTATAGCTCCTTGCTTAAGCCCCCCGAGGCGGACGTCATCTCACGGACCTGAATACGGCCAGCTCCCCGATGTGCCTATGTGCCTTGAGGGCTGTACAATTTGGGTGACGACGACGTCTTACTATTGCACTTTGCACTTGGGCCATTCTACACTTTTTCCTGCGGTGCGCGGCCTTCCATCCAGAGGGGCGCTTCTCCCGGGTTCATAGCGTCTTTGTTTCACTACAAGGGTTGAGCGTATCATTGGCAGCCTCTGTACTACTCGGGGCCTGGGCTGCAGGTTGTCTCGCAGCGCTCACGCAACCGGCGCTTTTGTTTCTGGTTTATTACGGCACTCTTCGACATTTCACTCTTTCTTAACATTCCGTGTCTTTAGAAGAGTCGGGTTTGGGCAGGATCGTCGCAGCCTTGAGCTCGATACTTCTTCCAGCACTGAAGAGCGGGGTTCAACCAGGTTGTGAGATACAAGGTAGCTAGCTGACCATGTCATTCCGGTCATGGCTGCGTGGTTCTTCCACAGCCGAAGCAGGCAGCACAATCACGCCCAATGGAAGTTCAAAATCGGCACCAGATCCTCGGGATCTCGAGATCTCAGATCTGCAGGACGCCATGGAAGCGGCGGCATTGATCATGAATGACGATATCGACGGCGCAGAGAGCCGGCTTAAGCTTCGAAAGGACTCGTCTGCCTTTCATCAGTTGGGATTGGGTGTCTCGACATTCATGAGATCCATTCTCGGGTTTGAGAAGGAAATCATGGCTGAGGCAGCCTCGAGACTCACGGAGTGTGAGACACGAGCCTGGGCAGACATGAAGAAGGCGCAGAGGGCAGCAGAAGGTGGCTCTTCGTGGTTCGGGCGAGGAGCTTCGTCTCACGTATCTGGAAACGCCAGCCAGATTTATCCCCCCGGCAGCGAGTTCCAGCTTGTGCACGCGAATGCACAGTTGATGAATGCTGTGGTTGCTGTGATGCATGAGAGCTTGACGGAGGGTATCAAGGGTTTCTACAAATTGCGGAAGGCTTTCATCTCGCTGGATGCTATCATGCAGGCTGAGGAGAGGGTGCTAGGAGAATACAAGTCATCGGCTACAGGTTCCCGGCCTCAGTCGAAGGACGTCAAGGAAGACGAAATGCCAGGCTCGTTCGACGAGACCGAGTTTGATGATCTCAAGACACCTAAGGCCTCCGAGTTCAACAAGGCGCCTGAAGATGACAGCGACTTAGATTTTGTTGATGCTGCAGAGGGACAGTCTGGCACCCAAACGCCGGCAACTTACGGCGGTCACCTCGCCGAAGCAGATCCTAAGTCTGCCTCTGCATCTCGGTCGGACTTACCCTTAGAGAAACCCCTCGAAGATCTTTCGCTAGACTCTAAAGCATCTGATCCAGATCCTACATCAAGCCCCGAGTTGACCGCACACTCTCGAACCGTTTCTGTTAGCACATTGCAATCCGCACCGGGACACCTAGGCTTCGATGATGAACATGGCCCGTCCTCAGACCTGTTCAAGCATCCTGTTGACGCATTCGTGCACTCTGGCGCAAACATGTGCTTCGGTATCCTCTTGCTCATCATCTCCATGGTACCACCAGCATTTAGCCGTCTGCTATACATCATTGGCTTCAAAGGCGATAGGGACCGCGGCGTGCGAATGCTGTGGCAGAGTACCAAATTTGCCAACATCAACGGTGCAGTAGCCGGCCTGGTCCTTTTAGCATACTACAATGGACTGTTGGCATTTGCTGACGTGATACCCACCGACGAGGATATCGAGGAGCTCGCCGATAAGACAATCCCCGGCGGCGAGATTGTCGGCTATCCGAGAGAGCGGTGCGCTGCCCTCCTTGCCAGCATGCGCCAACAGTACCCAGAGTCGCGGCTGTGGAAACTAGAAGAGGCGCGTATTCTAGCGAACAAGAAAGAACTTGACGAGGCGATGACGGTGCTGCGCAACAACACCGACTCCAAGATGCGCCAGGTGACAGCGCTCAACAACTTCGAGCTGAGTATCAACGCGATGTTCTGCATGGACTGGCCGCTCATGCGTGAGAGTTTTGTGCGGTGTATCGAGCTGAACGACTGGAGCCATAGTCTGTACTACTATATCGCAGGGTCTGCAGAGGTGGAGATGTACAGGGACGCATTCCATGCTGCGAAGAAGGCGGATGACGAGAAGGAGCGCGAGACATTGGAAACAGAGGCCAAGAAGCACAAGAAGGCTGCGGAGGAGTACTTCAAGAAGAGCCCGTCTGTGGCCGGGCGAAAGCGATTTATGGCCCGGCAGATGCCATTCGAGGTATTCGTGCTTCGCAAGATCCAGAAATTCGAGCAGACCGCTGCTGCTTTAGGCGTGGACCTTGTTGATGGTATAGGCGTGAGCCCCGCGAGCGAAATGACGTGGCTTTGGAACGGATCCAAGAAAATGCCACAGCCACTACTTGGAAAGGCGCTCGAGTTTACGAGCTGGGACAGATGCACTGTGCCCCCGGAGTCTGTAGAGAAGATGAAGGCTGCTCTGGATGATGTGGCTATCAAAGCTGTGTGTGAGACAGCACTTCTCAGGGGTCTAGGTCGCTTCGCAGAAGCGAGGGCTCTTCTAGAGCCTGTTCTGAAGTCCGATCCGTGAGTGAGCCCTGCCTCCTACCTGGCCATATCAAATTGCTGATCATTATTTTTCAGAGCTGCATTCAAGGGACCTACAAAGGACGACTATGCTCTCCCCGCAGCGCACTATGAGATGGCGGTGGTGGCGTGGAGCGAGGCTTGCGCCAGAGATCTTTTCCCTAAGGACCCAGCCGCTATTGATGAGTACCGCCTGAAAAAGGTGAATGAATGCTGGGAATCTTTGGATCGTGTGACTAAATGGGAAAGCTTCAACCTCGATGCCCGTATCGGCATGCGAGTCCAGGCTGGACTTGATAGCATCCGGTGGTTGAAGAAAAAGAAGAAGTGGATTTAGATAGCTGAGAAATTGGGTGTCCTAGTCGATCTGGACGGTGGAATAATCATATAGACAAATTGGGCCATGATGTCCAGACTATATATGTAGACATAGAATTACGGGTTTTGATTTGACGGTCGAATGACGAACGTTGAGGAACACTGGAAACTTGGTTCCATACAAGAGATCGGGTATCTTTTTTAAGTACATCACAAACGAAAGTGCCACCACTGTGACCAACTTATTCGACTCAAACCTTGACTCCAAATGACAGAACGCCACCATCACAACACTCCGCATTTTCGCTATCGTACGCTGCTATTTTGAACTAGCAAGTAGCCAAGTTGCAACGACGCTCACCTACCTGTTAACAAGAATAAGCAATTACTCAATAAAGTCGCTGTCGCTTTCACTCTCACTTTCACTGGCTGTCTTCTTACCTTTTCGTCCCTTTGCTCTGCCCTTCTTCCACGTGCCAATACCCTCATTGATAGTATCCATGGCATCGCTAGCGGCCCTCCCGCCGCGCTCTTTCAGCTGATGCTTCTCAGCCTCGTCCTTCATGTCATCGATGGCGTCTTTGCCGAGAGAGGTTCCATGAGACCAGTCCAGGAGGCCCCACGCGCCGTAGTTGCCGCTGGTGGAAGTGTGCCCCTTGCTGTAGTGAATGGCGCATCGTCGCGCCATGCCGCCCATGATGATGCCTGGGACGATGTTGTATCCGCTCATGCTCAGCGTCTCCTCACCGGTGACCAAGACCACAAACAAGAAGTAGGTGAGCAGATGAGGTCGGATGACGAGCGCCGGAAGGTAGATCGGCAGGAAGCGGTGCAGGAGGAATGGCACCGGGTGATCGGCGGCCAGGGCGAGACTGAAGGGGGGCGCAGAGCGGGCATGGGCGTATTTCCCGTGCAAGTTTGCGATTTTGCCAACGGACTTGTCGGTCTTGGACGATGCGCGCGGGCTCTTGTTCGAATGGAGTGTGTAGCGGTGGATGTAGTATGTCAGGGCTTCCCGGGCCATGATCAGAGACACAACCTGCTTGATCAGCTGCCATGGGAGCGGGAGCGTCGTGCTGGTCTTGAAGAACGGCGTTCTGAAGTAGGTGGTGAGGCCAAGGCTGATCCCAGCCTCGAGTGCCGTCTCGAGAGTCAGATTGAGCAGCGCGAGCAAGAGTGTCTTTCCCAGAACCTTTGCATCGCGAGGAGGAAGGGCGCGGGAGCCGCCGAACTTGATGGATTCGGCGAGGGATGGGAGGATGATATCAAAGGTGAGAAACAAGAGTGATGGTAATAACCAGAATATTATTCGTATGGCGAGGGTGCCAAAGAGCTCAATGCGCAAAGGCGAGTAGGATAGGATAAGAGTCGACCATGTCAGGTAGAAGAAGAGAAGATTAAGAGAGGTCGACCACGAGGTCACTGCTGGTGCCAGAAGATAGGACACAATGGGGAGGGATAACAAGACATCCATCGTGAGTGTACGAGCAACACCACCTTGGTGGGCAAAGTGAAGAGACAATTCTAGATCGACCAGGACCACGATAACTACAGAGGAAGCTCACCTTGGTGGGGTAACGAAGCTCGAGGTGGCTATATAAGACAAAGCACTTGTCAGCCTCGAGGATGTCAAGCCTCAGGAAACCCTCATGACGTGTGGCTTTGCCATAACCGGGCTGGTCGTCAGCTTGAAGAGCAGGAAGCTCGGGGGTTGGCTTGATGACGTCGTTTCCGTTCTTCAGAGTCGATGCACTGAAAGCGGCGGCGACCAATGAGACTTTATTAACGCAGCCAACCAATCACAAATTCAGACGACCAGCCCTCATTCTCGACTTTGGCTCCAAACCACATTGAGACTAGCAGCGTTTCCTTCCACCACCCTCTCCAGTGTTTTGGCGTGTTTCAGAGAGACGGGAGAACGTGGGTGTGGAGAGGCTCTACCAAATCAATCTCTCGGCCGGTTGGCCCCTATTATCACAGTATAATGGTTCCGATCATTCGCTAGCCCGCCTCGAGTTATACTCGTGGATCTGCCATTGTGGCATCAAGTCACGGTGGTCTCTTCGCGGTTTACTTCGCAATGATACTTCAGTCATGGCTACACGTCCGGGACGCGCTCGTGATGCTCAGGTTCAGGCTGCATAGCTCTATCGGAGTCTGCTTGAAATTGACACCCCGTTCGGCACACTTCCGGTTGAAGGGTCCCCGGTCAATGGTCCCACTATGCCACGAGCATAGAGACGCACTGACAGGCAATCTGCAGAAGTGGGATCCAGTGTACATTTTCCTGGGTGCATTTGGGATGTGTACCAAGACAAGAAAGCCGTGTAGTAGTGCGAGTAGTGTATGGTTATGGCTAGTAAATGTTCTCGGATGAGCCTCTGCAAGTCAGGCTGCAAGTGTTCTCGGATGCTGCGCTTACATCAAAGCTACGAGATGGGTCTTTTCTGTGTCAAGAGGATGTAACGTTCGCTGGAGATGTTGATGAATATAATTCCAAGTCACAGTCTCATCGGCCCTCTTAATCAGCCGGCTTTTACAGCCAGTTGTTGACGATGTCATAACTCACAAACCATCCCGAGTTGATATGCAAACCACAGCCCGGTTGCCGTTGCACTGACCAATTTGCGAAACTCGGCCTGTCCTGGATGCATATACACAAATAATCTCCGAATTCCGTTGAATTAACAGCCCGCCTCCCGTCCACGGCGGAGGCGTGTTAATGACCAGGCACTCGGATCCTCGTTGAGACGGAGGAGAATTAAGCGTCCCCTGGTAATATCACCGCGCCCTGATTGTCCTGATTGCCTGGGGCTGACTGACGCGCGCCGAACGAATTGGGCGTATCTCGTCAAGAGACCAAGTCCTTTGGGCACACACGTCTCCTCCTTTTTCAATGTAGAGTAGAGGGATGACTATACCTTTGGGCTGTTGATCGGGCGGTCTTTTCTTCTGACTCAATACACGAGGATGAAGTAGGCAGCTCCTGACTATTCTCTGTATAGGACGGACTTACATCCTCTGATTAATATCGTCACGCCTCCTTTCCCGTGTCATCTGCACACCCATCCGTTGTTCCCACGGCCGCATACTTGGTCTGTCCAGTCAGCGCTGTCGTTCAACGAGACTATCTGCAACGATAGCTGCAAGACGCATGCAAGCTGCACCACCGCGGGCCCATGCTGCGCGATAATCAGCACTAAATCTCTGCCAGTATCGCACAGTCGCGAGTAGACGCCAGTGGCACCAAGCATCTCGAACGAAAGCCCAACAAGAGCATCTCGTTGAACGCCGAAGCAGGACATGCAATGCGATCGGCGACGTACGACTTCCTGAATCACTCACGCAGAACTCATTACGACATGGTCAAATAAATTCTCCTTGAAATCGCATCTCTACCTCTCCGACTTGGCGAGTAAGGGTGTCGCGATTGCTTTCTTCTGCGATCTGGAACATCCAGCAAGACATCTCATTTCCACCGAGTCTTCGATTTGACAGAGCGATTCTCATTTGCCCGCCGACATTCACGAGCAATCCCTTTTTCGAGTAAAGTTTCGCTGAAATAATTTCTTGAACTTGGAGGAACCAGGAGTCGTCGAATATAACGACTACACTTCCAACGAGGAAACATATACATACCGTTCGGCGTTAGGTCCGCTACTACACGATCTCTAACCGTTTCTCTGGGTACCCGGAGTCTCCACTCTCCAATCGGGTACCTCTGGGGTATTCATTACCGTACCGTACATTGATACCTCGAAGTCTGAATACAGCAACATATATCACTCGAAAGAGCGATAGCATTCTCTCAGGTGAGTTGAGGCTTCTTCATGTGCTTTTGTCACCTGGTCTCCGTATTGAGCTGGGATGCATCCCACTCTGGGATTGCGGCCCCCCGGAGGCGCGCAACTGGCCGCATGGATGGGGGGTTGCCTTCCATGTCCCCTCAGCATCCAGCACACACCAGAAAAAAGGGCCTAGGCGACAGAACCCCGACGCGGGCTGCAGAGAGGATTGGTCAATGCCCGTGGTCAGCATCACAGGCCGCGCAGGAGATCAGGGGTATCTCCAAATTGGGACATGCACGCCCACCCACTATCTTAGTCTTTTTTTCCCCTTCCCTCGATTATTGATTGATTTAACGGCGACCCCAGTGAAAGCTGCCTTGTCATTACCTGCCGTCCGTTGCCGGGAGGACTCTCTTAACTGACAGGCTGACTAGACAGATTGTACCTCTCTCCAAGGACGACGACCACGACCACGTCGAGACCGACGCTGTTTAATACTCGAACTAAAAATCGGCACGCGCCGCTGCGCTATAGCTACCGACCAACTTCCCAGAGTGTACCTCGAGAGACTTGGGAAAAGACGGACTGTCGAAACATTTCCCGTTCCTGACGGAGCAGCACGGGAAGCAGATCCCCCTTGATCCCTGACCCAACCCGGCCTTGACCTTCCAGGTTGACCTTGGACCTGCACCTACCTGGACGCATACTTCCCACAAGTGCCGTCGCCGTCCAGGACTGTCCACTACCGTACCTACCTCAAGGAGACCCTGCCGAATACACCGTTCTGTCTGCGATCATCGCCTTCCGTGTGTGTATCTCCTGCATGCGAATCTTCCTCGTCTGGGTCGCCTGCCTGTCTCATCTCATCTTCCAGCCATCCATCGGTCGCTTTGACGGATGAAACCTTTGAGTCAGCACGCCACTGTTTGAGACCTGACATCAATGCCCAGCGCTCCCTTCCTTTGCGGCTGATTATCCCAGCATCTCTCCTTAGCAGAGAGCCCAGTGTTGGCCAGTCCTCAACTGATGCGAACTGCTTAACGGCAAACACGGTCGTCGCGTCGCAGATCCGACAAGAGTCTCACCTGAACACTCAACCCGGTCTGGTTACTGCCTGATAGCGCCCTGCAGGAGACCGACCTGCACATACGTCTTGCCCGGTACTGCCTCACTGGGACTTAGCCGTACCAACAATTCCATCGGCCTCAGAGACATTTTGCACGCCGGGGACGCAGCTCCCCCGTGCCAGCCAGCTAGTGCCGCCAATCGGTCCGCATCGACCTTGAACAAACATTCAGATCTGCTGCTTGCTGGTGGAATTGAGCCTGATCATAGCATCCTGCAGCCAGAGTCTTGTAGCCATGGATTACTCCTCCGCAGTCCCCGCTGTTCCGCCCATCCCAAGGCATAGCCGGCCCTCTGGTCGGCGGAGAGAAGGTCTGTCCGCGACATACTCGTCTCGCAATCTGCAGCCCCAACGCATGCTGACCCGAAACCTCGCAGACCACCACCACCGACATCCCAGCGAACACATTACGCCCGCATCACCTGAGGTCATCTCCTCGCTAATTACCAGTCTTTCCGTCATATCGAAGCCCGCAAACTCTCACTTCGAGCAGCCCATCTCCAGTAGTAGTCTGTCAATACCCGGCTCACCACGATCAGCGACCGGCTCTTTTGGTGTAGACTACGGTGCTTTCTCACACTCCCCGCTCGACGGCCTCCGAGAGGAAGAGCCTGATATCAACGAACTTGCCGCAAGCCCTCCCGTCATTCGAACTGCTAAGCCCCCAAGCGGGTTCTCACCTCTCACCGCACCGAAGTCTCCCGCGCGCGAAGGAAACGGCCTGAAGAGCATCCTTGGTGGGAGAAGTAGCGCATCGAGACCATCCTCGAAGGGATCTTCAGTGTCGCGGGACGCAGATACCCAGAGCATTGGAAACCTGTCCATTGAGCGTGGCGTAAGCGGCGCGTCGCCGCCTCCTGAACTAAGGAGACAGCGATCGCATGATAGCTGGGGCAAGAAGACAGGACGCAACCACAAGGGGTTGATGTATATGAGCTCAAAGGAGCGTCTACGGGAAAAGGAGGAAAGGAAACGTGCCAGCGTTGGAGCCGTGGGCGGGAACTCTAACAACTTGGGCAGTGGTATCAATAGGGCAGCAAGCCCACGACCAGATCCTTTCTTAGCGGAGACGGCCATCAGCGAGGAGCCGGCTTCGAACAGCGAGAGTCCTCCTAGACAGCAGGACAGAAACAGCTCAATCATTGACGGCGGCGCAATGCCTAGCCCCAGGCCGATTCCGACGCGAGACTCCAGTCTTAGAAAGACTGGGTCGAATGCGAAGAGGTCCTCGGCCCGGAATAGCCGCAATTCAAAGCGCGACAGCGATAATGCAATCCCAGAGAGCGACGAGCATCACAACGGCGCGAGCGGAAGCCGTAGCGAAGCGACTAGGCGGCGTCATCATAACCGCCACGACAAGGAGCAAGATGGCCGCAATAATCTCGGGGTCGAAGCTCTTGACCTTTCGAGATCATCTTCTACCAAGCCATCTCATAGGCATTCGCATGATACCACGCCAACGCACTATGTCACCGATACGGAGCTAGATGTTGAGGATGGTGCCCCATTCCCTGCTGTTGCCCAAGGAAGGAGACGTGATCGCGAAGCGAGCGCGGACCGGAATGGACGACGGCGGTCAGGTCGATTTACCCCCGAGCCTCTTGATGGCCTACGTCTGAAGCGTAGTAGTTCGAAGCTGAAGAGGCTCTCTGGTCCTCTATCGCCACGGCCCGATGAGAAGGCTAACACTTCTACTAAAGAGACGCCCGAGCCGACAACCAACGTTGGGTATGAGAGACCACGATCAGCAGACAGTATCGATGATGCAGTCGAGTCATATCTGTGTTCCCCACGCCTGTCTCAGAAGATTAGACATCCGCAGACGGGACGCGTGATTAGTTTCAGCGAAGTGGGAGATTCCGAGGGAAGCGCGGTATTCTGCTGCGTCGGCATGGGCTTGACAAGATACATCACCGCGTTCTATGACGAACTGGCACTCACATTGAAGCTGAGACTCATCACCCCTGACAGGCCTGGTGTAGGTGATAGCGAGGCATATGCAGATGGCACAGCTACGCCTTTGAGCTGGCCTGGTGAGTTATTCATAGTCCTTGGTCCCGTACGTGTCGAGACACGGCGGGCGAAGTTGTTGAAACGCCGCTAACAATACCTAGATGATGTATATGCCATTTGTCAGGCTCTGAAAATCACCAAATTTTCCATCTTGGCTCACTCAGCTGGTGCTATCTATGCACTGGCTACAGCCCTGAGAATGCCCCAGCACATCCGTGGACGGATACATCTCCTCGCCCCCTGGATTCCTCCTTCTCAGATGTCGGTCTTTGGTGCATCAGCACAAACCCCATTGCCTCCTACTAATGCTATCCCCACTTCGCAACGTATTCTCCGAGCACTCCCTACACCAATCTTGAAGGCCGCGAACAGCTCGTTCATGAGCGCAACAAGCAGCAGCATTACCAGCAGTCTACCAAAGACGCCTAGCCGACGGAAGAGAAAGAGCAATGCAGCCGGCCGTGACCGTGATGCCTCGGGTGCGAAGGGCAACGGTCGGGCCACGCCCAGTGGAATGGACGATAAGGAGAACCATCGTGGCGGAAAGCCCCCTGACATGCCCGAGCTGTCCAAGGGCATGATTGCCACGGAGGAGATGGATCGTATTCGACCCGAAGGAGCCAGCCCGACAGCGGGTACATCGCCCATCGCTGCCGCAACATCGCAGAGCGGATCCTCCAGCCAGGCCCCTGGCATTGGTGGCACTACCAGTAAAGGCCACCACCACAAGACCAGCTCCAACACTAGCACCAATGCTCACGCTCGTGAGGAAGCTCGCATCCTGGCTGCTGCTGCAGATGCTTTGGCGGATAAGGAGCGGCAGGTGACGTATGATACGAGGTTGACTCATGCTATATGGGAGTTGGCCACTACCGGAGCGAACCCGGCGGTTGATCTCTTGGTCTGCTTGGAACGCAGACATACCATCGGCTTCCGCTATGTTGATATAACCAGGCCGGTTATTATTCACCATGGATCCCGCGATACTCGTGTCCCGGTTGAGAATGTGAAGTGGCTTGGCAAGACAATGAAGCGTTGTGAGGTGAGAGTCCTCGAAGGCGAGGGCCACGGCCTGATGGCCAGTGCCACTGTCATGGGCTCTGTCCTCATGGACATGGCTAAGGATTGGGAGGACTGGAACAGGATGACTCAAGGGCGGAGAACTGGTGATCCTGAGAGAAGGAGAGTTGCCGGGGCGAGGTGAAGCCATTGCTCAGTGGAATTATGGCCGCAGTGTGATGTTAATGGTTGAACGGTCATAAATGTGGGTCAAAAGGGGTTTGCTTGAGCCCCATGGCGTTCTTGTTTTGTTTCTCGCCGTATAGTTAGGCGTCTGTTTGCATATTAATGATTTCTGGATTGGAAATGGTCTGGCAAAACGCTATTGTGGTATGGGATCACAAGGTGCAAGACACGGGTTTGCATCCGAGATAATCATCACGGAACTGTTCCCCTTCGTGTTTTGCTATCAAATATTACTATGATAATGCTGGTTTAGAGCCACGGTCGACTGGAAGTTTCCAAGTCCTGTCTGCGAGGGATTGAGTTGCTGGATGAGTGTATCGTCAGCGCTACCGGGCATTGAAATGTTGAGAGAAGTAAAGTAGAGCCAAATTAATGTATTAATACTAGTTCTTTATATTCAATGATTACCTGAGCGAGTTGCCAGAGAAGTTAGTTGTCCATGGGGAGAAATGCGTACTGCTCATGTTGTCTTGCAACAACCCTTACAGCCTTCACCACTCTCTCACGGATGCCTTCTCGCATTGCTATAGTACAGATATTCTTGTCTAATCTTCTTCCCGCTGACAGGTCCATCTTCCTCCCTTGTAGGTCAAGCACTCTCCCGCCCACTTGCTTGAATATTAGGATCCCGCCATTGTGATCCCATATGTAGGTATGATCATTCTTATCGGCCGGCAACCTCCACATGCCATCACACCTGCCCAGTGCACATGCCACGTAGCGAAGCTGGGTGCTATAGATTTGGACAGGCTGCCACGGTACCCCAAGGACGTCCGCTATCCGGTGGCGATCCGGGATGCTAGGCCGCACAGATCGGCTGTTCTCTGCCACGAGAAATCTCGATAGGGTGGGCTCTTGAGACAAGCGAGAAATAGGTGTGACAGACTCGGACAGATCACCTTTGGTGATAACACGGAGCTGGCTACCGTAGCCACGGACTGCAGAAACGATATAGCCCGGCGTATTAGGGTCAACATGGTCGTAGTCAGATAATCCAAAGGCTGAGTCGAGTGAAAGGTGCGGACAACCAACAACGCCAACTAGCTGAACACCATCTTCTATAAGTGCCGCAACGACTGTGTATTGCCCATCCTCAAGGTATGTCTTGGTACCGTCAATGGGATCAATGGTCCAGACGCGGCCTCTACTGCTATCGCCGTTCACACTGCCAAGGTCAATGAGAGCCAGCATATCTTCCGGCGAAGTCGGCGACCGTAAGCGCCCCTCGACATTCTTGTCTTCAAGCCTTGTTGACGAGACGACATCCCAGACCTTTTGCTTCAAGGCCTCGTCGGAGCGCAGCGCATCAGCAGTCTCCTCAGCAATGATGCGATCCTCGGGGAATGCGCCATGAAGAGCTGAGATCAGCAGCGCTTGGCCGGCGAAGTCGCCGATGGATACCGGACTGTGATCTGCTTTTGATGACATCCCCTTGTCTGTCATGGTGTTGCGCACTCGCTCAGTGGCGATGATGGCACGCTGAACAGCGAGTTCTGCGATGCGGCGCTCACGCTGGAATGCGGGTGCCATAGCGTTATGACCTGCCTTCCCAGTAGATACAGATGGAACCATGAAGGGGATCTACGGCAGAGATCTCATTGAGGTGATTGTTGGCTCTTTATGATGGCTTGCGAGTTACATGCCGGTAGAGATATCATCGACGACAGTGTTAACGAGCTGAGAATGGCCCACTATCGGACCGCTATTTCGATCTACTGAGCAGCGAGTGTAATGATGCCAAAAGCTCTTGTCCACCCACACAGAAGACCTACACTCTCTACCACAATTACTGTGTTCATCTAAAAATTTGCTGGCTACCTCCTTCAGACATTTTGCCTTTTCGAGATGCATTGTTACCCAGGTAGGTTGTAGGTTACCGAAGAACCTCCCGGGCTTTTCTTTGATCTCAGACATGGCCCCGCACCTAGCAAGGCACGCTATCGTAGCATGCCTCGTTCAGACCGAAAGGACAGAAAGTGCCCATACCCGCTTTTTATGTTCTTCTACGAGGCGTATAATCTGTTACTGGTTATTCTCAGATTATGTTTCTATTGCCCAAATATGACTGCCACGGACCAATAGTTCAAATACTTGTTGACCTTCAAGGCATGTCACGACAAGAGCACCTCACACCACGACACTTTGTGCACACGCGTGTATGTATTTGCGCATTCTAGCTATACATGACCAAGCACTCAATTTGGGTATAGAAGAATATCGTATGAGGGATTATGAGATAGAGAAAAAGGTTATCGGGCAAAACGTGCAGTCAGTGTATGGGAGTTATGTGCAGTGAATGGTAGGGCGATCGTTCCATCGTCGTCCAAAACCTGCTTTATCATCATGCTGACTTGGAAATGGTTCAGTGCCTTATCAATGCCGGGAAATAAACTCCGGAGATGTCGTCCACTCTGGCAGCTGGCCCTGCCGTAAGTCGATGACCCTCTGGCAGGCTCTGAAGACGAAAGCGCGTCGATACATAATACAATCAGACGTACTCCAGTCTTTATCTCATGGGGTCTACTCCATGCGACAACGCTAAACTATTGAGGACAGCAAACACACCCTTATTAAAATGATCGGCATGCTCTCTACGTCGCCCTAGTAGTGTGCGGCCACGGGGACGTTGAGGCACCTGCTCGCGACATGAAGAGCGACTCTGAGGGCGCAGACTACGAACTCAATCACCATACTCGAGTTTGCTCTTCAAGGATGGCGAAGAGAAAGGTAGAGATGCTGGAAATACCCACCTCGTTTGTGTCGAAGTCAATATGGGTTTAGAGAAGAAAGAAACCGCAAAACTTAATATCACAATTTGGTTCTTCAATATCCCACAGCGACAACTCCATATAAGCAAAAATTCCTTAGTCAGTGAGTTCTCTGCATATGACATAGATTTAGGGATCTCCTAAATTACTCCATCTGAAAAGAGCGCTTTGTGCGATGCTGTTTTTGATTGAAATAGATCGCCGACTTGAGTAATGTTGTTATCTGCTCTAATACCCTTAGTATTGTGCTTTAGCATTGTGCGACCCGATGGAGCAGCAATGTTGTTGTCCCGTCTCGGCGGCCTTTGTGCTTTGTGTCTGTGAGACAGTGTCTCAGTACAATATTACGCAAGGCAACTTGTCTCACGATTGCATTTGGGCTCCGTCTAAGAAACTGCAATTCTTATTTAAGTTGGAGCCTCAATTGAATTGGAATATTTCGACGGTGTAGACAATACTAAGAGGCGACTTGTCGCAGCTGCTTTAGAATAGCAGTGCCAAACGGATATCCATTCATCTGCCCTTTTCGATTCTCCCCAACAATCATCGCAAACAAAACAGTTCGTCTTTCAACGAAGCACACGCATGCTAGTTGTTACTCTCTGATTCATCGACCAGTTATCAGCTTGCAGCTTTCTCCTCACTCAGCGGCTCAGTCTAATTGACTGAACATTCAGTCGACGAAAATGCTTGCTATATCCTTCATCTTTCTGATCCTTGTTGAGCGAATCACTGCCGTCTCGTGGCAGCTTGAGATCGCCGCAAGTCAGAAGCCAAGAGATCGACCACATCATGTGCAAGATCGAGGAAGAAAGCCTAAAGTCAACGTGCACCTACAAGAGTGGATAGCTCACAGCGCCGATCTACAAGTAAGCCTACATGATCTAATTCTAAGGCTAGCTCTCAGAAGACTGACCGTGTTCGACATAGTGGTATACCGATATTTTTATTGGGACACCACCGCAGAAGTTGTATGCTGTTCTCATTGACCGTAGTTGTCAAGCTCTCTTTATCCGAGACGCTAATATAATTAATGATAGATCGGTCTTGATAGATACGGGTTCTTCTGGGCTTCTACTACCTCAAAGTAATTGCACGACTTGTGGAATTGGCACCAGGCTTTTTAACCCATCCTCGTCCGCTACATTCTTGGGTATGCCTGGCGACGAAGTCGATCCTGAGTTCTCTACCGGGGGAGACACAAAGCCTTTGAATCCCTACCCTCAGGGTGCAAGCTGCCATCTCTACACAGATAAGGTCTCTCTCGGCGGTCTGAGTGTTTCCTCCTACACATTTCTCCTGTGCGACTCTTACGGCCCTGCACTGGCTGATCAGCCAATCGACGGCCTGCTAGGCATAGGTGTTTATGATCCCACCTCTTTCTACTGGACTCTATGGGATGCGGGAAGACTTCAGTCTCCTATCTTTGGGCTTTACACTCCTCCGATGAATAGAAATGGGGGTATCCTGACTCTCGGTGGGATTAACCCATCTAAGTTTGTTGGTTCTCTTACGTGGATCAACCTTGATGCCAACCTGAGCAGCAGCCATCAATCCTGGGTGATGGAACTACAAGCTTTCTATATTGGGAAGAAGAGGTTCAAAAGTCCAGGCAACATTCCCTATTCTCCTAGTCTCAGTATTCTGGATAGTGGGACATCATACATCATGACCCCTGATTACAACACTACCCGAGACCTGTATGCTCAAATTGACGACCGTTTTGTTCAGATCGACCCACTTGGAGCCTGGGGTGCACCGTGTCGAAAGATGGACACCATCGCCAAGGACATCACCATCACATTTGGACCGAGTTCCGGTACACGGTTGAATGTGACAATCCCTAAGCGCTTCTTCAATTTGGGTCCTTACCCCGGCAAGCCTGGATTTTGCCAGGCTGTCTTCAGCAACCCATTAGAACCGGTCATAAATGATGACGGTCGAGGTGTGTGGGTCATTGGTTCGCCCTTGCTCAAAAATTACTACACGGCTTGGAATGGTCTCGATCTCAAGATTGGCTTTGCCCAGACCTGTCATTAGTAATTCTCGAAAGACAAAGCATTCCCTCAGATAATAATAAATGGAGAAAAGACATTAGAGCCGCACGGCCACACTTATATAAGCTTTGGTCTTAACTTGAGTAATTCCGAAAAGAGCAAAATACTCTCTATGAGACACACATTTAACTCAGGGAGATCAAGGGTATAGAGCACACTGGTTGATGGTATCTGCGGGTGACTGGCCTCTTATTTGCATACTTCTCTACAGCTCATCTATGACATGTTCCAATCCCTCCGATTTGCACAGTCGTCCATCGATGCCTTGGGTCCAAAGGTCACTGCCCACTGCTGTTAAGCCGTAAAAGATATGATCTGGATCGTATTTCTGCTTTACTTGCAAGAGCCTGTCGTAATTCGACCCGTAGAAGTTCTTTTTCCATTCTTTGTCAAGATAGCTTGCCTAGTTGAGATGATTTCCTATGTTAGATTTACTTATTTCATGCATGGTATTCTATATTATATCTCGACTCGTACTTACCTCACTCAAATACGTTCCAGCGTCAGGTGCCACCTCTTGTAGAAGTGGAAGTAGCTCAAAGGAAGACTTCTCCATTTCGGCTTCCATTTGTGACCACGGTGCCGTATTGTTCCAGAAGCTATGATACGTTGATCGGATCAGCTTGATATGCCTTGCATGATGGTAGAGAAGACTTACGAGGCCACTATACAGTCAATGGCTAGATTTCTCCATCCTGGGAAGACTGCGTTGTCTACTCCGGTGGAAAGGGAAGGTTTGAAGCCGAGGAAGAACAAAATGGCGCCAGCATCAACAATCTTCTTACCAGCATCGATAAACGCGCGATTAGATGGCTCATTATTAACGACAGATTCGGGAATAAACCAACTGCCGCCTTGAGTAATTCCTGCTTGAGCCTCCTCCATCATACTCCAAGTGGCTGTGTACCACTCACTATATTTATCGAAGAAGTCGATCTGGTGCGTGTGTATAATCTTCAATTCATCCAAATGCGTGAGATATGGACTCAGCAGTGCTTCCACATCAGCAGTTGAGGCTCCCGGACACGTTAGAGGGTACACTCGCATGCCTTCTCTGGTCCAACCCCACATCGCAGAGCAGCCTGCATCATAGAGGTTAGGAAGCAGCGCATTCCAGGAGGCAATTGCATCCCAGTAACTTTCCTCGGGGACATCTGATGATGCAAGTTGCAGTGTGGCCATAGTAGTTTTGAGATCTGGGTACGTTTTTATAGTGACGGATAAGACGACACTGTATGTTCCACCACCTCCACCGCTCAGAGCCCAGTATAAGTCTGGGTTTTCTTGCCGATTCGCGACGAGATACTTGCCTTGGCCGTCGATAACCTCAAATTCGAGCGTCTGATCTGCTGCCAATCCGTACTTGGATGACAGAGGCGAATGCCCACCTCCCTGTATATAACCGCCAGCAACTCCAACTGTTGGACAATTTCCTGTCACCACAGTGAGACCGCGATCGGCCGTGTAGTTTATCGATTCTGAGATCTGGACCCCAGCAGCTATCTTCAAGGCCTTTCCATTGTATTGGGCGTCAGACCAATCAACCATTTTTATTTCTTTCAAGTGATGCATCCAGACGGCAACTGCACCTGGAGCAGTAGACTTGCCGAGGTAACTAGGCTTGTTTAGTGATACGATTGTGTATGGAAGAGGGACTACTTACTCATGGCCTGTATTTCTGATCACGAAACGAATGTTGTACTTCTTGCAGAACTGGATAGTCTTTGAAACGTCCTCTGCGTTCGAAACATTGACGGCGTACTGTACATAAGCTCCAACAATGCACTGAGCGTAGGGGTCGCTAAATGGGTCGCAGCTCTGATTCGAGAAATAAGGCTGCATGGGAGAATGCGAAGTTTGGTAGCTACCAATCATTAGTGTAATCATTTGTAGATTCGAAAGTTACCCATCTCACTGTGTTATGGGATCCTGCCAAGTCTTCTGGAGTGCTTGACAGTGTTCGGCGTCATACTGTGGCTCATGGCAGATACTCGCAATTGGGTGGGTGCGGATGAGATTTCCATCGATTGAAGAATTGAATTGTTGCCATTCGGTGTCGGTGGGCCAGCAACCATCTCCTGGAAAGCACCGACAAGTAGAGGCTATTGATGCAAGCGGGAAAACCAGAACTGTGAGAAGAGACCAGTAATTCGCAAAACGCATTGTGACAGAATGAGTCAGGAAAGGTGAAAAGTTAAAGCAAACATTGAAGTCCAGGCGTGTAGAACAAAGGTTGTGCGCATCTCTCATATACTTTACTTCAGCCATGGACTTACGTCAATTTCGAGGTTCGTTTTTTAGTGACGCACAGGAGATACTCTAAAAGCTGTATTCGTATCTGCCGCCCATCCTTCCGTAATGGAAAAGTCTTAGCGTGACCACAGAGACCAAAGCAGCAATCCCGGCGTATTCGCGTAAGGATTGTCAGCTATAATGGTAAACCATGTTGGCTATCATGCACCTCACCAATTATATATATCACTTGCTTGCACAGATAGAAAGTAACCGGTATCAAATCAAATATCTTCACAACTTCACATTGCACAAATAACACTAGACTTTAGCCCGTCTCCTATAAAAGTACAATTGGCTTGCAGATAACCTCTACGTGTTATTGAAGCTCTTAGCCAGGCTATCTAATATGAGTAGGAAAATTCTTTGGTGAGACTTTGACTGCCCAGCCTAAGAATGGAGGCAAGGCGCGATACAGGCTGTAACCAAGAGCAGCACCAAATACAATTCTCTCGGTCCAATCCCAGAGTGATTGTTTGATAACCAGGGTTTTCACCCCGTCCACCAATTTTTTGAACTCCGCGGCCTCATTCGTTCTCGGGAATGGCATCTCGACTCTTTGGTCGCTGCCGTCTACATGTATTGTTGGTATTTCGACTCCTAGATGGTCGCACAGGGGCTTCCACCCATCCTGGACCCGATATTCGAGTCTTCTCTCAGATGGAATCCGAGCACGGCACTCGGCGTAGTAAGCTTCAAAGAACGCTAGAGCCTTTTCTCGAGCTATCTGGTCATGCCACTCAAAACCCCATATTTCATCCTGTTTCCTGTTCATATGTAGAGCTAGTGTTTTCAGTCGGGGTTGCCAGAATGTCAATATTTTGTAGATGAACGAGGTAAAGCCTCCGCGTTGGCGATGTGTGAAGGCCGCCTGACAGGACCGAAACCATGCCTCTGGATCACGGTTTAAAACAACAACCTTGGCATCTGGGTAGGCTTCGGCAAGTTCAACGGCGAAAAATGATGCTGGTGCATCGACAATCGCGGTGTAGTTGCCTAATATTTCATCCCAGTCAAGGCGCGTGAAAGTCCCCTTCCCGTGATACTTTGCATCCATAGCACGATTCCACCCTTTGATGTGTTCTTCGGTGTCCGCCCACAGATTAAATGCATGATATGTTGGATATCCGAGGATTTCAAGCGCCGTTTTCATGCCTATACGGCTATTAGACCCGTGCAATTTACGGCAGCTGCTCGCAAGTGACACAACTAAGCGACTCCCAGCGACCCATCTTGCAAATGAAAGTGTTCACAACATACTAGCTGTCCCAGTGCGCCCGAGCCCGACAACAATTACTTTCATGGGCAGCTTCCGTGGGCTCCCTTCCCCAAAGGGGGCAACCGCATGTTGGGTGAGTAGCTTTGATAGCGCCTCGTTTGACGACATTGGAAATCTATCACAATTTTTAGCGTAGAAGTAAGGGAAACAAAAGCCAAGACACGACGGCATGCTTCACAGGCCTTTAAAGACGCATCAGGTGAGGCGCAGTATTATTCCTACGGAACAGGCCTAGGGTTGCTAATTTGTCGAGAATCCTTCAGGAACATTAGCGCCCTCACGTAATCTTTCCTGATGGGGCGCACACTCCTCCTTTCAAATTCACCTTATCAATAACGATAAATTAAATGACTAGAAAAGTTCTAAGCATTGCTCTCTTCCTTTGTCTCGAACCAGCCGTACATCAATCTGACCTGGCAGCCCATGTTTCCCATTCATACGAAGCAAGCATAAATGGTCCGGCGCCTTTCAAATCGTTTTCTACGACTGGTATGCTGATATAGTACTGAGTTAAGTTAGCAAGCCGGCAACTTCATAATAATTTGACAAGGTGAACACTCGCCTCGAAAGTGCCATTACTGCCTAATGACCCGACCTTTACGGTGCCTTCCCAACTGAGAGTACCGTCCGAATTGACAAGAACAAATCGATCTATTAACAGTTTGTAACCTGTCCTTGCTGTTTCGAGGAAGCCGGGATCAGTCAGTAGGCCCATCTGTATCCCTTTAAATAATCCGAATGTGAACATCGCTGAAGCGCTACTTTCAATGTAATTCCCATCCATGCCAGGATACGGTTCGTTCATTATCAGCCACCAACCTCCAGAAGAATCTTGAGCATCTTTCACGGCTGCTGCAAGTGTCGTGTAGTATTCGACGAGTCTCTGGTGTCCAGGATGAGATGGAGGAAACAAAGGGATCACCTCAAGCAGAGACATGAGATACCAGCCGACAGCTCTGTCCCAGACAAGAGGTGCGGCTCCAGTGATCGGATCAGCCCAGACCGCGACTTTGGACTCATCGTAACCGTGGACCATAAGTCCGGTGCTCTTGTTACGTGTGTGTTTTTCAATAAGATCATATTGAAGAAGGATATCATCCCAAGCTGTGGTATTGTCTTGGTCAAACAGACTCGTCCACTTTGCGTAGAATGAATCAGCCATGAAGATCCCGTCGAGCCACATCTGATTTGGGTAATTGGGATCACGATGCCAAAAACCACCACTCGCTGTTCTCGGGTGTTGATTTAGTTGATTGCGAATGATGTCCGCTGCTCGTTTGTACTTATCCTCCCCGGTCTTTTCCCACCACCATAGATAGTTGTTCCCAGCTCGGTATTCGTCTAATGAATAATATTCATATTCCCATCCCTCGATAGTGCCGTTTTCAAGGACCAGGGCGTCAATTTGGCTACGGTACCAATTCGCAATAGTTTCGTTGCTGTGAAGAGCATAGGCTGCTTCCATTCCTTCGTACAGCACGGCTTCTGTGTAATGGAACGTCTTCGGGACTCCACGTCTGATAAATGAATCTGCCATCCAAGAAAGATACGACGTCGAGCATGGTACAGCTGCGACGCTGGCGGCCAACATCAAGGAGAGTAGCATCGCAAACTGCTTGTAATCGACTGAAAAGTCATTGATTATCACGGTACAGGAGATTGCCTTACTGTCGGTAAGTCTTGTCTTATTAAACAATTGAAAAGGCTTGAAGAGTTGTGTTGATCATCTCAGTATCGTCTTATGCCCGGCGGCCGCTCAAAGAGTATGTCATGCCGAGCATGTAACGCTACGGATTCATTTCGACAAGGTCTCATATTTCCATCAATGGTAAGCATGGCTCGCTATTAATTATTGTCGGCCGATGGTGGAGACTGTTCTGTCAATGGCTGTTTGAATATTTTCCAAGGCTCTTGGGGCTTAGTTCCCCGCATTAGCATACTTGGCAATCAATCGGCCTGTCGATCTTTTTGGCACTTGAGGAACTCGACATACAGCACAAAGTCCATGTCAAATCCAATACCAAGCCAGCGGCGGAATCTACCAAGACCAGCCAAGACGCTCCAACATCCACATCTACAGATACAACTAGTACCCCATAGCCCAAGCCTGTCAAGGTTCTTTTTGCTACGACAAAGAGTGGCAAATTGGAGACAAGATACAGCATGGGATAATGACAGTCTAGGTGTGCTCAAGACCTTGCCTATTACAGAAACCAAGATCGTATCGACTGCAGTACTGATCGACATTCCTCACATACACTTTGACGGAGTCTTCAAAGCTCTCCAGTTTAAGGAGTCACTATACAAATTCTTCGGGGGGGTTTTGTGCTGCCATTGAGACAATGCAAAACATGGCTGACGTGCACAAGTGACTTGTTAATTTACAAGACACCTTTCTGCCGATCATGATCTCTCCAGACACACGAATGAAGAAATTCAGGAAGGGGTCTTTTGACATCTTCCTCTACGGATTTCGCTATGATGGTGGCAGTGATGACCAACCTATCGGATACGACACAGAAGTAGGATGGGCTGTTCTGGGACCAGGTAGCCTGGAAGCTGTGCTTGAACCCAAGGTGTGGAGGTTTGGAGAGGTCATTGTAGCTTCCATCCGGTTGCTTAACCATTTCTTCGCTCGCTTCAAGACTGGTCCAGCTGATTATATAGTTGTCGAAGCTAAAGTATTCGATAATCCGATCGACGACTTCTGGGCCAGTCTCACTGGTAGATCCGACTTTATCAATATCACTTTTCTGATTGCGATCAGCCTTGTGGGTGAGGATGAGGATGGCGACGAACATAGAGTCATTCGCTGCCGTGTAAACTGTGTCACAAATCAGCCTCTCTCCTACAAGGCAGGGTTGTTCGATTCTCGGCAACAACCCAGCAGATCTTCGTCGACAAGAAGAGAGAACAGCAGGATATCTTGTGTGAATCTGTCAAAGAGCGTTTACTAAAGTGGCTTCCAGAAAACGCTCAACAATATTCCTGAGAAGATGTAGACAGCATACTGATCGCTTCAATAATGGAGTTTTCGCAATTCTCAGTGGATTTTAGTTATCCTATGGCGGAGGGCCGTAGAAGAAGGATTTGAGCACAGTCAACTATACCGCCGTGCTTTCGTGCTTAGGGCCACACAGTGCATCATGCAGATACGACAAGGCCAGCCACCAAAATGGACAATGTCTCCAACTTTTATTTCCCAACAGCTATAAATCACAGGATCTCCTCAAGGCCGTTCTTGCAAACAGGCAATATCGACGCTAGAGAGCGGTTGTCTGGTCTCACTGTGAAAGCTGCCGGAAGACAACAGAACACATTTGGCGATAGAATACATGGGCGATGCACGCTTGCTTTTCTGATATTTCTCGCGCAATGATGACGCGGTGTTTTCTCGATCATGACTGTACCATAGCGCAACATTCTTCCCTTTCCCATCACTGGAAGTTTTGGGCCTCACTGGGATCCATCAACTACGTAGCTTGTACTCCATCGTCACATTCAGAATGAATGGCCGTCTATTTGAATGACTTGCTACAGATAGCTAAATTGCTCAATCAATACACACGTTTGCGCGCTCAAAACAGTATAGTAATATCGTGAACCTCGTCGTGGCATAAGCCTAAAAGGATTGTCTTGGTAAGTTGGACGACAGCAATGACTTTGCGATGTTGGAGACATTCTACGAGAGTGATTGACTCAGCATTTCAAGACTTCATGAGCATGTAAAACTCATCAAGAACTCGAAAGTTTTGTTTATTACCTGAGGCCCATCGACCTCTATGAAGGTAGTAATCCCTTGTCGCGATGGTAATAATGATGCTGTTAGAAACCCAATAAATATCAACCCTGACTGAGGGGTACGTTAGATCTATCAAACATGAACACACTTCATCAAGATTTCTGGGCAATAAAAGCCAAGAATATGAGTTACCTTGGTGTAGTGTGAGAGCATTGGCACAGAGCTCTTGGCGTCGTCTCAGCTGAGGCTGATCAAGTACCGTGAAATGCGGACCCACCCATATCAGCAACCAAGCAAGTGGATTCTTGTCTCAGCATGCTGCTCTTGGCAGACTTGGCTGCCAGAGATTGCGGAATCCAGACGCCAAGCGTCCGCACTCGTTTCCGCTTTGTGAGCTCGACTTTGCCTCCATGTAACCTGTGCTCGCTGGGCATATGGGGTAGATGTCCACTATGGAGACATTGTACCTGGCCCAGGCTGAATCGCCCAGAGGCCACTGCATCGGCATTCGATCTCTTGGCGCTTGTTTCGGGACTTGATCGATTGTTTCAATCCTCCGACTTGAATACTGGTCAACGCTGGTACAATTTGCTGGTACTAGGTGGTTAGACGTGCAGAGCTTGACAGCCAAGCCTTCAAGAATAGCTACTGGACATGGGATTGACACCTTTGGAATACTTGGCCGCCGGCAGACACTGAAGCCGTGCGAGGTGTATGAGTACTCCTGGGAACATGTTGGCGTAGGTGCCAAAGCATTGCACATCGTTCTTGTCATAAATTACGTTCATCCCATCTCGTTCTTGTCCAAAGTTTCTTCCTTCTCATGTGTTGAGCTGCGCTTCACCTATCGATTCGTTCTCTTCGTGTTTTGATCTGGTATCGACTTTGTCTTTATTACGATTATCTTTCTTTCCAGTCTTCGGTACATAGTTATAGTCTTTCCCTCACTTCAGTCGAGCCTTCCAATTACGTTCGCTTCGTCGATAAACCAGTCAAGATGCTTGTCAGATACGCTAGCTTAATCGCTCTCGCAGCGGCTCTTGCCCAGGCTCTTCCTCTGAACATCAATCTTGGCGCGTACTCTCCTGCCTTGGTGGTTGGTGATGGCGAAATCTCTTTCGGAGGAGAGGCTGGCGCAGAGGCTCTCATCAACTCGCTCGAAGGTGCTGCTGTGAGTGGTGCTACCGGTGCTGCAAATGCCGCTGCAGCCCCTGCCGCCGAGCCAGTTGCCACAAATGCGGGTGTCATTAGCGAAAAGGTCAGTGAACTTCATATGGCCATTCCTATCATCGTCATAGCTGCGAGGATGTAGTATAAATTGTTGACAAGTAATACTAACAGGCGAGTCTCCCCGTACCAGGCTCGAGTAAGGAGCTTGACCCTCGCTTGAAACGCGAGGAGATATCAGCTCAGCCCCAGAAGCGCGACCTCGCCGGCTTCGACCGGGCTTTGACCTATGCTGAGGTCGGTCTCGAGAAGGGCCCCAAGATCCAGCTCGGTACACCGGCGTCTGGTGTTGGAATCATCGTCGACAATAACCAAGAGGCAGCCGCTCGTGCAGGAACTGGGGTTGCCGAGTAGCGGCGGATGTATTACAATTTCGGGGGCCTCAGGGATTGTTGGACATTGGTTTGCTGTAGGCGTAGGACAGTTGTGTTGGACTCAACTTTGGGGGAATACCACAGATACACTTAGAAGATGGCGTTTGGTAACATGACGTGGTCCCGATCTATCCGTTCAGACTCGCATATCTAAAGTGTGTCTTGTTATTATTGCGAGAACAATATATATTGGTCAAATGGTTACCTCGCTCCGTGCATCTAGTAAACGCCCTTAACTCAAGTCAACGGTTATGCAGTACCAGCCAATGACACTTGTTAAAGATTCCAGTGAATTGTCCAACTTATGCTCTTGCGAGCCCTGTTAGGAATTATTACCGCATACCTCCCAAAGAGTGTTAAGGATGCTTACCTGGGCGTTATTAGGGCTGACATGGCGGTTTGTCTGGGCGGACTCGATATCGAGCTGAATGGCTAGTGGTACGAAGAAACTTTACATTGCTGCTATCACGTCTGACCTTGTGAATCCTTCTTTCGGCAAAAAGAGACATAAGCTAAAGGTCTGACATAAGACTGCGTTTTCCCTATAGATGCTTGGTAATTTGCCAAGCATCTTCGTGGGAGAATCTGGGCAGAAGCGCATATAAGATGCGCTTTCGCTTGTATTTTCGCTCATGTCATAGATTGAGATTTTCCAGTCTTTTTATTCCAGTCAAACAAGTCTATAAGTATCTCTCCCCAAACAATTATACTGCTGTCGTTCCAAGATGAAAACAACCACTGGAAGCTGTGTTTGCAAGAAGGTGACTTACGAGTATCAAGGAGAGCCGATTACAAAGGCAAGCAATTGATCTAAATTTCATCAATCTTTACAGATTTTAATTGTATGTGTCAGGCCGTGTGCCATTGTTATGAGTGCCAAAAATTGACCGGAACGGGCTTCACGTACAATTTCATTGTACCCAGAGAGAACTTCAAATTCACAGCAGGCACGCCCAAATACCATTCCTTCATTCAGGAGAGTGGTGCAGAAATAGGTTATCGTTTCTGTTCTGATTGCGGCTCGACTTTGATGAAAGAGAGTGAGGCAGAGTCATTCAAAATAGTATATATGATTCAGGCCGGGACAATTGACGATCATGAGCTCGTGAAGCATAAACCAGATGTTGAGTTATGGACTTGCCGTAAGGCAGAATGGCTTCCTGTTTTAATAGGCGTGGAGCAGAAGTCAGAATTCTAGGATATCAAATGGCCTACTTTCTCGGAACTCGACAGGCAGTCTGTTTGCAAGACCTGTTCGCATCCTATCAAATTGAAAATGCAGCCTCAGGAATTTTTTACAAACATTCACGCTTGATTATTACTGATGATGATGGTATGATAAACGTATCAATGCCAACGGCCTGTAAAAGACCCGTCCTGTGACATCCCTGCGACCTTATAGGTATGCCTGCATTCTCTGCATGCCGATCTACGAAATTTAGTTGACTAGTGCATAACTCTGGCTCACTACTCCAACACCATCTTTGTTATACAAAGCCAGAAAGTGAGTTTGATCTTTGTTGAAAAGACCTGGCCAATGGGCTTGCGTTCCTGTAACCACGCTGTTGCCCCAAGTCTTCCCTCCATCAACACTGGTGATGACCTTCATCTGAGCACCGTCAGACTCCGCGTTCGTGGTATCCTCATTGGTCATGAAACTGGCGACTAGCGTGCCTCCCACGTTCAAGACTTGCGGTGCAATAGCAGTTCTAGTATTATCGCCTCTCGCGGTGTAAAGACGACCTCTCTGACCCCAAGAGTAACCGTCATTAGTCGAGAGCACGTAATCGATTGTAAATCGACCAGCCTCAGTATTTTCGAAAACGCAACTATGATCAATGTTAGCAAGCCGAGACCTTAAAATTTTGCATCAAAACTTGCATGAGGTTTCCATTAGTATCGATTGATGTAACACCGGTCATACCATCCCGAGAGGTCAGACCTTGGCCGGATACTGTAATTGCATCAGACCAAGTCTTTCCTTGATCCTTAGAGTATCTCATAAGATTATCCTGGTCATTATCGGCATTCTCGGAGGAATAATAGCACTGCAAAGTTCCGTCATTGGCAAGACGCAGATAAGGCTCCCAGAGTCCATTTTTATATGTCGCTGCAGCTCGTTCGTCAACCTGAGATAAGAAGTTGAATGTTTTGCCACCATCAGTAGAGTATGAAACTGTGATGCGATAATACGAATAGCCGCCGTTGGATTTATCATGGTTCCGGAATGCATACAAGATTCGACCGCCAGGCAGTTGGAATGGGAACGCGTTATCAATTTCATGTGTTGCAGTTGCCTCGCGGGCTACATCGCTAATAGCCTGCCACGAAGCAGCGCCGTCTGTAGATCTGACAACTCGAAGGACAGTGTCGGTACCGTCACCTTCAGCGTAGCCTCCGATCATCGAACCATCATTCATCGCGCTAACTCTAAAGTAACTCCCCTGGTTGTCGACAACCACAAGCGCTCCAGGCTGGGAGACTTGTCCAGGAACTCTTTTCTCAATAGCAACTGGTGAGGCATGGCCAGGAATGATTCGAACCAACAGTGCTAACAGAAGTGATGCCGTAAGCTTCAGCATTTTGAATAGGGCTCTATTAGTGTATGAATCAAGTCATTGGCGAAAGAAGATCGAGTAATTAGGTTAACGACTCGGACGCCATATAAGTGTTTGTAGGTGATGCATTGTCACCTCGGAAGACGCGGGCATGATATTTCATCTGTAACGTAGCGTTGTTGGTGAAAAACACCACAATGGGGTGACGAATCCTTCGAGATCCTGTCCACGAAATACTGGGGTACGTTGTGGCAGTGGTGTTGGAGGAATTAGGGCCGATCTGAAGATCTTGTTGGGGGTAGAATCCGCAGATTCTAATCCTTTATGAAGTGGTTTCAAGGAGCTTGACATGATCCTCCGCCGGGGCGATAAATGCTTTTCGAGTACGAGAAATTTCGTCAAGGGTGAAAAGAATATGAAGCGATATCTAAAAAGAAGCTTCGTACGTCCTGCCTTTCTCTCCGCCACACTGACAAATGTAGTATTTCCCTGGCCCAGTCCGAGCTTAGATAGGCTTCTGAGTTTCAACATATAAATTGTGTTGCCACCCATTACAGTTACAGGACTCTAACGCTAAGCAAGAACTTTAATCTTAAAATCATCTTAACATCACCTAAGAAGAAAAAAGATATTCCATTCTTGAAAGGCCCGAACACACTCTGTTTAGAACCCCCGAGATATCCCAGAATTGACCGTTATCTCCACCACCACTAACCCAAACCACCTCTAGCTTGGTTTAACGCAGAACTCCTCGGCGGCATGGACGAGGTGTTTAGTATGATTGGCTTGTATGGGAGCATTCTTCACAAGTCACGAAGTCTGTCTCGCAGACATGGTACCTATCGGTAAGGTCGCAGCCGTTTGACGAAGTATTAAATGTAACTCTGGCAGAGGGGGGATACGAGCGAATGTGCGTTATGAGTCACGAGATCTCCCCTGCAACTTTCTTGCTTTCTATGATACATTTGAAATCCGACCGACTTCCCCTTTGGCAATCAAACTCTATCTAGCCTGGGGCAGGCTCAGCTCGTGCTCCAAGCCTTGTTTAGGGGGATGAAACAAAGTTTAGTTCTACGATCAATAACTGATTATGAAAAGGATGAGATTCTAAATTTGTGGAAGTTAACAGGCCTGCCAAAACCCAGTACCCCGCCTGCAGCACTGACCTCGGGTTGACTGTTTCTTCGCTGGCGTTGCTTACCAATTGCATCTTGGGCTAGCCCTCAGGAGGATTGACATTTGATGCTGCGGTAGGCTGTTCAGAGCCTCAGGCGGCTCGTAATGGAGGACAAATCCAGCATGACGGTATCGGCTAAATCGATAAATTGCCAAGCAACCCACCCAAGAACCCTTAACCTGGAAGATGCTCATGCTAACACGCAGATCATTTATTACTTGTCTCGAATTGGCGAGAATTTTGTACTGCCCAAGGAGCATCTCCATGCGCACTCTGCTAAAATCATGACGACCGAGCAATCCGGTTTACTGGCTGTATCATCACTCTTCTGTAGCTTGTGAGTCTCGGTGATCCGCTATCCTGAACCTCTAGAATGAGATGAAGTAAGGAACCCCTTTCAAGTGGGATCTTCTCCCTCAGAATCATGCATGATTTCTCTGCAGGTGGAACAGTGACCTCAACCTTGTCTCCTTTCCCAGGCTGGACCAGGATATCAAGCGAGGAGACTTCTGGCGTGTGATATGTTTGTGTTGCACTAGGCTCGCGGTATTGAAACCAATTGAACGTTAAATCATCTCCGTCCGGATCCCATGAGCCTGAAGCATCTAGAGATATGACCGAACCCGCCTCTGCCTCGATGGTAATCGGAGTGAATCCGGTGTCCCCGTTGATTGACACAATGGGGTGATGATTTGCCTTCCCAAAGTCCGAAGTCAATGTCCATTTCATGCGGGCCGCAAAATCATCTTGAAAAGCATTGCGCCAGCGCCAAATTGTGGCATGATTCGATGTGTATTTCTGGCCGTCTTTACCCAATACCTCGTCTGCTGTATCGGCTTGGTGGCCTTGTATCGCGAGTCTAGAGTCGCTGCCGACATTGACAGGTATATATCGCCCTCCCCAAGACCCATACGACGGCTGCTCTGGCACACCAAGCCCGTTCTGTATCAGGTATAAGAATGTCGGCGTGTCTCCCTCAATTATATATTCGAAATCGGGGTAAGCAGAGCCTAGCGGCCCTATCTGAATATTTTCTCTGACCCACTCTGCAGTGATCTTCGAATTGTCAGGGCCGCCGCCGTCAAAACCACTGCCCGAGATACCAATCCAAGTAGCATTGCGGTACTGATTCCATCCGTGAACGGAGCATATATAGAAAATGTCAGGCCATTGCTGGCGGATCCATGCGCCAGAGTCGTCCTGGTCAGAGATCGCATAGACCCTGAGCTTCGACCGTAGTTGGACGGCGTCAGATCGATGGCGAATCTTGAACAACACCTGTGCCAGAACATTGGAGCCTCCCCAGAGGAGCACCCATAAAGGATCATCCTTAGGCGCTAAAATACGCTCCAGGAGAAGTTCACCGCCATGGCTCAAGGGTATCTCGTCACCTACAGCACCCATGCCGTAAACCTAGCGCAAGCAAACGTGGTGAGAAATGTCTCGACTCTGGGTTCGGTAAGGGTAAATATGACTTACGGCAGGACCAGAGCTTACGATACTTCTCATATAGTCGGCGGTGGGATAGGGAAAGTCTGGGTGGACATGGCAGTTGAGATTCTCGATGACTGCTTCGTAGGCATTGATGATCTCATGAAGCTTCTCAGGCGCAACTTTATCTCTCAGCCATGTTGATGTGGTTGCCACAACACCCTCGGTGCAGAATTGATTTGAGTATGTGAGATAGCGACAGAATGATTCAGCGTCGTCAGGTTCATTGGTGATATCCGTCAGGATGAACACACGCGGCTTGGCAGGAAAGGGCGAGAGATCAGCAGCCATCATAACGCCCGTCAATTCGATCACTTTGGGAATGGACTCAATTCAGTGCAACAAGTTCTCTTCACAAACCAAGTGTCTTCACAGGGACTTTATGAGGGCTTCTAGTCTAGGATAGTTTCCCCAATAGAGAAGCGCGAGGCACCACGTTACGGGACATGCTAAGGCAGAACAAGGAATCTTAAGCGCCGGTTGCCGGTGGGGCGTCCGCTGTGGAAAGGGGGGCTTCACCCCTCAATAAACGCCTGCTAGGCCTCTCATGATCTCTGCCGAAGTCACTTACCATGCGTAATGTCCCCGCTACCAACCTGCCTAGGCACTTGTAGCGCAACGACTTATGGGCAGTGCTGGCAGTTAATCATCGCCAGGCTTCAATTGAAGCTCAAGCTCCAGCAAACTCCAGCAAAGCAAAAGAGACAAGAGCTCCTACTTACGCATGATTCCTCGTCTAACATCGCGGGTTGTCTCCCTTCGTTTACCCATTAGGCCAGCGCAAAGTGGGAGCTCTTGAGTAGGTATAGCTTTCCAGACCGCAGGAGAGAACTGGATTCTACTGCATTGAGACGAGGAATATTTCTGCCAGATTCAACTCAACAGTCTGAATGGATTTACCAGGCCAGAGAAATAGGAGGCCCCGAGAAGAGGGATGGCTGACAGATATAACAAGTTCGATTGCTTCTCGGTGAAATGGCCCCTGTCTGGGAGAATATTGGAAGAATACGGGTGCTTGGCATTCCTGCCGCCCACTGGCTATTTCCCGAGGCCCACAATCCTTCCACTACACGAAGTACCATTGAGTGCCTGTTTTGCCTGCAAATTACTCCTTTCATCACCACCCACTACACATGTACGACGAGGAGAACAAATGAATGTGGATCTGCCCCAAACCTTAACTCTTGGGATGGCAGATCAAGTTCCTTCCCGAAGACTTCTAACGGAGTTCATCTCCTTGTTTCCACCACAATGCCCGCGTATAATCCTGCACACCCTAACAGACCTGGTGCTCTGTTCTAGAAGCCCATTTGTCATGTGAATATAAGATGTCAATTAAGAATGATCAAGAATTAGTTCATGGCAGGCTAGCAGTGTCTTTTCTTTGCGACTCACATACGTTCCTTCAGCCATTATGAAACTCACAGCTTTGCTTTGCACGCTTTTTACGATCTCATCATCCGTGCGAGCCACTCCATTGGTCCAAGCACGGGAGAATGATATAGACAAAAGGATCAGTCAGGTCGCGGTCCTGATATACAAAGACGCCAACTTCGAGAACGGCGAATTTTTGCAGCTGTGGAGTTCCATTTGCCGTAAGTTATCCTGAGAAGATTTGGAAGCCGCATGGCTAATTTCGGGACAAAGACAACCTCACCGGCGAATGGGATAACAACATCAGCTCCGTGTATACATATGACAAGTTCTGCATGTTTTATGAGTACGTATTGCGCAAAGGAGGGATATTCTCAAAGTGAAATGCAAATTGCTAATCGTTATTCTCCGCCTAGTGAACCGAATTGCCCTCCAGAAGGCAAGCGTTGGGGAGCACAGGGACAATATGCAACTATACCTCTCGAGCATAACGATTCGTTCAGTTCGGTACAGTGTTTAAGTTGATGATGGAACTCTTGTTTCTCTGCCTTCTTCAATGTCACCCTAGAAGATGACCTAAATTACAACACTGTCCACTAGACATCAAATGTCCAACTCAAACAACTTAAGGACAACTACGACGTGATATGCATTGATTATCTTGCTTCTATTTGGTAAAGTCTCCATTTATTGTAACAAAGTCATGTGTTAAATCGCAAGTCCAGCATGCCCCCTCCTCGACATCAAGGTTAATTGCTCTTCCCCGTCTCTCAAGTCTACGACAACCTCGACGTCCTCTTGATCCATGAGGTGATTTACTATCTCTTCGTCTACGCGTGCACGTATTCCCTTGTCGAGAAACTTGACGGGGTTGCCGTTGTGGGCAGGAAGAAAGGTGATGGATGTAGGCTCCGGCACAATGATGTCTTTTCCTGTGAAGTCCGTACCGGCCAGCGAATATCCTAGTGCAGCTAGGATGCCTCCCCATTTAGGATACTTGCCACATATAGCTGTCTTGACTAGAACAGATCTTGCGATCACCAATGCAATGACTTTGGCGGCTGGGTAGGAAGGCGAGCCTCGAACGCGGATGGTTACAAACTTTGTTGCACCCTCTCCATCTCTCACTACTAGCTTTGCCATCTCTGCCATGAACTCGATTAATATTCTCTGAAACACAAGAAAATCTTCGGACTGCGGTGGAGCAAATGGTTGAAAATCAACTTCGGTGCCCCGGCTGCGCCATTGGCAATCATTGCGACCATGTCATTGGTGGATGTGTCACCGTTAATTGATATGCGGTTGTACGATTTGTCTGCAGCAGTGCAAAAGTTGTTGCGAGGCGACTAGAGTAGCAGGTGCATCTGTACAGATGATGCCAAAGGTGGTAGCCATGTTGGAATGGATGATTCCAGCGCCTTTGGTCATGCCGGCAATTCTGAAAGTAATTCCTGGCGACGATGGAAGGGTAAACGTTCGCGAAGCGACTTCAAGGAATGTATCAGTGGTACAAATACCCTTAGCAACGTCAAGCCAGTTTTCGTGTGATTTTTCCATGTGTTGATGAAGCCTTGGAACATTTTGGACGATGTCATTGATAGAAAGCTTGAAGTAAGCATGCATGTTCCTCTGATGCTACGAGGATCAGGTCAGGTTGAGATTTGTTGGTAGGCTTGATGCCAACATTGATGCTACCAACGAGAAACCCCTTCGGGTAGGTGCCAGATTTTGGCACGAACCGTGCTTTGTTTTAGGATGGGAGAATTGTCATAGATGACAAATTTGGAGAAGTAACGGGCACGGCTTCGAAGAGCTATGCTGTGAGCAAGAATGCCACCGAATATTGTTACATTGAGGATTATATTGGGCTAGGGAGGGCTTGTGGAGGAGTTTGTGCATGCTCTTACCTTCGATGTAATTTATTAGGAGATTCTTGCACAAAGTTCTATCGTCGACACAAGATGTAACTTCTTGGCCGTAAGACGACAATAAGTAAAATTATCATCGAAGGGATGAGTCAAGGAGGGAGACATGGGTGGCCATAACCAAGTCCGCGCCTTATTTCATATCATGTCCGAGAACACACCAAGGATTCGTCAAATAAGTTAATGCAATGGATTTGTCGGAACTAGTAATTTTTGAACTAAGGCTTCATCTCTGTGTGTGCAACTGATGTCCATACAATCTCAATTCAACCGTTTCTCATAATAGGAAAACCGAGCGCTCGCTATTCGTGTCTTGGTACATGGCTTGATGTGAGGGGTGAGGTGAAAGAGTGTAATTGGATTGGTCCACGGCGCAGCGACTGATGACGTTTTTTTTTTGCCGGCCAATTTGATAATGTCCACACCCCTCTCATCCTTACTTTATCAGGAAACATTCCATCATAGGATTAGAAAAACTCCGATTAAATACCAGAGTCGTCCTGAGGGAACACCTCGCTCGCGGTGTAAACGTCCCAGGATGAGCACTGGTCCATGAATATATCAGTGTCTGTCAGAGTGACAGAAATGTCGCTCTGACTCTCTACAAATTCAAGAGACAGGCCCTGGCTAGCGTGCCAAGCAATGTGGCAATGTACAAGCCATGCTCCAGGGTTATCGAGTTTAAATGCAATGGCAAGATACCCGTTACCTGGTAGTGTAGCAACATCACGACGAGGCGGATTTGCTGTGTTGAAACTTGATGTAGTTCCGTCAAAGACGCCTGTGCTCTGAGCAAGAACCCAGAAGTCATGGCCGTGGAGATGAATTGGGTGAGAAAGCCTATCGGAGGTCAGAAACAATGACACAGCTTAATTCTCTTGCACGACTCACCCTAAGCCTGTCTCATCCTGAATTACCAATACAGCCCATTCTGCATCTGTAGAGGATTTCTAGTAGAGTGTATCAGTCCATGTTCATGCGAGGAACGCTTTTAGAACTCACATCAACGGCGACGACGTTGTATTCAGTTGGGAAGATCGACTCGTTGTTGAAGATCTTCAACAAAGTCGGGCTTGCCCAATCTAAGTATAAACTTGTTGTGTTAATGGTCCATTTGAAGTATTCATCGAATGTGAAGCCTAGAGCCTCATTGGCTATGATAGGTATATTTGTCACGTCGAGGGACAGGTGCGGCACCAGACTGGCGAGAGCCTCGTCACTGCAGCTGGAGGATTCCTCCACAGAAGTAGTAGTGGTCGGGTCATCAGTGCTTGATGAATCGTAACGCACAATACCTGTCATGCCGTCTGCGTTGTCGTTCGTAGCACAAGCTGTAGTCCAACCTGCTCGCAGCCAATAGTTGCCGGGGTCCGCGTTCGCTTCGACAACGACATCGTACCGCTGGCCAATGTTGATCAGAATACTATCGGCGGTGTATGGAACAATTGGAACAAGATCGTTGGAAATGACAGTCAAACTGTGGCCATCGATGGAAAATTGAAAGTGACCCTCGATAGCGACATTGACAACGGAGATTCTGTATTTCTTTCCCGCCTCAAATGTCATTTCAAACTTTGTCCCACCACCGACACACTTTGCGTCAGTAGAATCGGTACAATCAAAGGTGTTAGTCCCATTGATAAGACCATTTTCCAAGGTTGGAGGGGCGCCCAACTTTGCACTGTTCCAGAGTCTGCGATTTCAAGGTCAGCATAATTATTGTATAACGAGCTTACAAGGCCCTTAGGCCAGGATTCAATAATAAGGTTTCATGAAAATTAGGAACAAAGTTATTGAACATGATGTAAACTTTAGGATGACAACTTACGTGAACGCTTCAATATGACTCCAATCTTGAAGAAATAGAGATCCGAGATCTTCATCATAATCAGCAGTCGCTGGCCCGTTCAAGATCATAGGTCCGAATAGTCCTTCTGCGTATTGTAGACTGAAGTGTGAGTGATACCACGTGCCTCCATCTGTTGCACGTCACTTAGAAAATCATCTCCTTAAATGGGGAAAGCTATCAATAATCCAGAAATGTTCTCAAATGACTTACACTGTGTGACGCGGAATTTGTATGTAAGCTGCAGAGTTTTAGTACATACTTATTTTAGCATTTTAATCATAGATCTTGGCCTTACAGATTCGCCGGGGGCGATTGGACACTGCGTCACCCCAGGAACTCCATCATACTCAACGCTGTTTAGCTGTCGTAAACCGTGCCAGTGAATCGACGTGCCATTATCCTGCATGTTGTTCGTGACGTGAATAACGAGATTATCTCCCCAGTCTGCTATAATGGCTGGACCGGGAACAGTGCCATTGAACGTCATGCAAGTTCTCTGGTAACCATCAGGGGCACAGTCTATGCTCTCAACAGAGAGCCAATACTCTCGCGTGATCCCGGTATCAGGTGTCTCCTCATAATCTAAGCCATTTGTATTAGTAGAGTTTTATTGAGACAGAAGAGCCGATAAAAGTTTGCAGTTGATGTTGCTGGTATACGATCTTGGTGTCAAGGATAACAATGATTTCTAAACCTACAGTTGGTATCGATAGAGTAGTTCCCCCAACAGCTACGAGAAGTTGCAGTGTTCTCGCATGACTGACGAGACTTCAAACTGTGAAGTGGCAGTTTGTCCTCGTTGGACGTGAAAGGAATGGAAAGGGCTGAAGAGCCCGAAGCGAGTGTAAGTGCATAAAGAAGGAGTGACTTCATTTTGATAAGGATGTGAAAGCTGGTTCCTTGACTTTGACTATCGATCCGATGGATGAGGACAGAGATCAGCATGACCGCTGTGAAGAGATTTCTTGACTTTATATATTCAGGTGTTTCCCATAGCTGGCACGCTGCCCCCTCTCATCTTCCCCTTCCATCCTAGGTTGTTCCAATTTGAGCAGTCGTTCTGGAGGCATCGTTGGTGGAGGTTGTACGAATAGCCCATCTCGCGTGGAGTAGATGGGATTTGTGATGATCCACCTTTCTGTACGGGAGCTCCGTGCTCTGCATGTGTGCCACGTATAATACAACATCTTAGAGATGCGTTTGAACTAATAGGGGATGAGAAGAAGCCACTGGGATAGGAATAATCTCCGCGGCATCGGCGCCTGGACAATGATCAATGACGATGTGGGGTATACATGGTGAAGCTTGACGCTCTTGAGGCCGTTATTTGGTAGTTGCCCATCATGCAGGATCGTACGTACTGTGATGGGTTCACGAGAGAAAGCAACGATAGCATCTCGCTATGACATAGCTGACGACGACGCGAGCACCTTGCTCGAGCGGGATGAGAGATCCACATCCATTGCTGCTTTGGTGATATACGGTTGCGCAAAGATGTTTTCATGGGGCAATGTTACAAGGTCGACCTTGCAAAATGGAGCCGCTTCAGTTATCCGAGGGCAGGGAGGAGCCGGCCGGCACGTTGAAGCCGATCCAGTCGGGTTCAAAACATCTCATTCTAGGTTTTTCTCTTGTAAGCTTAACCATATGTGTAGGTCAGCGGTAATATTATGGATATGATAGGATGTCAACATCAGCTGTTTCCTCTCGAGACAATACTGGTGCTTTCTTGATAATGAGGTCAAGATTGCGCCGCGCGGTCTTGTTTCCTGCATCACTTGACCGAGGACCGAGATCTAGCGACTGGGCATTTACCCAAGTTTTTCTAGACCCTTAACGCAAACCAAGGCGTTATGTTAACATATGACTGTAAGATCCAAAGACTATAGCATGATCCTAGTCGCGGGTATCGGAAGAGGCTGCAGGTGCGGCTGATGACTAGGGGGTGTAGATCACAAAGGGCAAGCAGTCCCGAGCAAAGCGCGGCCGGCAAACATCCAGGCTCCGCTCTAGGTCGACAAGGCCAACAGCGAACCACTTCAGCTAACCTCTTCTGTAGAACTCCTGCAGCCGCTGTGCCCGGAGTCGAGGCAAAGCGCACAGCGGCAGCGGTTACGTGATCATTAATTTTGTCTCATTGCACAGACCGCACCAAGGTATCGCGAGTGATTGGCTTAGGGGGCACTAGTCTGCGAGGCGCCGCCCTCAATGCTCCTCGTGTGAGCTATCGAAACAAGGTTTGCCCCTGAGAAGGAATGGAGAGTGCAGGGCACTATTGACTGACATCAAGTGCGGGAAGTTGTTCCTTCTATTACCTTGACAAGGCAATGGCCTTGTTTTCTGAGAAGACACATTGGACCCTTTGACCCACCGACGCAGGGGAGTGTAAACGCTGGTAATTCCCGTGAGGTGGTAGCGGATTACGCGTCCGTGACCGAGCCGAAGTTTGGCTCCCTGCAAGCGCGGCACAGACAGGCCACACGATGGACCGTGTCCCCGGCATATCTCCTACCCCGGACGCGGAGAGTCCCAACGCACTTGACGGCCAATGTCCGGACGACCACGAAAATTTCTGTGCAGTCCTCCACTGTCCACGTAATGGCGCACGAGTGCTGGTCACTGTGCCGAAATATTGAAGCTAGTTCAACCTTTCCCCTGCCATGCGCTTGCGGAGGGCTTCACCATATGCGGGCTGCTCCTTTTATTCATCGCATTGGTGGCTGCATGATGGTGTATGGCAAATGATAACAGTCACTGCCGCCGACAATTCAAGCGGCGGTTTTCCGTCAAAATCGTCAACATGAGTATGAAAGACTGACCTGCAGACTGGAGTCGGAGTTATCGCCGTCAATGGTTTCATGCAGAGGTCATGTTGGTGTTGAGCGCGGGAAGCGGCAACAGACCTGGGATAATGTCAGAAACACCTTTGCCTGCAGCTCGCTCACCAATGGCACATGGCTCTCACGACATATTGCAGTTGATGCGACCTGCTAAGCTACTTAGGTAAGAGGCATTGCTAATATGTGCATGCACAGCATTATGATCACGAAGGTTTCAAGGGCTCTTGAGGGATATCATTCTTCTTCTATTCTCTGACGCCTTTCTCTTCTATTCGGCAGGTTTAAGTACCTTCCGACTCAAGAAACCATCTAAAACACAAATTCATGTACAACTTTACGAAGCGCCATCCTGTGGCAGCTTTGGTATCATTTTTGGCAAGCGATCTTGATGCATGGTCTCAACCACTCTTGACCCCATTGCCCAACCCAGCTTCCACATTTCCCTCATTGACAATCTCGTCGCTGGAGTTCCCGTTCACTGTCTGCTGATCCTCCTCTGGCTTCTCAGATGCGTCACTATCATAGCGGTGGCGCTGTCGAAGACCCGGAACTCCTTCGCCTCGTGCGGCGGTCTCAATGAGTCCGTACCGGAGTGCCTCTTGCTCAACTTCTTCGTGAGAAAGATAGGGCAATTCGTCGGCGGCCTTAACATAGGAGATCTTCTCAACGTGTCCCTTGGCGAAGATGATATCGATCTCCTCGAGAGATCGGTTGGCAGTTTCGGGATAGAAGAACCAGATGATAGGCAAAAAGCACGCGTTCGCAACGGCGAAGAATAGGTAAGTGCCCCAGCCGAGGCGGTCAACCATGATAGGGACGACTTCGACGATAAGGAAGTTGAAGAGCCAGTTCGTGCATGTGCTAACGGCGTTTGCCTTCGCTCGAGTACGAATGGGGTTCACTTCAGCGGGGTAAAGCCATGGCAAAGGCAGCCACCTGCATAATAGAGTTAGTAATGTGTTTGTCAGAAGGATGAGATGGTGGGTGGATGAAAAAAGGGGTGAAGAGGTCGCGGGCACTCCGGAGCCAAGCCGCCACGTCCACCCTATGTTCTCCAAAAATAATAAGAATACACTTACGTAGCACCGAAGAAAGCAATGTATGTGAAGAGACCAACGGCAGAGCCTTTGGCAGCTGACTTGGTTCCCGGGATCAAGCATGCAAACACGAGCACCATGCTGAGCATTTGCCCGACTGTGCCGATGAGGAACAGCTTGCGGCGACCAACACGCTCAATAACAAACCAAGAAACGGTGGCGAAAATGGCGTAGACAATCATATTAACACCACCCAACAACAAACTCATGTCTAGGTTCTCAAATTAGACGATGTCGTTAGGTCGAGAATGGAGTTACTTACTGCGAGTCTGACCAATGCTCTGCTCGAATAGAATAGGGAAGTAGTAGATGACAGCATTGCAGCCGCCGACCTGCTGCATAAGCTGGGAAGATGCACCCAAGAGCATGCGTCGCAGATGTTGCGTCTTGCCACTGGTGGTAAGTGCCTTGACTGGTGTGCTCTTCTGTCCGAAACCTCCAGAGGCACGGATGCTGTCCACAATGACATCGCGTTCCAGGGCAGTCTCGCGACTGTCGACCTCATAGCCACGGAGAGCTGAAATGACGCGCTCGGCCTCCTCATATCTCTCATGGGTAAGAAGCCATCGAGGAGACTCGGGAAGAAAGAACATAGGAATGCCAACAACCAGTGCGAAAATAATTTGGAAGGCAATGGGGAATCGCCATGTCAGATCATCGGGACCGTAGGATGCCCCGTAGTCGATCCAGTAAGCGACTACAGTTCCAAAGGCAATGACACCACCTTCAATGCAGATCAGCAGTCCTCTATTTGAAGTCTTGCTGCACTCTGCTTGATATGTAGGAATAGTCGATGTGTTTATGCCGTTTCCTAGAACAGTTCGTTAGTCTGAAGCCGATTATAGCCTGTATCGGCTTCAAGTGGAGACTTACCAACACCCATCACCACACGTCCAACGATGAACTGCGCCATGGGATTTGCACCAACCTGGCAAGTAACCTGAATTATGACACCAAGAACCATAATAGCAGCTCCAATGATCATAGCCTTGCGTCTGCCTAACAAATCGCCGACGCCGAGGATGAACATAGCTCCGATCAGACACTACAGAATCTCACGTCAGTAATTTGCTTCCAAGTACAATGACGAAAGAGGCCTACCCCTATTTCATATATGGCAGTAACCGTTCCTTGCATCGTAGAGTTGTCTTTCGTAGCTGTGAAGATGTTGTTGAACGCCGGCGCAGTGATGATTCCGGACATGACTCCTTGATCATATCCAAAGAGAGCGAAGCCAGTCGTCGCAACTGTCGACACGGCCAGCGACAGCGGCCTGCCCGAGAGGCCCATGTAACTTGGAGGCGCCATCCTGCAGCGCCGGAATAAGGAGAGTTGAGAGCAGAAATGGACCGAAAGACCAGTAACTGAACGCAAACAACGTTGGAACTCAAGTCATGAATAGGTAGTAAACTCGATCAACAGGATAAGTCCCAAAAGAGGGGCTGCTTGGTTCTTATATTCTCTCATCTATCAACATGACAAAGAGTAACCTCGGATGTAACACCGAGTACAACCTTGTGCGTCTGCTGCCGATCTCTTCACAGGCTACCACAACAGTTGAAAATCCCCGACATTGGGTAGATTCTAGCGACTCATGTGCTGGAGTACAGTCGCCTCTTAGTGTATCTTCATGTGGAGAGAATATGTCGGCCATCTCATGCCTTAGAGGAATGAATGTGGTTGATCTCACAGCGTTAATGGGTGTTATGCAACATGATAGGATGCTGTTAGTGGAACAACCGTGCAGGCCACGCGCGATATTCCACTCTTATCTGGATCCCGATGAGATCATCCCGTGGAGCATTTCGGCGGCACTGACCAACATTTACGGCGGCGAAGGGCGGCAGTTGAGCGCGGTATCCTCCGAAAAGACCCTGAAAAGCCTTCATTCAAACAACAGCATGAATAGTACTCGCAGTTTGAGGAGCCGCATGATCGTCATCCCGAGAGACACCGTCATCCGCTTTTCCCCATAATACGTCAGACGGCGTCAACACCGTCCTGACCTGGCCTGCCTTAGGTGTTAGACAAGGAGGGCGAGCTTTTCGGCCTAACCCAATAAATGGCCCATCTTTCATAATCACTCGTGGATCTTTTCAGCCCACCGCCTTGGCTTGGCTGTGAAATCTCTTGTAAATTTCTTAAAAACTGGAGCAGCCGTCGCTCACAACCCCCTGGTCATATGAGTCGGCTTGCCGCCTGCAATTGCTTGCAGGAGCCATTGTGCATTCCTATCACGTCCGGTTAGTGCCAAGCCTGGGATAAAATGATTTTTACTAGTCAGGAACGGGGAGCTGGAGTTCTTCAGGACCCGCCGACGTCATTGCACATGTACACTACTCGAGTACGGCTCTGCCTCGGCGAAACAGGCCGCTAAAAATGGGCCGCACCATGCCGGCTTACCGGTGCTTGGTGATCTTCCGCTCCCGTGGCCGAACGCCTCTAGGAGCCGCGCGAGCCACGCCGGCCGGTAATATAGCAGCAACCAAAACCAGCAATGATCAAGGTGCTGAGTTCACAAATCGATCCAAGTCAGACTTAAAGATGGCTCTGGGTATTTGTTGCATCTCGTTTGTGCTGAACCGGCGTGGTTCCCCTTTGACCACGTTGTTATTGACAAATTCCTTCGACCTGGTTAGGTAGTAAACTAGCGTTCCCACTCTTATACCCGTCCGTCACAAGGGGCACAGGAGTGCGGTTGCGACATGAGAGAGATTGGTATACCTTCCATAACGCTGATAAGGCCACCTTTGTCTAAGGCTTCCGGTATGGAGACAGCGCCCCGTTAAAGGATTCAAAGTAGTACCAGCCACCTTTAAGCCAGACCAACAAGAGAGGGCAAGAATCGTATTCATTGGCCATCGTTGAACGCGCTTTGAATGATAACGGCTTGCGGCTTCGGATAGCGAGTACCTGGCGCATTCGGCATACGGAGCTCACATTGACACCATGCTAGACACCCACATCCACCGCCGCTTTATTTATCGCTGGAAAAATCCAGCGACCTTTGGGGATTCATTTGGCATACAACGTTCACAGTAGTGGTTGCGACTGAAACAGCGAGGGAGCTGGCCCAAAATTGGCGGTCAGTTCGGCATCATAGCCGTTCAGGCAGCGCAAGTAAATCAGTGGGGATCAGGGTGGCATGTAATACTGAATTTGTGGGACGTTTGCAGGTCTACCGAATAAACAGGTCGTCTCAGTGTGCGAAGTTCACTCCTCATAACAAATGAAATTGAGGCTGATTCCAGATAACAAGCTCCGAAATACTCGGGTGGTTTGCAGCTCGAACAATGAGCCACAGTGATACTGCCCTACAAATTCACAGTTGAAAAGTTTGCAAGGTGACATTGATGGCCCTGCTTTTCCTATGGTACAAGTACTGACATTTTGGTTCGATGTTCCAACAACCTTACAAATAGCATGGCGAAGTTGCAGGGTGCAGCGACCGTAATTGACAACCTGGAGCACAAGCCCGCCTCGGCCATGCCTGCCCCTACGACTTGGAAGGACTTAGTAGCATGGTCCGGTCTTTTAAGTGTGACAGCTCAATTGACTTTTCCAGACTAACCCACCCGTCACTGCCTATCGTTCTCTAGAATGTCTGCGAACACGTATTCAATATGGTTTGCTTTGATGGCCCACAGAAGCTCAGAAACAGGAGGCAGAGGGTTGATAGATGGTAACACGTTTGCTTCACTTGGGCAAGTAATACCACTGAATGTTGCTATCGCCCGCTTCAGACGAAGTACTGTACAAATAATCATGCGTACAAGAAAGGAAGAATGTGTCAAGCATTCGCACCCCTGAGAATGTCGTCACAAGAAGGCCATCCGGTCTTCCGATATCTCTCTAGGATACTCAGAGAAGATATAAATAAAACAGGAGTCTGGCCTAACCGGCTCCAATGTAGTAGGTGGAGCTCCGCCTGGAGATAGAAGCGGACTTTGCTGGAGAAAGCCACGCTCTCAGACTCCTTTCCACTGGGTTGGGTACTCCTGGTCGGCATCCCGTTCGACATCATAAGCCACGGTTACCTCGTTGGTTTTGATAATGCCGCCTGAAAGTTGACGTGGTATTGGATGTGTTGTTGACTGCGATGCCAGTATGCTTTCCTGACTGCCTTCCTTTTCTTGTCTTGTTGTGAGCGTCAGGTTCTCTTCAAATTGCTTGGCCTTCTTTATGTTTCGACGCCGTGACATTTCGATATCAGATGATTGTAGATGCCCACTACGCTCCGAGCTGTGTTTCTGGTACTGGCGACGGTCGGACGCATTGCTAGTCAAGGATCGGCGACCAAGAATGAGGTCGAGAAGAGGCTGCAAAACTGGACTATAACATTGGAATTAGCTATCATTATCATCTCAAAAGACGCGAAAGAAATTGAGAAAGTTATCGCAGCACGTTTCCAGAGACTTGAATCTTAGCCGGAGACCTCAAACGTCGCATGTAACGGGAATAGTATCACAGGTATGCTTACATGCATGATGCAATAATTATAGTACTTCCTTCGACACTTGTCCAAATCACAATATCTAAAGAGCAGTAAGCAAAACCGGCTAATGGTTTGGAGGGTAAGTTGTTTGCGCCGAACCTGAGGTGTCATCTGTTGACGGCTTCAATTAGCATCATCTCGCAGCACAAATCCATATCAACTTACAGGAAAAGTCAGCACTTGCCAGAGCTGGCAATCTGGTGGTTTTATAGATTGCTACGACAGTTGCGCTAAACCATGTCAATTGGCTGACTTCATAAACAGCGAGAACGCTCTCACATGGACCCAATTCCCAAAGCACCACTCAGAGCTAGTTTCTTCTTGATATTCATCTGCAATTTTGCAAGTACCACAGCGGGATATACAGCAAGATACAGATCGACGAATGCTGAGAATGCTGCTTCCTTTAGATCTTACTACGGCTTTTCAAAGCTAGAAGGTGCTCACCTCCAGTCCAGATAGCGAAATCGACCAGAACCCAGGGACTCCAGCAAGTTTTGTCGGTGATAGAGAAGTCCCTAAAACAAATAGAATGAGAATTTATCTTTCCAGAACAATGGAGGTGAAAAGTAAGGCTCGAAGGAAACTCTGTGTGGCACGAATGCTCGAGCATGATGAAGGCTGATGAAAGTGCACTTCAGAGGTTGCTTACCATTGCGATTTGGCAGGCGTACATTGAGCGAACAGAATAAAAACGCATCCAAATAGATTGAGCATGCAAAGGCCAGTCACTAGATAACAGAGTCAGTAATATTCCCCATGTGATAATAGTAGCATTATGGGCTGTTAGAGAGCAATTTCCCAATCCTAAACTGACGGCCCGTGATGGTATCGACAAATAGTGTTGTTTTTAAAAAATTATGGGATTTCCAGATACTCACTTATCCACAAGATGATTATATGGATCTTGCTCGGGTTCATGATTCGAGATAGGAGCGCTACGACGGCGAGTTTGGGGACGCCGAAGGACATGATACCTGGACAAAAGCTAACAATTGTCCACAGAATGCATCCAGACTTCTGCTCATTACTCAAAATTGCGAAGTGTCGCCCATTTCCTGAGCGAACTCCGAGTGTCGAAAACGCAACATTGCACCAACCACAAATCTACTCACAATCAGCCATCCACAATTCGTCACAAGAGTACAACCATACCACAGACAAGACGATAAGGTAATCGTCTAATTGTAGCTTTCCGAGGATCTTCGTCCTCACAAAGACTCTCGCAGCCGTGAAACTGGTGCTCAGGACTGTGACGGTGTAGATAGTTGCCAAAATGGCCGGACCTTTGTTTTGTGCGGCGACCTCAGGCGAAAGAGGCTGGGACTCCATTATTTTGGCGTTGGCAACACTTCGAGCAGTATATTGCGGGAGACTACCTCAAAACATGAAAGTCGTAATTGAGTACCTCTTCCAGATGGGTTGAATCTTTTTATCATATCGCAACGAATCCAAGTCCGGAAAAGGGGTTATGTGAACAAATTGACTGGCGGCATGATCCACATACTATACCAGCGATATGAATGTTGCTATAATACAAACCCGGCTGTTGTAAGCACTTCCTGACGTGAATCAAGGATAACAGTGCTGATCGCAGTCATCTCTCTGAAAGTGGCGGCACATAAAGCAATCATAATGATCCGACTTTTAGTGACATAAAACCTAGGAGCTGGGAATTGGCGTTACAAGACCAGGGGATTCATCGTAA